CGGATAGGGCCAACAATGCCAAAACGCACGCCCTTGAGAGCGAGTTGAAGGGTTACAAGATGAACCTGATCAAGGAGAGCATTCGTGTCCGTATAGCCTTGCCATGTACACGTCCCAAGGCTAACTGAGGGCAGATGGGCAACGAGGACCTGGGCCGTCATTTTGAGAGCATCGGCGACCTTAACAACGCTGGCGAGGCCTACAGCCGGATGCGCCCCGATGTGAGCACATCCAAGCACATTATCGACGTCGGCAAGCATCTCGTCAATGTGACTCTGCAGCGTCGAGAGTGGCCCATGGTCATTGCCAATCTGAGCAAGATCACCGGTGTCCAGAACGGCGACGAGGAAAAGGGCTTGCAACCTTACGTCAAGATCGTCCAGGGCATCGCCCTCATGGGGCTCGAAAAGTTTGACGAGGCGGCCAAAAGCTTCCTGCAGACGGATGCCGGCAAAGAGGGAGTGGACTACAGCAATATTGCGAGCCCCAACGATGTGGCAGTGTACGGTGGCCTCCTGGCTCTGGCAACCATGGACCGGAAGGAGCTCCAGGCTCGTGTCCTCGACAACCAAAACTTTAGAACGTTTTTGGAGCTAGAACCTCACATCCGCAAGGCCATTTCGCTCTTTGTGAATGGCCGGTACTCGGCGTGCCTAGCCATCCTCGAGGCGTATCGCGCAGACTACCTCCTCGACATCTACCTCCAGAAGCACGTCCCGACGCTCTACTCGCAGATCCGGAGCAAGTGTATAGTGCAGTACTTCATCCCCTTCTCCTGCGTGACCCTGAGCAGCCTCGAAGATGCGTTTGCCATTCCTGGCAAGTCACTCATTGATGAGCTCGTCGCCATGATCCGGAGCGGGGTTTTGCAGGCCCGCATCAACACAATTGACAAGGTGAGTATCCGCGGCCCCCGAACGTGTGAAATCGCACGGTATGCTGACGCACGGGCCATAAGACGTTGGTCGCCGTGTCTCCGAACCCCCGAGCAACGTTGCAAAGGATGGTCCTCGATACGATTGATGCCTACGAGCGGGACGCCACGGAGCGGATCCGGCGTATGAGCATCATTGCGGCGGATTTGGAGGTCAAGAATATCCGCAAGGGTAACGCCCATGCCGGTGCGCAGGGCATTGATGAGCTCTGGTTTGAGCAGTCCAACCGACCGACAGTGGCCGGCGGCGGGGGCGGCGACAACATGAGCTAATGGCCCCTCCGATGCGACGGCCGCGCCGCGCGGTGACGGCGATACCGGCCGAGTGATTGTCCTTGTCCGTGGGTCGGACGCGAGAGAGCTGCAGCACGCCGCGGACCTGCAACTGGAATGGTGACAACCGGGGCACTTTTGGTGATCCACCTTGGCGCCGTAGTCGCAAAAGCCTAAAATATTCGGGTGGTCGACTGCCAATGCAGAGCTGCAGACTGGGCGGTCTCGCGACAGGTCATTGGTTATCTCGAACGAAAAGCATACGTACGCCTGCCAACACGTCTCTTGTGCCGTGGGATCATTCAGACGTCATGGCACTTTTGTGCTAGGCATGTCATTAGCCACTGGGATCGGGCATGGAGCTTCACGCAGCGGCTGGGACGGTGGAGCGGCTAAAGGAACAGGCGGCGGTGTTGATCGCGGGATCCCCGGGGCTGATAGATTGAGGCTTACGCAGCAGGCATAGGAATGTGTCAAGAGAAAATGGTTTTCCGTCGATTGAAAGCTTTGCTTGTGTGCTTGGGAATGACCGGGAATAATGCAACTTCTCGCCCATTGTAATCGTTTATGCAGCCCACATTGATTGCGCTTTCGCCCGAACTGTGGCCAAGTCGTCTACTGGTCCAGTCCCTACCCTACAAATACTGGTTTTTGTTCTTTTCGGGCCTAACGCAGAAAGTTAAGCTTACCCTGCCGACGCATTTATGAACGATACCCGACCCTTATATCGCCTCGGGGTCTTGGCAAAAGTGTTTCCCTGCACAGTGCCAGTCGGTTCCTCGCCTACCTTACCTTCGCCAGTGTCCCCCTCCTCAAAGGATAATAAAGTACGGAGTACGGATGCAGATACAGACTAGCAAAACCTTTTTCAAGAGGTGTTTATAAAAAGAATGTGCGATGATCATCCGGGGTCCCAATCTCTTCCACCGAGGCAACTGGTTGTCATTTCCGTTCGCTCATACGGATAATTCCCCTTTTGTCTATCCTTACTCTCCAGGCGAAAGAAAAGAGAGTACCGCAAATAAGAGCCGATGAGTCTACAAAATGGGGCTCCAGCCGAGGAAGAAAGAAGGGAAGGGGGAGGGCCAAGCGGCGCTTCTCACGCAAAGACCGCAATTCATCAGACAGGGGGTACTTTGGAGACCTTGCTCCAAATCCCTGGAGGGTGGAGGCGGGAGGGGAGGGGGGTGTGATGAAAACTATGGTTCAACTTTTTTGCTTCCTTTATGGTGGGTTTTTTTTTTATTTCCTGCTTCTCCTACGTGCGGTCCTACCTAGCCTGCATCAGGCAGTCCGTAGGTTTTTGGTTCTCAAGCAGTTCCCCTGTTACTTTCTAGCCCCCGGCCCCCTCCTAGTCCTCCATCGTCAATGATGCTGCATGGGATCCATCATCCACACCAGGCACAGGGCACCGAGCATGTCCACAATCGCGCTTCGCTTTCGCCTTTCTGACGATTATTAGCCCCCGCCCCCCTCTCTCTGTGTGTGTCTCCGAGGTATCCTCCGTGTGGTGGAAATGTGCTCCCCGTGTCGAAGCGATGACCCGGGAGTAAAATACATCCGCTAGAAATGAGAAAGAAAAAAAAAAAAAGAGAGGCTGTATGAGCAAGATGGTACCATGCGTATGATGTTTCGTTCGGGTCTCCAAAATGGACCAAGAGAAGGGGGGAGGATGTAGCAGTAAGGGGGTGAGAAGGGGGGCGGCATGACATGCGACTTTGCCCAGTTTCCTTGTCCCACCCTCAACCACCGTTCGAGTTCCATCCGGATTCGCGATCCGGGACACGCCCAGGAGTCTCGAAAAGAGTTTTTTCCCCCCCTTCTCATGCCGTCTCGGCCTCTCTATCTGGGCCATCCTTTGTCATGCGTCCTCGGGAACTAGATAGCAAGGCGTAACGGACACGGCGGAGCGACTCGGCGATCGTGATGTATTCGTAATCCACCGACAATACACACAGTATTCGTCCATCATCCCATCAACTGCCGGACGTCGGTGGGCGGCCAGCGGACCTGCGCAAAGGTGAGGAGGCGCTTGATGCTCTGCAAGTACTTGCGCGTGACCTCGTCGCCCATGACGTGCCCGCGCTCGCCGTCGTGCAGCTTCTCGCGGGCGCTGCGCTCGTGGATGCCGACCATGGTGACACCAATGGGCCAGGCGGCCTTGCCGATGGAGAGGCGGAGGTAGCCGTCGTTTGCGTCGACGTAGCGGCGCTCCTGTGCGGCCTTGACAATTTCGATAATGGGCGCGAGGAGGTCGTCGTCGAGGTCGTACTTTTCGAATTTGCGAAAGAGCTGTACATAATTAGCAATGTTTTGAAGACAGTCAGCTGTAGATAGAGGGAGACGTGGTTGCATACAGGCTTGAGGTTCTCGCGACTCTGCACCATGGCGCTGTATGCCGTCTTGCTGGCCGTCGTGTCGCGCCGCTCCGCCTCCATTGCCTTTTCGTACTCGGTCAAGACCATGGTGAAGTAGGAGGCCAGCTGCCGGAACAGCCACCGCCGGCCCTCCTTGTCCTTGGGCACCGCCGCGTCCACCTTCATGTCCTTCTCCTCCACGAGCTGCAGCGTCGTCGGGATGGGACCCTTTGTCACCACCGTCGTGAGCCGCCTGTACCGCCTCAGCCGCGCGCCGTGGCCCTCGCCAAAGAGCGTCGCCGGCTCGCCCAGCGCGCGCAGCTTCTCGGCGAGCTGTCCGTCGGGGATATCCTCCATGCCCTCTTCGACAGCGGCATCGTCGTCGTCTTCAGCATTAGATTTGACGAGCTCGGGCAGCCCCAGCCGTTTCCGCCGCGCGCGTTCCTCCTCGGCTTCCTTCTCCTCGCGCCGCCGCCGTGACTCCTCGGCCAGCTTCTGTCGCTTCTCCTCGCGGACCTTGTTCTCTGCCGCGTCGTCTTCCTCGCGCTTACGTTTCGCGGCGGCTTTGGCTTCCCGCTCGGCCTCGACGCGGGCTTGTTCTGCCAGGTAGTCCTCCCTGCGCTTCGCTTCGACGTCGGCTCGTTTGATGTATTTCGAGGAGGAGGAGGAGGCTGCTGCTGCTGCTGTGGAAGTGGGCTTCTTGGACTTGTCCAGCTCCTTGGACATGAGGGCTGCAAAATCCATCTTGGCGTCGGTTCGCTATCGCTGTTGTCGGTCGGGGGTACACTATGGTCGGTGTCTCGTGTGTCTCGGGTGGGTCCGTTCGGTCGTGGGTATCGCCAGTCTCGTCGTGTGTTTTCCACAGCAGAACTCGCCTCCACGTCGATGAGATGTCGTCAAACGAGAACGGGAGAAAACCGGATAAAGCGTTGCCGGATTGACAATTAGAAAAAAGCTTAGGTTTTTCGGGAACGGCGCCCTGCGTGTGGTGGACGATCCATGCATGGAAGCTTTGGAAGATCGCGCTTAACTTGCACAGCCTCACTCGCCTACGACCTTGACTCCAGTCGGGAGGGACGCACGCCCGCACCTCTTCGTCCACGCACACCACACCGCAAATACGTACTCCTACGCTCTTCTCTCTCACACAGAACGCACGCGGCAACTGCAGCAGTTTAGAACTAGTTCCCGCTCTTCCCTTCCCTCCTCTTTTCCTAGCCCCCCCGTTTGATTCCCTTTTTTGGGGGCCTAAAACGGTGCTTGTTTGTACCTGTTCGTCGCAAGGGGACCTGGGGCCTGGAGCTTGTCAAAAAGGAACCATCGAGCTTGTTTTCACTACCAATACTCCACACAACCGAGTATACGTATACGTACTCTCCGACGTCGTCTCTTCTTCACGTCGAAGCTCAGGTTGTCTGTACTTGACGGTCGTCGGCATGGCTTCCCATCAGCGGGAGGATACTACGCCATTCCTTCTGCAGCTTTTCTATAAGAATGGGTCATTTCACAGGTATGTCAGGTCTCTATGATGCCTGGTGCTAGTTCCTCATGCTAACAGACCTATAGAACAGACGAGTTCACTTCGAGGAGCCTTCCACCCTTTCTGTCACTCTACACATGGCCCGACTGTTCCCTAAACGAGCTCGCCGAGCTCATCACAGCTGAAGACCCGGCGTTGCTGCCGAGCCCTTGCGTGGGCACGAGGCTCGCCTTCCGCCTCATCTACCCCGACACCCGCAATGCGGGGGCCAACGCGGGAGGGCAGCATCACCACGGACAAGCGCAGGGGCCACGGTTCATGGTCAAGGACCTGGGGAGCGTGGTGCTCGGGGACGGCACGGCTGATGCGCTCCTGGCTGCCGACGGCGAGGCGGAGGACGGGGTAGACGATGTTGACATGTCTGGCGCTGCTACGGCCGGCGGCGGCGCCCAACAACCCGACGACGCTGACTCGGCCAAGGACAAGACGCTTAAGGAGGTCAATTTCGTGGTCGGGGACTATGTCTCGTGCGCTATACTGCCGCCGCTGCCGGACGGCTCGCTAGCGCCGGCCTTGACTGCGCGCAACGATAGGGCGGCGGGGCAGTTTGGCGGTGCGAGAGGCCCGATGGGCGGTCCGCCGTCGCAGGGGCAGCGTCGGGACGCTGGGTTCGGGGGACGGCAGAGCTGGGATAGAGACCGTCGGCGCTCTGGGTTCGGAGACGGTGGGTTCCCTGAGGGAGAGTGGCGGAGGGGCGAGAGGCTGCCCGATGACCCACCGGACCGATCTCGCGGTAGAGGTAGACGACCCGACAGGTGGTGATTCGGCTTGCAGTTGTATTCCCGGGTGACGGGGCTTGTGATTTGGCACGGCGTTTTGGCTCGTTTGAAGGGTATACCAGGCGGCGTTATGGTCACTTGAAAGCGCTGTGGGGTTCACGTCTGCTTGCTTCAAAAGTTGGGTGAGATCTGCAACTGCATTGAAAGCAGTGCAAGCATCCTGCGATCCTTATGTTGCGCTTGAGAAAAGTACTTGTTCAATGTTCCATTCCTCTACTCCGGGCCACGGCTCTGGGCCTATCTACACAATCCTCCCCTCGATATCGTGCCCCGTCTATCGCTCGTAAACCAAGTCACCCTTGCGCTTCGCCCGAAGATCCCAGAGGCCCTGTAAACCGGTCAGTATGTGTACTTCCGGCGTTCCGAAGGGGTCACAAGGGAGGAACTCACGTCGGTCTTGTAGCCAATGTAGCCGACGACGAACGGCACGAACACGGCGTACATGAAGGTAACGCGGGCGGTTCTCGGGGTCCAGCGGAAGAAGATGTGTCTGTTGCTCTGCATGTCTGTTGGATTGCTCTAAGGTCAGCCCTCTCGCTCCTCTCCATTGTCTCCCCACGCCCACAGCAGTCCAATTGCGCGGCGAACGGATCTTCTCGCATCGTACTCGGCGGTTCGGTGGAAAGAAAAACGGGCTACGTACGTCCCAACTTGACCAGGGCCGGGTCAAGGGCCAGCTCTAGTTTGATCGAATTAGTACTCTGGTCGTTTTTTCGGCGTCAATTGGAGCACTCACTGTGGTGGTGGCCTGCCATCTTGATTGATGATCAGGACCGTTTCGCAGGTTGATCAGGAAGGAGTTGATTCGGTCGGCCGACGAGGGTTTGCGGGGTTCCGAGGGGCAATTGCTGCTTCGCTCGTCAACGTGAAGCTCCGTGATGGCACAATGAATCGCGAGCCTTGGGAGTTGATTACTTAGGTAATGATGTCCTGCCTCGACTGTCAGGCATCAGCCAATCAAGCGGCACGCATTAGCCAGACTGGACTGTCACACACTGTGCGCTAGGCTGCTAATATCTCTTTCTGCCACAGTGTTCTACTCCCGGTCGACACTGCTGGGCTCCGGGTCGAGCAGACCACTCCACATGCTTGTTGTGTACGCAAAGTGCTCGGGTTTACATAAGCAACACAAGTCAACGTGCCAGAGTGGTTAATGGGCAGCCCTGCTAAGGCTGTGGCTTCGGTCGCGCAGGTTCGAATCCTGTCGTTGACGCTTAACCTTTTGCAATTTTTGCCTTCTACTCGCCTGTCTTTTTGACTCAGCGGCACGGCTTTTCAATTGCACTGCGACTGTACTCGATAACCCTAGAGGTGGTAGAGATACGATCCAACACGTCTCAGTTGACATGAGCTCTACTCCAAACCTGACCGAACAACGATAGATCGGCGACTCAATGTGGTATGCAATTCGGAGCCAACAGTCCCTCCGACTCGACGTGCAGTCTATCCGGCGACTAGAGAAATTCTGGCTGGATGCCGAGGCAAGCCTAAATTGTGGAGCACCATCCTCGTGGTTCTACGCTGTAAAATGGCTGCCCGCTGCGTGCTGCGCATGCTGTGTTCCTGTGACAGGCGGCGGTCCAAGTGCTTTTTGTTTTGGGAAACACCTGAAGGTGAGCTCGGTGGGGCCGGGCCCTTTGCCTTCCGATGAGCTAGTGACGTATATAATGAGGGACGAGACCTAGAAACTCAATCAGGTCGAATCGCTGCTATTCAGGCTCATATCGGGGTGTTGATCCAGACTTAGTGAACCGTTCAATTGAGATTTCATCAGTAAGAGAATCAAATCAACCCGTCAATATGGCGGCAAGTGAACAGAAGCCCAAGGTGAAGCTCTACTGGTAAGTCGAATCCAAATTTCACTCAAACTCTGTGTTTCAAGCTCACCAATTCATCAGGCTGGAGCAGTCGAGAGCCCAGAACATCCTATGGCTTCTCGAGGAGCTCAAGATTGACTACGAAATCGAAGTGTTCCACAGGAATAAGCAGACGCTCTTGGCGCCTCCCGAGCTGGCAAAGGTTCACCCCTTGGGCAAGTCGCCCGTGATTGAGATTTTCCCAACCGGCTCTGGCGAGTCCATCAAGCTGGCCGAGAGCGGCTACATGACGCAGTACCTGTGCGAGCACTTTGGCCAGAACACCAACCTCATCCCCAAGAAGTGGAAGGACGGCCAGGAGGGCAAGATTGGCGGCGAGACTGAGGAGTACTCGAGGTGCCAGTACCTGCTCCACTACATTGAGGGCAGTCTGCTCCCGGTCCTCACTCTGTCTCTGGTCATTGGAGGTGAGTCTCACTTCGGTTCATACTGCAAACTACTCGCTCACACACTGTCAGCCCTGAAATCCGACAACGTACCCTTCCTCGTCCGGCCCATCACCTCGGTGGTGGCGAACCGGATCTACAGCATGATGGTTTTCCCCAACGCCAAGAAGCACATGGCCATGATTGATCAGATGCTCGAGACGTCGCCCAACGGCGGCAAGTACATTTGCGGCGAGCACCTCTCAGCCGCTGACATCCTCCTCAGCTTCGCGCTCATCGCCGCGCAGCCCCGCTTCGACGGTCTGGGGAGCTGGCCCGGCGGCTCTGCCAAGGCGGCGCACCCCCGTGTGTTTGAGTACATTGAAAGACTCAAGAAGGAGCCCGGGTACGAGAGGTCGGCACAGAAGATTCGCGAGATTGACGGCAAGTTCGAGGCTACAATCTCCAAGATGTAAAACGTGACGTTTGATGAATTGGGATCGGGGGACTAGGAAGATATACCACTTTACTAAATTGACACTGACTTGTATTGAAGCATCGTATCAGATCTGCGTATGACATACCACCGGGTACGTCTCATTAAATGAGGTACCATGAGTAAACATCTGATGTAACATGACAACGCCTCGCAAGGTTCATCATCATGGTTTCGTCCCAGAGCTCATGGGTGGGAGTGAGTGGCCCAAGCTTCTCAAATGGAGCGCTACCGCAGGGACCAACGGCAGGGGTTCCGGCCCGCTAAATCGGCGTGCGTTCCTCCCGCTGTCGGTAGCTTTTCCATTGACACCCCGACGTAGGCGCTCTATTTTTTTTCGCAACTTCACAGTTGCAAACCAATTCAACCCGCCAACGCAACCGAGGGCCAGACGAACGCCATGCTCGCCTCGAGGACGGTATGCGCTCAATGCCGTTCGAGGCTTCTGGCCGGCGCGGCGACAATCGGCGCGGTCCGATCGAACTCGACGACAAGCTCCCCGTCCGCCGCTGTGGACCAGCCATCCCGAACCCCAAAACCAAAAGCGCCACGACCACCCGCGAGGAGACCTAAGGGCGGCAGCAACGAGACTGCGAGACAGAGAGTGCTGGATCTGTTTGAGGAGACCGTCAGCAAACAGCCCGCCCCGGCGACTCCGAGCCCCGGCCCAGGCGTCAACCAGCTCTACTCGCTTACCGATGAGCTTAGCCAACTCTTGCAGCAGAGACAGAAACAAAAGATCTCCGACTTGGAGTTTGCGACACAGGCATACACATTCATAACCACAAAGCTTTTGGTAGCTGCGCAAAATTCGGGTGTCTATCTGCCCCAGGTTACTACAACCATAGCCAGCCAAGCCATACAACAAATCACAAAGATCAAGTTCGCGACGATAGAGGCCACAGACCTCCCCCAAACTGTAGACATATGCAAGTTATATACTCATATAAATAACAAGAGGGTTGTGAAGCGACTGGAACTCATCAATGGCCTCTTGCGAGCAATCATCTCAACTCGAGCGGACCCGGAGAATCAGCCTGTGGAGGATCGGCTGCTGGAGGATCTGGTGGAATGTTGGAAACACTTTTCGGGCTTGAAGCGTGCAGACAGCGGCCTAGAATCGGATCCCGTGTTTTGGCTCACGTCACGGCGGGACTTGCTGGGGACTGAGAGGCCCGACAAACTCCTCCGCGCGCTCTTTCCCTTCTTTGCAGCCAACGAAACGTCAGGCCTTGGACCGGCCCTCGTAGCCACATATGTATTGCTGTCTGAGTCCAAGCATATGATTACCAAGGCCAGGGTAGAGGCACACTCGCTGCTGGAAGCGCTGGATCGCATCGTCAAGCAATTCGATAAAGACATGCTGCAGGAGCTCTTCCGCGATCATGCCGAAGCCTGGAGCTATGTTCAACCCCGGGCGGATTGGAGGGTGACGCGCGTGGCTCCCGGAACGTGGAAAGAGCTGGATACCGTGTCTACAGGCAAGTCCGAGCAAGCCAAGTCGGCGGTGCGATTCTCCTATGCCCTGTGGCACCGACGATTCGAGACCGTCTTTCGCGCAAACGACACTGCGGCCATCCAACAGGCCTGGAGAGACCTGATCAACCCGGCCAACGATAAGGACAGAACTCTGAGACTACAGAGCTCTCCGGATCTTTTCGATTACATCTTGTTCCTTACGTGTAGCAAGTACGGGCTAGGGGCAAGCTTTTCCAAGCTGACGGAGGAGATATTGGCGTACATGAAGACGCTAGGCATGGCTCCGACAGTCAGGACGTACACGTCAATGATGAGTGGCTGGAAAGAAGCCAGACGGCTTGAGCCGATTGAGAACTTGTGGAAATTCATCACAAATGCAGGTGTTAAGCTGGACCAGCAGATCTGGTCGAGCAGAATCTCCGCACTCGGCCTTTTGGGCGGCGAACACGACGGCCTGGGTGCCCTCAAAGAGATGGATAGATTGTGGAACATGGCAGTGAAGAACGGCACGCAAGGCAAGGCCGTCGAACCGGGCATCTCAAATGTGAACTCGGCCATTTCCGGCTTGCTCCGGCGCGATAACATGGAGGTGATCCGCACCGTACTGGACTGGGCGACCGACAAGGGCATCAAGCCCGACATCTACACCTACAACATGCTCCTATCACGCATGCTCAAAAAGGGGGCCCACGAGGAAGCGGACCGGATCCTCGCGAGCATGAAGACGGCGGGCATCACGCCGGACGGGGCCACCTTTACCGTCATCATGGAGGCGGCTCTCAGCGACCTGCCAGACCAGACGCCGCAGGAGCAGCGGGAGACGATGGACAGGGTGTTTTCCGAGATGGCCGCCTGCGGCATCGAGCCCAACCAGGAGTCCTTTGGCAAGATGCTCCACGTCCTCGTCCGGGCGGGCGACAGCGGCAAGCACGCCGTGGCCGCGCTGCTCTCCCACCTCCGGGCTTCCCGCCTCCACCCGTCAACCGAGATGTGCACCATGCTCGTCGAGTACTACGTCAACCGGAGCCGGCCCGACCTCGACTCGCTGCGCGCCCTCGTTGCGGACCGCCGCGCGCGCACGCGGGCCCTGACGGACCGTGTCTTTTGGGAGAGCGTCATCAAGAACTACCACCGCGCCGGCGACCTCGACAGCGCGCTCGAGGTCGTCTACGACCTTGATGACTGGGGGATCTGGCCCGGTTTGCCGCTGCTCGACCCCCTGCTGCGGTCCCTGGTTCACAGGCACGACTTTGAGGGCGCCAAGAAGCTGGTTGATACCGTTCGCAAGCAGGCCAGGCCTCAGGCCGCGGACAAGGCTGGTCGCTACTCGAAGCACGGGTTCTGGGCGTTTGCTCATGATTATCGCCTATTGCCGGGGCAGGAGGAGGCGTAGAGTAGATCTGTAGAGTACCGAGTCGACCATTTCTTGTACAAGTAGAAATCATAGATGTACAACAATCAATTACACCCCTGTTTCTCAGGTCTCTCGTCAAATCTTTTAGCTGGGACTAGTCAGTACGTTTAGGAACCGAGTCTTCTTAGCCCCGACCTATGCATAAAGCAAACTACGGAATGATAAGTTTTCGTTGGTGTCTTTGAAAACGACAGCCTGTATGATTTTGGAGTTGCCGCCCTCAGACACGGGTTTTCTACTCCGTCTCGGGCTCTCACCTCCGTCATTGTCCTTCCAAGATGGTTTTCTCCAAAGCTTCCAGTGCCTCGCCACAATATGGCATTGCAAGTATGTGCCTATCTAAGCTATACATGATGAACTCTTGCCGCCCGCCTGGAGAGTTTTGGTGTCGAGCGAAGCGTTTCTTGGCTATGAGACGCGGTGTCAACCCCTTTTTACATCTCAAGCTGAGGTCTATCCCTTCCGCCTGGAGCAAGGCTCTCACAACCCCCGAATGACCACATTTTACACCAGTAAAAAGAGCTGTCTCGCCTTTCCTTCCCGATCTTAAGTTGACGTCGGCTCCTCTTGAGAGCAGAGCTTTTCATGCCGTCCTTCTTTTGCGGCTCGTCGAAGGAGTGTAGAATAATGAATACTGCCGTTCTCATACTCCCAGCTGTATTCAAAGTTAACATCCAATTTCCCGGCGTCGAGTATATACTCGAATACATCCACTATACCCGCATAATTGTGATATGTAATGGCTTGGGCGACCAGGCTTCCGTTGAGTATCCTTCGTTTCTTAGTCAGACCAAGATCTATTTTCCACCTTTCATACAGAAAACGAAAGACTGAAAGGCAATTAGTCTCTACTGCCAATGAAATCAGTGCCATTTACCTTTCATCGCCCAATTTGGCTTCAAGGCTGTCGGACCTCAAGAGCAAGCCGACAATATCTTTATGGCTCTTCTCTACCGCAAGGGTAAGGGACTGGTTCTTAGACTCCTCGTCCGCATTGCCAGTATCCAGAAACTTCTTGACTAGTGCATAATGCCCATGAAGTGCGGCATATCCGAGCGGCGTTTTTTCATCGGTATCTTTAGAGTTGATGTCGATTCCGTCGATTTTCAGAAATTTCTTTGCAACGTCCAAGTGTCCGGCCTCAGCAGCGTGTGAGAGAGGCATGCGGTCATGAATGTCCCGTGAATCTGGACAGACCTTGCCAGACTCAAGGGGAACCCTGACCACATCTAGATGTCCACGTCCTGCCGCATATGAAAGGGGTATACGGCCATAATTATCTCGTGAGTCTATACGGACCTTGCCAGACTCAAGGAGAACCTTGACCACATCCAGATGTCCACGTCCTGCCGCATGTGAAAGGGGTGTATGGCCATGATCATCTCGTAAGTCTATACGGACCTTGCCAGACTCAAGGAGAACCTTGACCACATCCAGATATCCCCTTTCCGCCGCAAGTGAAACAGGCGTTTGACTCATAGCACACCGATGGAAGCCCATGCCGGAAACCTGTGTATCGGGGTCGACTCTGCGAAATCTCAAGAGAAACTTTACCACATCGACGCGCCCACATCTTGCTGCATTTGAAAATGCTATGTTACCGCTTGAATCTTGTGCATGCGCAGGATCGACATTGTATTTCTCAAGAAGCTTCCTGACAATTGCCAGCTGTCCGGTTTCCGCTGCACGATTAAGAGCATCTTGCTGCGGTCCGCATTCCTTGGGATTAGGTCGGATTGACGTAGGACGAAACAGGGAGCTGAGAATAGCAATGCCAGCTAATGCATGGTCCCATCACAGCATGTTGGTCATCTGTGGCCCAGTTCAACTCGCCTCGTGTAGGCATTAGTGTTAATTGGGCGTGTCTAAGCCTTACAACTGCATGAAGGGCGCCTAGACGTAGCCGTCGGGCACATATGAGATCTGGACCCGCTAAAACATTGAGCACCGCCTTATGAGCAATAGGACAGATAAAACAAACAAATAAATAACAATTTGGAGATGCATCTGTTCCTCCGCTCATGCGTATGCGTATCCAGCATGGCGTGCTCCTAATCTCGTATTGTGAAAGTGTTGTGAAAGTATTACTTGGTGTTTTGGCGTCTGCTCGTCTTCGTCACAAATAAGAGGCGATAGAACTAACTATGCATCTGAGACCCTCGTCCCTTGGACGCCTGGTTTGAGGATAGGTTCGGAGAAGCGGACCAACGCGATAAAAAGACAGGCATAGAATCACTGGAGATTGGTCAATAACGAGAAGAAAGAAAGACTGACAATAGCAGTCGATACTGGTCTAACGTCCCTGCGATGCGTGCTTCTCCAGCATACTATATCATGCCGTACGTAGTCTACCTAGCAGCTCTCCGTCCATGGCACGTACACATTACTTACCAACGACACCCAGCACATACTTGATCCCTTCCCAATGCTCCTCCGCCGTAGGCAAGATAAACTCGGGCGCCAGAATGAATCCAGACCCCCCGCTCCCACCACTCTTGGGCCGCAACTCGACGCTCCACGAATACGTCGCGTTCAAAGCCCCATGGTGGAAATCCCTCGCCGATCCCGTAGAATAGTACAGAATCTCACACGAAGGGCCGACATCGTAAGTCTCCCCGCTCGTCGCCGCAATCGTCGCGGCGTACCCCGCGCCAACGTCCCGCTGCGCCTGGAGGTTCCGGGGGAGCACGTCGGGCTCGCAGGAGAAGCCCCAGGGCAGGAGGATCAGCTGCGAGTAGCTGTGCCAGTCGATGAAGAGTCTAATGCCGCCGCCGCCCGTAGAGTTAGTAGCAGTAGCAGCCAGCTCTCGCGAGAGAGCCGAGAGGACGACGTTCTCGGGCGTGTCGCCCGGCGCGACGCCGCGGAACGTCTCGCCGCACGGGTCGGCGGAGACGCTGCCGTCCTCGAGGGGGTAGTCCCACTGGAAGTTCCAGTTGCGGTTGCCGTCGGTGCCAATGCAGGTCGTGTTGGGGCGCGGCTGGCGGTTCTTGCGCCAGAGGCGGTTTGTGGTCTGGCTGTATACGAAGCCTGTGTTTTGTAAGTGATTTGGACGGGGGGTCTGTAGGATGAATTTCTAACTCACCGTCGGGGTTGTGAAAGGGCACAACGTAAAAGTCGTAGGCGTCAAAGAAGGCTGTGACATTTTGGTCTCCGGACTTGTACCCGTCGATGAGTTGGTAGGTCAAGTACTCGACAGTCTGCGGGCATTAACAATCTCACTTACAAAAGCGTCTGGGGATGGGCTCACATACCATTGTCGTAATCCACTCCCTGGCATGAACGGTGCTATGCCAGAGGACAACGGGCTTGGTCCCAGTGTCCTCGCCTCCCCAAAGCCGCAAGCCGAATATGTTGCGGCCCTCGTACGAAGCACCAATGTCCAACCACTCCGAGTTGTCGGGAAACGCAGCGTGGAGGTCCCTCCAGTACTGTACGTGGTCGTCGTATGCGTGGTACGAGTCGAACCAGCTCAAGTCCGGCAGCTCGCCCCTCTTGGTCAAGCCGGGCTTCTGTTCCACCTCGGACTCGGCCCTGATCGCCCGCCCGAGGTCATTGTCCAGAAGCTGCGCGTCATCTAGCAGGCCCAAAGCCTTGAGTGATTCAACCTCACTGGGCGGGATCGCGACCTCAACGGAGCCCTGAAGGTCAATGGACGGGAATGAGCGCAGGCGGGCGAGTTGGCCTGATGGCGCATTGGCTGTTGATACGCGGTAGACCTGGTAGCCGTCGTAGTTGACCTTTTCGTCTGGGGGCGTCGTTATCCTACCGTTGCCGGCGAGGGCGATGGCCGGGGTGACGAACGCGAGTATAGCTGTGAACTTCATGATGACTTTGTATTGAACACAGCCAGTTCGCCGACACTCGTCCGCCGCCCAGACGAGTACGAGCATACTGGCGTCTGACGCTCTTATGGTAACATCTTTGACGGATCTATACGCGGTTTCCTTCGCCTTCCCTCGCCGTGCGAATCGCACCAAATTCTCGTCTTGGCCTCGGCGAACCTAAAGGGCAAAAAGTGAGGGGTCAACGGTGAATAACCATGCAAGCCAAGACCGAGATGCTTGTATGACGCTCTCGAGTCTCGACGTTTCGCGGGCCAGCGTTGCATTTTGAACAGCCATCCCGTGAACCAGTCCTTTCGGCGTGCTGAGGAGAGTAGCAAACTCAATTGCAACGTCGTACGCGCGAATGCGAGGCTACACCCAGAACAGTAGGTGCTAGGCCTTGTTGTCTTGGCTTGCGAGGATAGCCGAGAGTCAAGTTGATAGACCTGGAATGTCCGGGATGTTTATTTCGACGAGACGAAAAGAGCGAATGATATGGATGCAGTGTCTCTGGTGCGGGATATTCGGAGAGGTGCATTGTTATCGTGATACAATGAACAGGGAACTCACTTCACCGGCATGTTGTGCCAGTAGCTGTAAGCCCGAGTGATTGGTTACTGGTGGGATATCCATTCCACCATTTCACGAGTAAAATCTCGAGGCCTGGCGCTTTAGAGGACCATACTGACTGCGTGTGAGATCTTTGGGCAATGTAGGGACCTTACATCGAAGACTCCGGCCTGGTGGAGCGCGGTGATGCCGCCGATGAAATGGCCCGGAAGTGGGTCCCGGGTCACCAGGGGACCTTGAACATCCAAGTGGGCAATAGAATAGGACCAACACAGAGATGTCTCCCTTCTTAGATCTATTTGCCTTTTTATTTGTGCCATTACCATATCTCTCAAAGAATGTTCTCTAGGCAAGAAAATTACAGAGTAGAAAGCAACGACAGTAAAGGTAGAAGTATCATGAGGTATTGAGCGGCGAGCTACTTAGTTCTGTATCATCCACTTGGCATCGATACCAACCAAAGACTCGGATTGCCAGAGCATGCAGTCTCCTTAACCATTCATACCATTTCAACCCCTGCCTAGTTCGTATTTTTGATGCTTTGGACTATACCTGACACATGAATCCGGTTTCCTAGTCCCATCAGGGAGGTTCATCAAATTCCTGTGCAATCCGAGAGCCTCAATTCCTGGTGATGAGCAAGGTTTTCTGGGTCATATAGCGGTGCTCAAGGATACTGGCGTTCCAGCCGAGGGGAGCGATCTCGCTTTGAAATCTTCCCACGCATCCTTCCACCGAAATGTAACGCAGATATGCCATGCGTCCGGTCGCCAGCAAGTCGTGTATCTGAACGTACAAACGTTCCACCTCACTCGATGAGCAGCCCATCAGCTCTAACTTCTCCAATGAGCTCGGCAAGACATGGCTGAGGGTCAGCGCAGGCGCCTGAAGCTTAGTCCCATGCTCCTCCTCTTCCGGGCCATCTGTGCCGTCCATTTCTTGCCCAAGTAGCGCGTCAAGGGGCAAACGGAGCGTTTTCAGCCGCGTCAATTCTTGCAGCGAACCGACATATTCCTGTTGCAGTTCCTCATCGGATCGATAGTAATCGCAATTGGAGTGATTTTCCTGAAGACAGTCCAGCTCGAGCTCTCGGAGGTTCTTGCCATATCGTCTCAGCGCCTCGCCAATTTCGTCGTAGTAGGGGAAGTCGGTGCCCTCGGTAACGTGCTGGAGGTATTCATCTACCCATGTTATGCTGAGAGTCTCAAGGTCGGGACAGCGACTAAGAAGATCCTTCATGCCTGTTCCGTTGCACAGCGAGTCTCCGAGGTGGACTAACCTCAATGACATGCGTTCTGCTGTTCGCCACTTGATATGCTGCAGCCACTCGACACGAATGCCGTGAAAAATCTGCACTGTCGGCGAGAGGAAGGGTTCGCACAGGCGGGCTGGCATCCCTACACCCCATCCTTCCCAATCAGGCTCAATCCCCTTGGCATAGACCTGTTGTAGACGAGGAAAAGGTCCGGGGTGGTCCACCTTGGCGACGAATTTCATCATCTCTGTGTTGGGCTCGCAATGCACGACCTCGACCTCCGGGAGCAGCATGGCCAGAAGCAGCAGATAGACGCCTTCGAGATTAGCATTGCAAGTATTGAGCATGTTCAAAGCCAGTACGATGGCGCGCCTGAAAGGACTATGATCGGCAGAGTCTTGCCGTTCTTTTAGTCGTTTCCGAAGCCAGAAGCGAGTGAGGCCTGTCAGTCCATCACTGGGAACGTTGAGCTCCTTGACGTAGCTTCCAAGGTAGGGCTTGTGTTCAACAGCAACCACAAAAGCGCCGAGTTCATCATCACGGAGAAAGATCGACTCGTAGAGAAAGGGCTTGACGACTTGCTGAAACCCCTTGGAGACGCGGCAAAGCTTGGACAAGTTGGCATAGTCTGGGCCATTGGGGCGCTCGTGGGTCGATTTGGAACTGCGTAGGACTTCGATGATTGTGAGGAGAACTTCGTTAGGCAGGTGAGGCGGCATCTTGGTCGTTGACGCCGAGGGAGGTACACAACTCGGAAGGGCCTGGGTGGTGGTGACGAGTGATGATGATGATGATGGGCGGTGGAAAAAAGTTTGAAAGGGATTGCGTCAAGGCAAGGTAGACTTAAGTAGGCAGGTAGGCAAAGCTCTTTCCTAAAAGTCATGCATCAGTTTTCGTTCACCTCTTGCCTCGCTTGGATGATGCGACTTACCAACAGGCAGGAGCCCTGTTTTCACTTGGGGCGTAACTTCCTTCCTTGACCGAGTGTGTCCGATGGAATGACGGACCGTTGGTCTTGAGGTAAAGATTTGACTCTTGTCAACCAGAGTTGAACAAGGGAAACGCATTATGTGTGCTTAGGTTTCAACAATGGGCCTAGAGCGCAAGGTTTCTCTTCTCCTCGCTTGCCCTTCCTCTCTGCAATCTATCTCGATTGAACCATGTCCTATTCCACGTATATTGAATCCAACAAGCCGTGATATGTCTCTGCCCATACCTCAATGTTCTGCTTCCTTTACGATTCCTCCCCAGCAGAGACGCGGGCTCCAGAAGTGATCTCGACACGAGCACTAAGGAAGTCTTCATTATCGAGCCGTCTGTCGCACCGTGGCCGTGGTCCACGTGAATTCCCCTACCGTGTTGACGCCCCAACGTTGGCTGGATCCCAGACAGCGACTCTCCATCTCTTTGTGCTTGCCTTGGGGGAGCTACGGGCTTTGCCTGTCGCAGGCACATCGGGCTTCCATCCTGCCATAGAAGTAGCAGGTGGCGCGATTGAATTTGCCGGCTTCTCTTAAGTCCTCAAGGTCGATTGGGATCCGGCTGAGTGATAGCTGGGATGCCAGGTCGGGCGATTTGGCTCTTGCTCAGAGGGCCCATTCGCTCTCCCGTGGCGACTAAGATAACGACGAAGCCGTTGAGCGTACTCTGAGCAGCCAGTGTCTCGCGGTATGCCCTGTCGGTGGCGAGCTTGTGAGTTCATTTCAATCTTCTCAAAGAAGTTGACATCCGAAATCTCACTTCATGACTCGTCCATCGCGTCGGGATCGGGCTGCTCAGTAGATTCTCCGGAACCTCCCCCGAGCGCGGCAACCACTTGCTCGAGCCCCTCCACCTCACCCATGGCAAACTTCCTGCCCTCGCCCTGCCACTCGCCATCGCGCACATCACCATCCTTGCCGAGCTCCAGCCCACGCACATGCTCCAGATGCTTCCGCGTAGCCCCCTCGACATACTCCATCCTCTCTCGTCTCCAACTCTTTTGCTTCTCGGGGCCGTCCCCGGTGCTGGACGGGTCCTTGAGATCGGGCATGATATTACGCAGCGACGTTGACAACGCACGCAGCGCCTGGAGTTGCGACATGTTGAAGGCGGTCGTGGTCGTTATGGGCGCTTTGAAATCTCCGTCTGCCAAGTCACCCTTCTCCTGCAGGAACTGGAACGGCGCCCTGTCGTCGGACCCCTCGACCTTGACCTGTCCCGCCAGCGAAGCCCTGGATCCGGCGGGCTTACCGCCAATGACCCCTCGGAGCTTCGCCAGCAGCGCCGCGTTCTTCGCCTGCTCGGCGTGCAGCATCACGTTCAGCCGCTGGCTGGCCTGTAGCTTCCTCCTCAGCGCATCAACGCTCTCCCTCGTCGGCGCGTCCTCGTGCGTGGCGTTGAAGTCGAGACCGTCGTAGTGGGCGAGGCGCATCCAGTTTCGCTGGCCCTGCTGGATGCTCAGGATGTTCTTCATGACGTACAGCTCAAACTTGTCGAAATTCTTGTCAATCGCCGCGCACAGCAGCGTCTCCAACTTGTGGACGCCGTCGACGATCTCGAGCTTCGCCGTCTCCTCGACGTCGACAACCTCGTCCGCGGACCGTTTCTTCTGCTTCAGCGCCTTTTCGAACCCGAGCGCTTTTGGGGGCGCTTTTGAGAGACCCTGCTCGACGCGGTCAAGCGTCTTGTCGGCTACGGCGTTGACATTGTTGATGATGCTGTCTAGGAGCGACTGGGAGACGTTAGTCTTGAGGCGCCGCGTGATCTCTGTGCCAAATGTAGACTTACAATTGGTGCGTACCCCAGATGTTCTGTCAAGAGTTCGATGTCGATTATCGTGCGCTGCGCCATCGTGTTCAATCGGCTGATGGGCTTGTCTGGGGAGGTTCGTGGTTGAGTGGGCGGACAAAGTGCCCTCTTCAAAGACGCGACGGACGCGACGAAAGTCAATATTTGGTAAGGCACATTGACCGAGGGGTCTATTCTCCCGAGAGGGGGGGCCGGGGGATGAAGGCCTGAATCGCAAGGCGTCCAGCAGGGGGGGCACTCCCCCGAATTTCCAGTCCAGCGGCCCAGCACGGCGACACCCGTAATTTTAGCGATTTCGATAGCGGGTAACACTGCCACGCACCTCGGGCGACGTCACGCAGGAAACCAGGATGGAGCGCTGACAGAGAACCACCGCTGGAGACGACGCAATGCGAGCCTCCACCGGTGCTTTTACATTAATTGCACAACCTGTCGTCGACAAAATCTCCCCTTTCCACACGCCAAGGGCACGAGTCAACAGCAACACTTCCTTCCTCCTTTTCCCTTTGTTCGATCCAAGGCCTCCGCAAAAATGTCGTCGAACTTTGGAAATTTCATGAAGAATGGCTGGCACCCCGAGAAGCCGGGCACCACCTTCAAGGGCCAAATGGTATGTCACCGGGCGTGGTGCGTCTCTGCAACTGCAAAGGGGAAACTGACCAGACACACGACAGAACGGCCTCTTGGGAAGGAAAACGGATAGTGACAAAGAGGAGCGCGTCGCCAGACCCCTAACGTCCCTCACAGATCCCTCTACCTTTGCACCGCCGCCAAAGCGTGTCCCGGGGACAATTGCACCCCCGCCCCCGCCATCACGTTCCAACGCAACATCACCTGGCGTACCACCGCCGCCGTACGACGACTCGAACCGATATCAGCAGCAACATGAGGAAGGCGTAGAGGAAGAACCGGCGCCGCCCAGGCCGTGGCGCACAGATACCACAGGCCTCTCGACCGCCCATCTGCCGCCCCCGCCAGGAAGAAAGGATGGCGCCGACGGACGGACGCCGGTGCCGGGTCAAGCCGCCGCCGCACGGCCGCCGCCCCCGAGCTTACCACCGAGACTGCCGCCCAGAACACCCTCCGCTTCGTCGGTAGGGAGACCGGCGTCACCCGCACCACCACCGGCATCAAGCAGCGGCGGCGGATACCTCAACCAGAACGCAATGAACAGACTAGGAGCAGCAGGCGTCTCCGTATCTGCACTAGGCATTGGAAAGTCCGCCCCGGAACCACCGACCCGATCCAACGCCAGCAGCCCCGCGCCACCTCCCCGGACCGGAGCCTTCTCGCCGCCGCCGCCTCCGCCTACCAGTAGCAGCAGCGGTGGCGGCGGCCACATGAGCGAGTTGCAAAACAGATTCGCCAAGCTGGGCAAGTCCGCCGCCGCCAACCACCAGTCCTCCACCCCGCCGCCGACAGAGGGCACCACGACGGAGCAGAAGCAAGCCGCGCTACGCACCGCATCCGACTTCCACAAGAACCCGTCGTCCGTCTCTGTCTCCGACGCCCGGTCCGCCGCATCGACGTTCAACAACTTCCGCCAGCGGCACGGCGAGCAGGTCAAGTCCGGGGTCCAGAGCGCCAACAACTTTAACCAGAAATACGGCATCACGGAAAAGGCTGGAAACTATGCCGGAAAGGCAAAGAGCTTCTACAACGACCAGGTAGGGCAGAAGCAAGCCGCGACTACCGCGGACACTACTACCACAACTGCGCCCGCGGCCACGCCTGGGGCACCGAGCCCGCTGTCGCCTCCGCCTGGGCTGGTGAACGCCATCGGGAAGAAGAAGCCGCCTCCACCGCCGCCCCCAAAGAAGAAGCCCCAGCTGGCTGGAGCACCAGCGCCGCCGCCTGTGCCTTCGCCTCGAGCACCAGGGCCTGGCGACGACGATGATGCACCTCCTCCGATTCCCTTGGCAACCAAACCGACGTTTTGAGCGCAGCAGGTTTTGTGAGGCGGTGGTGGCTGGTGGACATCACGTACGATGTGAGGCGGGGTTGGTGCATTATTACGCTTTTACTTTGCGGCCGGCCAATGCATTCCGTGGCGTTTTGTTAATGGTCAGGCTACCTTCAGCTTTGCGGGGTAGTATTGAAAAAAAGGAAACCGAATCAGTTTGCTGTTGTGGGATTTCCGGAAGCAAAGCACTGTTATTCACTTTTCAAGTATAGAATGAAGTTCGTCGAGCAAATGCGTATATAAAAAAAAAGGCTGTTTCGTTCATATGGTCATAAGCACGGCCGACGCCTGGTGTGCACTTTTTTATTTTTTGCTTGCTACGAAGGCTTTTGGAAGGGATATATGCCAAAGCAGATGGGTGGTACGCTATAGCAAAGGTGTTTTTGTAAGACGTCAAATTCTTCGGTCCCGAACAAAAACACCGACAAAATCTCGAGTAAAAAAAGACAGGGAAAGAATTAATTCCGTGTCGAGATTTAAACCTTCATGCCCTCGAGGCCGTGCTGCCAGACGATGATGTAGGGGGTGACACCATCCTCGCGGTAGTTGAGGAGGACGACCCTGTCGACAGGTTAGCGTCTGTTGGGCGGGAAACGAGAGGTTATTTTTGGGTAGGGGATTTTGCTTACATTCCATCGGGGTTCATCGACTCGCCGGTGTAGAACTCGTAGTCCTTGAAGTTGGGAAGGAGGGTCTCCTTGACGTACTTCTGGGCACCCTTCTCGAAGGCGGTGATCTTCTCAGCGGGGGCGTTCTTCTCCTGAAGGGCAGTCTTGACGGCCTTCATGTAGCCTGTTTTGCGGAAGCTTGTCAGCTACTTCCTTCAAGCATTTGGAGCGAGCTTCGTTAGGGGTCTGCCTTGTACTGACCCTTGAGGTAGCCGAGGAAGCTCTTCTTGTCGAACTGGGTGGACTGGAGGCGGAAAGAGTGGACAATGTTGTTGACCTTGATCTCGGCGTCCTCAGCACCCTCCTCAGCCTCCTCGGCGGAGGCGTTGGCGCCGGTGTCTGTGTGAATGTCACTCGTCAGAAAATGTTTTTGTTCCTTGATTATATCGATGGGTTGGGAAGCGCGCGGGGTAAGCACCCAGCGGGGGTGTGTGTGTGTGTGTGTGTGTGGTGGCGGGTGAGTGGTTCACGAACCGACGTTGACGGCGCCCTCGGTGATCATGGCGCAGTCGGCCTCGAAGACAATGCCATCGACGTCCTTGAGGTCGTAGGAGTCCGAGATGATCTCGTCTCCGGTAAGAATGTCCTGTGGTGCGGTTGTTCAGTCAGCACTCAAAGGTGTTCCGTATCTCAAAACAACATTTTTTTCTCATTCCCCGCCGTCCAATGGCGGGGGATTTCCGAAGGAGGGGTAAAAAAACAGCTTTGCCCAATGGCATAAACCATTCTACTTCCCAAGGGAGATTGTAGTTTCGCGATAACAAGAAAGTCATACCTTGTAGATAATCATCTTGGCGGTTTGTCTGAGGTGTCGAGGAGGTGAGGTATTGGCGAGACGGCAAGTTCGTTGTCTGGGTCTGGAGAGGTAGGAGGAATGAGCAGAAAGGAGGGGGGTCGCTTTTGAAGGGCGAAAAGTGTTCGCAAATTTGGCAAGTGGGAGGGACTGTGTTTGGTGGGGTTTTCTGAGCTAGTCTTTATTCGGACTGGCGGCAAAAAAAGCCAGGCGGGTTCCTGTATCCGTACTCATTGGCTGTTAGTACTGAAGCCGTTGGTTTCCGCCAGATCCCTAACAACGTGGCGGGCTGCCCGAAAGGCGAGAACACTGTAGGTGCGGGACGTGGGACCAGAGCCTGAAGGAGATATCAACCCGATGAGACTCGACTTTCAAGGTCTCCTACGACAGTATTTCGCTGACTGTCTGCCTTTTTTATCTTATCGTTCAAGTGATTGTATAGAGAAACACTTCATTGGCCATACTTCAAATGCACCGAGCATCGTTGGCGCCTGTGGCATTTTTCTCGGCCAAGATTGATTGGTCTGGAGCATGTGGTGTTGATTTTGGCGAGGTAGTCTCGGCGTCTTACCTAAGCCGTAGATCTAAACTCGAGCCCTCGGCGCCGCTGCCGCTGAAGGGCCTTTTATGATACCCACCATGGGTCGTGGCTTAATGGCATTGAAGCTGGGATAGCCTCAATTACGTTCTGCGGCTGGTCGAGAGCGGTGAGCCCAGCCCAGCCCAAGGCTCCTATCAAACAGTTCTTCCGGGTCACATGAACACTCCTGACGTGTAACATCGTCTGGTGTTTTGTAAAGAGCCCGACACATGGGGTTGGGAGTGGGATGGCATTCATGATCAAGGACCGCCCTTGAGACAAAACATTGATTTTGATCCTCCTTTGACAGCATCCCTCGTCATTTTTATTATCCTCTCATTCTTCAGTCTTCCTTCTTGTTGTTTGGTCTCACTGATAGGCTCCATGAAATGTCGCTGGATCATCTGAGAAAAGGGGCGCTTATTCAAGTGCAGAGTGGGCGCATCATGCTTGTGAAATTGCCTTACGGTTTACCTAAGCCCCCCTCTTGGAGACAACACCATTCGGCGCTTGGCACTCGATCGCATCGCGGTAACACGGGCTTACTTAAGCTACCGAAGCGTCCGCGTATTTACGGCATCGACAGGGGAGGGCCCGGTGGCCTGACACGGCAGCGTAGCAAGCCGCACATGGTTAAAGAGGTGATGACAGCATGGGCAAGCCTGTAGAGCCCGCCGCAATTTACGCGAGCAAACTCGTGACGGGCACTCGATACAAGTCCGTCCGTGATGAAAGTGATTGAAAAGCAGGCTCACCAAGTAGAGTTGCTCGAAGAGAGTACGCGTTGACGTGTTGTCGACGATTCACTATCCGGATACCGCGGCCGTGGGATTCGACTATTTCCATAATAGACTTCAGGTTCGGTTGACCATGTCGAAAGGCCGGGGGAGCCAAGTGAACAGTTGTGGTTCGATCTGTGGCAAAAGCCGGGAGACGGTCGAAAGGCCAGAGGCCCGCGCCTTTTCACAAGCGAGATTGATAAAAGCGCATCATTCCTGGGCCTGGGAACCCGGCGCGGCGATACCTGCGTACGGATACCTATGAGAGAGATGGACCTATTACTGTGTACTCCGTAGAGGGAGAAAAAAATAGCCCCGACGTCGCCGCTAATCAGACTCAACGATCCGTACAATCCACAGAGCAAGGTACCCAGATAAGGTCCATTTGTACCTACTATCAGGCGCATCCAAGCACCGCATGCACCGGGCGCGCAAGTCACTCTGGTCAGCGTAATACATGCAACTTTTTTGGGCGCATTGCGAACAAGGGCCAATGCTAGTCCAAGCTAGTGAAACCTCGAACCAACTCGCCACCAGTCTCCCGACGTCCATTCTCTCACTACCACACTCACTACCTTACAGTACTACCTACCTGACTACTAATTACAACTCGCCTGCTGCTGCTCTGCTCCGTCTCAGCCCTGTGCTTCGCTCTCTGCTTTGACATCCTCCACCCAACCACCATCCCACCCACCTAGCACTGGCACCCCCAAGGATTGGCATCTCATATATCCAACTTCCGTCCGCTCCTTACAAACCGACTCATCCGCCACACGAACCTGTCACTCCCTTTTTTCTTCTTTCAATCTTCGTTCCTCCGATTCCTCGCCTTGAGACGCCCGCGAGCATACAATTCAATATTCCTTTGACCGACGCAATCCCTAATCCCACCACATCCGAACCGACCGAGCAAAACGAGAGAGAAACCGCCGAAACCGAAAACCCGCCATGGTAAACGAAACCATCCCACCCACGATGGCGGCAAACTTCACGTCGACCGTCGGCGACCTCCCGCCCTTGCCGGAATACACCCTCAAGCCCTATGCCGACCTCATTCCCGGCCTGCCCGACGTCTACCTGCGCATCTTCCTCCCCATCGTCGTCTACTGGATCCTGTCGCTCTTCTTCCACGTCATTGACGTCTACGACGTCTGGCCCCAGTACCGTCTGCACACCCCCGAGGAGATCACCAAGCGCAACCACGTTTCCCGCTACGAGGTCGCCCGCGACGTCCTCCTCCAGCAGCTCATTCAGGTCGGCATGTCCGTCTTCCTCGAGTACATTGACGAGGAGCAATTCACCGGCAAGGAAAATTATGACGTCGCCGTCTGGGCCACCCGCATCCGCGTTGCTCAGCGCGCCCTGCCCACCATCCTCGGCCTGCTCGGCCTCAACGCCGCTTCCCTCGCAAAGAACATGTCCGCCACTCACCCCTTCATTGCCGGTGCGCTCGCCGGCGGCCACTACCCCTTCCTTACCACCGAGCTCGACGGGTCGCACGCCGTCCCCGTCTTCGCCGCCTGGGAGCTGCTCGTCGCAAAGGCAATCTACTGGCTCGCTATTCCCGGAGTCCAGCTCTTCGCCGCCATCTCTATCTTGGACACATGGCAGTACTTTCTCCACCGCCTCATGCACGTAAACAAGTGGATGTACAGTAAGTGACAGCCCAAATCCCCAGACCCTCTCGGGACTCCGACTCGGCCGAATGGCCTCCGGGGGTGGTTTCGGCGCAAAGTGGCAAACAGCTCAACTAACACAACATCTCTCCCAGCGACCTTCCACTCGAGACACCACCGTCTCTACGTCCCCTACGCCTACGGCGCCCTCTACAACCACCCGTTCGAGGGCTTCCTCCTCGACACCCTCGGCGCGGGCATCGGCTTCCTCCTCACCGGCATGAGCGCAAGGCAGGGACTGCTGTTCTTTTGTCTGTCCACCGTCAAGACCGTCGACGACCACTGCGGCTACTCGCTGCCCTGGGACCCCCTCCAGCACATCACGAGCAACAACGCCGCCTACCACGATATCCACCACCAGACGTGGGGCATCAAGACCAACTTCTCCCAGCCCTTCTTCATCTTCTGGGACCGCGCCCTGGACACGCGGTACAAGGGCGACAGGCAGAACCGGTTGCTGGCGTCAAAGGGCAAGGGAGCCGCGGTGGCGGCCAAGTCCGAATGAGTTCCTTTAGGGCCTCGGCTATACTGTCACAACAACACAACACATATAATACAACTTAACTCTTTTTTCAATTCTGTAAAACAACCCAACTTGCCCCGATACCAAACACCAAACAATCGAAACAGAAAAAGAAAAAAAGTCGAGACCGGTTTCTGGAATCGCACATACAAAACGCGGTGGGGAGGAATATGGTTCTCGCAAACCACCACTTATACAATCAACTACAACTAGGGAAAGCATTGGGAATGAGGCGTTTTCAAATCATGTCGAAACAATGGCACACGTTCGACTAAAGGGGAGAGGGAAAGGAGGAGCAGTTCGCTCTTTTATTTTCCCATTGTCATTGTTTTCAGTATTGTGACCAACGAAGAGAAAGACTGGCCTGGGACTTTGTATTTTTTTTCTTTTTTTTCATCTTGTTCCGTTCAGGCCGTAAACACACTCGCAAGCATGCGAGTTTTGCCTTTGTACCCCCTTTTCTTTTTTTCTTTAACCCTGGGCCGCCGGACATCCTTTGAGATGTTGGTGTGAATGCCGCTCGCTCTTCTCATTCTAGCGGATACCTGGAAGACCGATTTGGAGAAGGAAGAGGCAGAAGAGCAGGATTGACATGAGGAAGAGCGGGAGGAGCGGGAGGAGGAGGGAAGAGGGAATGAGGGGGGGGACAAAACACAAGATAACCCGCTTATAACTACATTGACTAATGGAAAGATCATAATAATTCCTTATATTCGTTCCTGGTGTAGACAATGACCTCCGTGTGAGAAGGTGTGTACTAGCAGGCTATGCTCTACGTCAATTGTATTTGGCCTCAGAAGAGAGAGACGACGGGAGCAAGCCGCAAAACGATTCTGCGGCTCACGTCTTGCTGCGAGGATCCCCCATCCTTCTCCCGTTCTATTCTCATCATCCAAGTCCCAGCAGCGCTTCTATAATTATCGACGTGCGCCTCAAACGCAGATGCAGACAGATGTCGGGACCTTATGTAAGTATGTACAGGTAAGCAGATAAGATGCAGAAACTATTTGACATTTCGTACCTATTCCATATCACCCGCAGGCAGCAGCAGCAGCAGCATGCAGTCACGGAATAGGGGGTAAAATGATGTATTGTCGTTCGTCGGAGTTGGAGAAATATGTAACTTCCAAAGGGGGCGGCTCTCGGTCGTCCGAACGCTTGGAGCTTATCCTCGTATTTCTTGCCTGTCCGACATTCACCCAGTGTGATTTGACGATAGCGTACTGAGCGTGCTGCGTGCAGGTGAGGTGAGGTTCATTGATGATTCACAAACCATGGCACGAATACTCAACCTTACGCATATTCCTACGGACCAAGATCCCCAACCTTCATAGGTACCAATATTCCAAGAATACTTCCAAGGAAGCAGCGCCCGTCTAAAGATGGCCGATTGGTATGTATGTGCCTTTAACGCTCTTTGGAGCGTCATATGGGTAGCCTTGGGTGGTGAGCAATCCAACCAGCCGGTCATAACCAGTAGCTTCTCTTTTGGTGGCATTTTTATTGCCAGGAGTTTCGGTGATTGGGCGATGCAGCTCCTAGGGTCGGTACCTGCCTCGCCTCACCTATCATCACCAGGCTGCCTGGGCCTCGAGCTTGAGAGGTCGCCGGTTCGAGTCGACCTTCCTACCACTTTTTTCTCTCCATTTCTCAAAGTCGATTGGGATTCCCTTTGATCATAATGGTCAATGAGGACTACCTACGTCAAAGCATAATGGCTTCCGCCAGTTGCGAATGCTCCCTGTCTCAAATCTATTCATGTATGTAAAGAACAGTCCCCGCGCCACGTCTGGAATGGGATCATCCGACAATCTGTTTCCTCCTAGTTCCCTGGAAGGATTCTTCCCGTTCGTGCAATGATGTTTGAAAGAAAAACAAAACAAGACCTACAAAAAAGGGGATGCAGCCAACGTGTGCACATGCGCACATTGAAACGGGCGGCGAACTGGGCACAACTGGCCGTGCCACGAAACAAGGCATAGGAGGCACCTGGGGGCGGCGATCTGCCACTCTGCCACTCGAGCCTGCGCGCGTTTGGAAAAAGCCAGTCTTTTTGTCATGATCACAACGGCCTCCGTGCTTTCCAAGGGGAAATCCCGAAGAATGGCAAGTGGAGGCACCCATTGGGCTCATTTGTGACGAGGCAAGGTCGAGCCTGATGGATGATTGATTTGACACTTGACAAGTTCGGGGACGCGGAGTTCAAACGGGGTAAGAATCTCGGGGAGTCAGCGCCGTAGGCTGGATGGACGTCGTGGGGAATAATGCTGTTCTTCCAGTTTGGTGTCACTCATCCTCACCGCGATGGGTGAAACGACGACAGCTGTAGTCGGGACTCTCTGCCTGTGGTAACTTCGCATCGAGCACAAGACAACATATGGCGCCAACTACCACTGCAAGCGATATCGTCCGGTAACATGCCATTGGGTCTCTAGCTACGAGGTTGTACACCATGGCGCTTCTTCGAGCCACAATTGGAAGTTCGAATTGGAGCACTAGGGGTCGGGAAGTTTGAGTTAATTGCGTCCCACTCCTGAAAACCAACAGCCACAACATTGCTCCGGCGTTGCTTTTCTTGAGACATCCCACCGCAGTGTGGACAACCTCGTGATATTTGATGTCTTACACACACACTGGATCAGGAGAACCAGGAGATTGGGTGTGAACAGGGGTTCATTCCACTCTAGCATTGGGTTGGACCCTTAACGGCTGTTGGCTTCCAGACGTTGCACGACAGCCAATGAACTGTTCGGCACCCGACGGCCCCCGGAGTTCTTAGTTTTCTGACTGCGACGCTGTGCCTCAGCCAGGACCTATGTGGCAAGCTTCCTCAGACATGACAGTTCGTTTGAGTCGGGGAGAGCTTAGACAATCAGCGAGTGATGGCATTGGAGAAGTCGAATGCAGTACAGATGAACTGAGGACGGCCACAAAAATGTTTCCTGCGACGTGGATAGATTGGATCCGAGTCGTGAAAAAATACTAAAGCCCTAGGCTGTGGCAGCGCGCACAGTCGGATTCTACCGCCTTGTTTGAGAATTGCAAAACAAAGTTAGCTGTCGAGTCAAGTTGAGACGAGTATGGAGTCGGCCGTAACCGTTAAGCAAGGACCATTGAAACCTTGCAGTTTTTGCAGAACGCGGAACCGAGGGAGGAGATGCAGTCTGCCGGCCGAGTGTGCTATTACCTAACACCGATTACGAAGTTGTCGCTCAGTTCGAGATTAGAGTTATTGGGCAACCACAAGTGTTTGAGGTATCGCCGATTTCGTACGGGACAGTCGGCGGCGGTCTGGGTGTCGCTCATCACCAGGTCTCGACTCGGCGCCGCGTCGCATGAAGAAAGCATACGAGCGTAAGTCGTGGTGGGTAGCCATACCCAAGCCTTTGACGCCAGCTCGGAAATATCGAGGTTCCAAAAGAGCCTCTTTGCAAAGTGTACACCTCCAAGACGCAAACAGGCAGATTGTGCGGCAACGCAGGCATCCGGGACGTGAGATTTAGGTGGCCAAGTCGTTCCGCTCCATGTTGAAAGAGCTGCTACCGCCCCGTGTGATGCAACCATTGCATTTGCTGGCGTCCTCTGGACAACGGCCAAGTGCGCCATTCGTGTATGACCAAAGTCTCCCGTTCCACCGGTACCAAAGACGACGCTAGATCCGTGGCAGAAGGCATCTAACGCGAAGCTATGCAATGTCAACGTTGTGGAGAGACGAGGAAGCGTTCGCCTTTGCAGGTCTGCTACCGGCCGTGAGGAAGAGCTGGACAACACCACAAAGGAAGGAATGCAGGGTTCAGCATCTAGTTCCTTGCGCTAGTGCCCTTCGGTGGCTGCAGCTACCACCCCACAGCGGAGACATACCGCGTTCAATGGCTTGAACGCTTGTCAAGATCCGGTCTGTAGTATCGTCGGTGGTGGAGTGGGTAGTGATGTTCCGTCAACGGACTCCAGTTCGGCGCAGGTCCGATCTGGATTGGCGGGTTCCCGATTCATCTCGATGGTCAAGAACTGATAGCCATGCCCGTTGACCTAGCCTGAGCGTATTCAGCTGCGACGGAAGCGACTAAGGCCGGGAACGCCAACAAGCTATTGGCACCAAGCCGCAGGATGCTACCTGTAAGCCGGTCATCTGTGAGAGAGTGAGACATGGGCGGTCAAAGGCAGCTGGACTCGGATGGACATGGCAATTCCAACGAAACCGGTCGGCCGTGATTTGCAAATCGTGACGGACGGTAATCGAGGTATGACGCCGAATGGGACCTTGCATCGGGGCAACGGACAACGCGATTGTCCTGGGTTGCTGCGTTGCTATGTGTCCGGGTTGAGGTGGTATTGGGCCCTTGGAGACCATGCCTAGACTGTTGTCAACTTGGATCATGTTAATCAGGTGCTGAGTATCTGGGGCAGCCACGTCGGCGATACCACAAGAGAGGCGGCCTGACAATGAGGCCCCAGAGACGATTGAATGACAGGCACGTCACTTGGGAGAGTTGTTGTGGTCGGTGGCATCATGTGAGGCTTGCTTTTCATGCTGAAATGCAGCACGGATGTCGCGGAGATTCCAAGACGGCGTGCTGTGTGTTTGTACGGAGTATTGTGTGGTGTGCTGTGGAGTGAGGTCACTTGTGAAGTAGCAGTGTAGGAGTGGGCTTCGTCCAATGTAATTGAGAGGTACATCTGGGGTCGGGAAGCATTGGCAATGAAACCAGGTATTGCCTGGGGTGCATGCGGATACAGCCAATTTGATCGATCGAGGTCTGCGTACCGTGGCTGCTGACGAATGTGTAGTGTTTGATCGCCCGCGGCACTCCTCCCCGCACCATCTTTGATATGGAATGTGTGCTTCCAGTACGGAATATAGCATATATCAAGTCGGATAACGGCAGGTTGTGACGGGCGACGAACAAGGAGGGCGCGGTCTTGGACTCCTGCGTCAAGAGGCCGACGGAGGTCGGCGTGGGGCTCCCTCGCCGTCCACGGTACCGGAAGACCGAGACTGATTGGCCACCGCGCTGACACGGTTCACCCGCTGAGCGTTGCCGTGGAAGGACAGGACTGTGTGACTGGCCAGTAGGTTCCTTATGACGAGTGATGTGGTCGGGGAATAGACACGGGGGATTTGGAAGGAAGGAATACACGAAACACAAACCCAAACTGGCATCACCATGGTCGTGCTGTACCTGCCTTCTTCCTCGTAGAGGAGAGGTGGAAGGAAGGTGTGCCCACCTACCCACCTACCCACCTAGTGTGTACTTCCTTTACGGATACGTGGGTAGCTGCCCACTGACTATTACAGGATGACTGACGCTTCGCGATGGTTCTTTCTCAAAGGGGAAGACGAATGCGCCAACTGCGACAAGAACGGATGACCATGTTCTTTCCGTCTTTCCGTCTGCTTGTCACGGTCGACATTTTGAGGCAAGAAAGGCGCACGCAAGGTGCTTCGCTCTGACGGTCTCCTGGCTGCATCCTGCAGGTACAGAACGGTGTCACACGCACGCGCATAAGTTTACGCAGTATCCATACAGGTACACGGAGCTCTCTTCTCTGACCTTGAGCCGTCAGCCGTCTCGAATGCAAATGGCTTGGCCATCTTTCGGCCGCCTCAAGTCTCACGTCTCAACTTCACCTTGTCACCTTGCGCCGCAAATAGAGAGATACCAAGATACCCAAACCAACACCTGGCTACGCCACGAACCAACAGCCAACCGCCGTCTTTCTCTGCTTGCGGTTCTGAGACGGACCCAACGTCACCTTGATCAAATCGGCCTTCAGGGCTCCAGGGCTCCAGGGCTCCAGTGCTCCAGTCCAAAGTCACCTTCAAGGTTGTTTCCTCGCAGCTTTGCAGCCAATCCCCACTGCATGGTACCTTACAATAACGGACCTTAATTAAAGAACATCGTCCAATAGATCCTCCCGCACGGCAACATCCCCCTGCTCCTGCACCCGGCACTCAACCTCGAACAAGGAGTCAAGCTCAACCCACATGGCCTGTCGAGCCTTTGCTAGCCCTGGCCATAGTAGCGCGCTGCATGAACTGTTACTGCGCATCAGTCTGCTCCACGGATACTCAGTCACCCTCGCCATTCAGGCCTCGGGCTTTTCAGCAGCCTCTGCCACACGACCAACTGCGTCAGGAAAGGCCCGTTGAATTCTGTACCAAGTTTGAAAGCCACGATTTTGGTGGCTACGTCGCCCAACGCCGCTGTCGCCGCCCCATCTCGTCCCAATCTGGTCCAACTACCTTCACCATCGACGCCTCCTCCGACTGGGGTCTTGCGCGGGTCCTGCGGAATTACCAGAGGCAGAAGGGGGCTTGCGGGCGCTCAAAGCGTCGCCAGATCGAGAAGAAGGACCATTCGGTAATCCACACAAGTCCACCACGCTTCTCCTTCAGCTCTTGTCTTTCGCTAGTGCCCGTCGAGGGGCCCTTCAAATAGACTGGGAGACCCTGGCTTGCCCGTCACTCTTCCACTGGTCAGACCGGCCTGCTGAGGATCTCTGCTACGACCGTCTAATTATTCTCTCACCCGCGCTACTGCTTCAGCTTACAAAATCCTGGGTCCAACTCCGTCCAAGGCTCGCGAGACGTGCCCCCGTTTCCGTCCGAGGTTCATATTTATTACAGAGCAACCTCGAAAGAAACTTCCTCGACAACTATCCCGTACCTGTCCGTACACCGTACTCCGTTCTCCCACAAACCGGTCCCCCAAAGGCTCCAAACCCAAACCACCAACCTACTCGAGACGGGGTACCTGACGACCCATCTCAACCTCTAACATCCCATCTGGACATTTACAATTCCTCCGTTACCTCGCCTGTTTCCAAACCTAGGAACCGTACCTGCTTTGCCGTTTTTGCTCTGCATGCCCAGGTCCCGCCCGCTTGTTTCTCTAAGCGCTCGCCAGTCAGCGATCGACTTCACCCTTCCAGATCACCAACACGGCGCTTCCACGCGCATCCGGTCCCCTCCATTGGCCGCCCACCCTGTCCCTCAATTTCAAATCTGCCTGGCCAGTCCTCAACCCGGTGCTGCTCTGCGTCTATCCAGACAGAATGGGACTGCTCCTGGCGTTTCATTGATATCGAATTAGACTGTGGTATCCCAACCAACGCGGGCCAAGTCGACTTACACCACGCTGGCTGAGCCAACGTGCAGCTCCAAGCCTCCCCAGCTTTACCCGTACCAACATACGCGGCGCAGCGGGACAAACATTCCATTAATTGAGACTTACACCCCGCGACCCTATTTGACTCGGGCTTTCGCCTTTTTTCTAGCTTCCCATCATGGACCCTACGACGACACTCTTTACGTTCATGCTGTGAGTCGTTTTTATCTTAATTTCTTTGGAACCATTTTGGTCTGCTCGTTCTGGTCGCTTTCGTTTTCTTCTCCCGTTCGCTGGTCGAGACTTTGGCTTCGCTTTCGCTCCAAGCCCGTAAGATCGATCGTCCTCTCCATTCGAACTCGCATAATTGTATGTCTGGCCAATAGCCTTGATCCCCTCGTCCTATCACGTCTTCTACATGACTCCTGCACAAATCCAAGAACGGCCGAGTGAAGCAAAAGGCCTGCGAAAGTTCGCTGCCTCTCCTCATTTAGCATTCACACACATCTCTTCGGTTTCCCCAAAGGGTCGGGGAAAGTAGTCGGGGACCGGCGCCGAAGGTTGTTTGCTTCTGCTTAACCGTCTGCTTGGGCTCATGTTTCGAACATTGTCGGATGGAAAAGTTTATATCGGGTTATGCTATGCCCTACCTCCCCGGCCCTGGCCTGCGCCCGTTCCTCCCCTCACACCTTTTCACCTGCCATTACCAGCTTCTCAGCGGCAACCTTCCGAAAACTCCGTCAAACATCTTGCAAAGCCAAAAAAGCGTCGCCGACGGTGATCGGCACCTCTTCCGCTCCTGGGAGGGGGACAGGGGACCCGGTCTGATGCTCGGCGCAAGCCCAGTGGCTGGTGTCTTGGCCTCACATCACGCTTCACACCTTCTCACTTGCTCTTGATATATAGTACCAGAAGAAGCCCCTCCTTTCATTTGACTGACCATTACGACTATGTAGCCAGACTCACCCGACTGTAAGATCAGTACACTTGGTCGGCTCCTGGGACAACTTCACCAAACCATACATCATGGAACGAGATATCCGACGAGATCGCGGCCAATGGCGCGGATGTCACACCTTCAAGGACATTGTTCTCGACGACGACTTGGGTGTGAGGGATACGAAGCGCAACGGCGGCCTGAAGATGGGAAACACTTACTACTACTATGTAGGTTATTTGGCGACGTTAGGGTGATCTGGGCACTAACACGTCTCAGTACGAGATTGATGGAACGCAAGAGTCGCACAACCCGGCATTGCCTACCACTACCAACTGCCCCTACCTTCCTGGACAGACTGTCAACACTCTGGATGTTCCTACCGAGGTGGCCGAGCGGAAGAGAAGTGCATCCTTGGGCTCGCTCCGCCCTGGTGAACAGAAGACCATGAACCCCGAAGACAAGTTCGTTACGCCTAGGCCGCCGCCACCAGTGCCTGGCGGTCAAATCCGCAGACTGGGCTCCGCGCCGGCCGCACAACCTACCAGAGCCATTTCCCGCACCGGCTCTACGTCTCCTCCGCCATCTTGGCGTCGCATGTTCAACAGGAAGCCATCTACCAGCCGGCTTGCTGAGCGCGGTCGTCAACCCGACGATGAGGACCGCCCCCTTTCACCGTACTCCGGGTCTTCTTCAGACGACAACAGAAGTTCGGGTTCATCAGAGGGAAGCCGCACTCGCGACCTTTCCCCAGAGTCCCTGAGGCGATTTCTCTCTGATGAGAATCCCTTCGCCAGCGCTTCCGCCAGCGCCTTCGGGCGTCCGCCTGTCGCCATCCCCGACGACATCGCCGAGGAGGGAGATGATGACGAGAACTTTGCCAACTCAGCCTACGAGATCAATCCCTACACTACCAGCCTGTCACCACCACCCTTCAAGCGCTCTCACTCTGACAGCACCCTGCCGGTAGTGCACGTACCGAGGGTTCTCACTCGCGAGAAGAAGTACTCGCCCCTTCCTCCGCTACCTGTCAACAAGGCACTGAGGGACCTGGCAACGGCACCATCCGCCTCGCGCTTCTCTTTCTCGTCTGACTCCAGCGCGGCCTCCTCCATCGGCCCTATCTCTCCCGAGGATGACACCCCATCCTTTTACGACTCTACCGAAGAGGATCGATACTCCAACGAGAGCGACGCCAACTTTGTTCAGCCCCTGTCACTTCCCAGCACGAGGAAGCCGTCTCTGGAGCAGAACTACAGCTTGCCCCGGGCTCCCGGAATCAAGGTCCACCCTGGCGTCCACACCATGGTCGCCGCCCCTGCTGATAACGGCCTTGATGACTTGGTCAACGAGATGGGCTGGATGGTTGATGTTATTCGCGGCAAGGGCATCTAAACAGACAACAACGACTACGCGGGTTACACTATAAGGTGACTTTGCACTACCGTCGTACATATTGCTGGCCTAGCATACACACGGCCACCTAGACGGATTACATATTAGTTTATACAAAAGGCGGCATCGCATCAGCCTCTTTACCCATTGGAGTTCAGGGCTGGCCAGCTCGAAATTACCATGGAATCGGATTTTGGACGGAGTACTGTACGAGATATACCCTTTCCTTCCCCATTCTACAGCTACTACCACTCACGGCTTTCATGCCAACGGCGCTTTATGGAGTGGACATTTCGAGGAACTTTGGGGGCAACGGAACGGAAATCACAGAGGAAAAAGATGGGAAATGGGAACGGCGCAAATGCGGTACACATTACCATGGTGTTCGGAGTATCTGGGTCGCATTTGTCATGGCTGCATTCAAGCAAGCTCATTGATGGGAAACGATACTCATGCAAGCAAACTAGCGTTGCCAGTTTAGGAGGAACGAGATCGTGATAGATCAATGACACATCTACAAATGACTCAAGAAGCATGAAACTCCCTTTTTGCCCCATATGTCAAATACAGACGCCGTTGTGTCAGTTCCCAATACCCCGGATGAAGCCACCGGCTGTTAAATTGCGGCGCAGGGCCGCCGATAGATTTATCGTCCTCAGAAAGTAAGCAAACTTGGCTCCTTTTCGAGGCTCGGGCTCAATAAGCTTCTTTCCGCGTGAGTGACTCGACCATCTGTGCACCCGCGGTTGGGAGTTTCAGAGGGTTCGAACTTCGAAGATGTGGACGGTGGAAGTTCGTTGTGAGGCTCGGCCGAGGCCTCGTACGAACTGGGTGGGGTATTACTGCGATTGGATGGGATGTGAGTGAGTGTGTGAGTGTGTGTGTGTGCGTGTGTGTGTGCGTGCGTGTGCGTGTTCCTATGTGGGTGTGCCTGGATATGAGTGTGCCTGGATATGAGTGTGCGGGTGGATGAAGGTTGCGTATGGACAAGCTTGGGGATAGAGCAAGAGTAGGCGAGAAAAGATGCTTAGCATGAGCAATTAAAACCAGTGGGAAAGAAATGCCAAAAGGGGAAATATGTTCATCAAACCATCAAAAGAAGCTTAGCCATGCAGGTCATTGCGTTTTCTTCTTGGGATAAGGTACGGTAAGGTATGAGAGGAGAGTGAGGAGGAGGGGGGAGGGTGACGACGATGCGTAGTTGGTCAATGGACTGGGTACCCGACGGACGGGCGTTTGTCCTTCTTCTCTTTTTCCGTGACTTTCTTTCTCTTCTTGTTGTTCACGATGTTTACCTTGGGAAAGCGGCCGCAACTTGGCCGGCACTTGGGTCTAAGGCAGGGCATCTCGAGGGTGTTACTCGCTAGTTGAAGATTATGAGAGAGATTTCTGTAAAGTCAACTTTGGATTGGGTCCCACAGTTCCAATCAACCACCTTTGAACTTCTGTTGCTCGTTCTCGTCTTGTTCGTCTTTTTGACGGGTAGACTTTGAAAAAATTTCGTGTCCGGCGAGCGTCGTCATGGGCTTCTCTCACTCGGCGTGATGAGTATTCTCCTTGCCCTACTTGCCGTGTTTTCCCCGATCAAAGCCGGGGAGCATGACGACATGTCTTTGGGCACGATGGTCCGTTCCCCTCTGTGTGCCTTCCGGCGATGGTGTCTTAACACGCGTGTGCTCAAGGGGACTCACTCGTGGGAGGAGAGGGGAGGGGTGAGTGCGGAAGAGGGGGTCGGAGATGGAGGAAGAAGCGGCTGAATTACGATCCCATTAACCTCACGAGACCCCTCAAATGACCTCTCTCATCCGCATATTCTTCGCCAAGTGATGTCAACGTCGGAAAAAAACGAAGAGTTAAGACGGGAGACGGGGAGATGCGAATATTTCAGCGAGGTATAGTGTGGGTGTTCCTATATTTGCTAAATCATTCTCATCCAGACTCATTCATCCAGGTATCCAGATATGCGGCCGCACCAGCCAGGCACCAGGCACAAATACTCAAAATCTGGATGGTGGATTGTAGGACTTGTAGTGGTTGCTTATTCTTCATGCCCAATCGGCGGACCTGTGGGATTGGGATGGCTGGGAGTGAACGCTCAGACGAGGGGAAGGGGGGAAAGAAGATGGAGGGTATTAGTGAGACCGCAACACCGTTAATCATAGGACGACGATGTGTTAGTGAGCGGGAAAAACTCTGGATGGTGTGTGTATACGTACGTACGACTTTACACAGTAGACAGAAAGCTACGTGTAAGCAAGATCAGGTACGACTACGAGGAACGAATGAAAGCTTCGGACGGTGCGAGGGGGAGGAGACGGGAATCCGATATCGAACCCGAAAGCTTGGGATGGTTGTGTGTATGTATGGTACGGGTAGGCTTGATCAAAGTGAAGGTAGAGGGGTCGAATGGTTCAGGGGAAGAGTGTGAAGCATGCTTTGACGAGGCTCAACGTCGGATGTGAACCGTGTCAACAGCCTTACTTCCTGCAATGCCACCATAATACTCTCCTCTTCTACACTGCGCGCGCGCGTGTAAACGAATGCATGGGTAAGTGTGTCTGCGTGCGAGTACGTAGATAAATGCATGGGATGGTGTGGTATAAAAAAATGCAACTACGTAACTTCATCCCTCCCCCTACTCCCATCCACCACCCACGCAGCGTTTGGTGGTGTTTTCGATCACAGATTGGATTTCCGAGCCTTACTGCGTCCAACGGCGTTACATTTCCTCGTACCTCCCCTCCCACCTTCTACCATCTCCCTACCCCTGACCTGTCGGCCTTTTCCTGACCATGCGTTCCTACATACCCGCACCCATCACGACTCAGGTCCCCCAAAACCAGAGAAAAAGTCGAGACCTGTACTTCGCGTTAGACTTTTTCCTCTTTGTCACGGTAGTATACGCCTGTGCGCTGTAAGTGGTCTGCTTGTAGGACTGTACGTAAACACGTAACCGCGCCCTGGTCTGAACAAGAAACCATCCCAACAATTTTCGGCGCGCGCGAGAGAAAATAAAGAGATCTGGTAAGAAAAGTCAACCACTACACCCCCAACGTCCAAACATATTCTTAAATAACGTTTTTCATGCCCTCCAGTCAGCCGTACCACCTACCCATTCTATCTTGGCCAGTCTTCTGGTTTGGTCTGCTTTCGTTTTCCTCCCCTGCCCCCTTTCGTGCTTCATCATCCAGCTTCCGAGGGCCCCTTGATACCATTGAATTGTGTCATTACGTACGAGGTGGGAGAAAATCTCAAAGAAGCTTTGAGGACACGGAGAGACAAAGGGGGAGGGGGAACTCATCGTCGGGCTTTTGGTTCCCGGCCGAAAAGACTCACCCGGAGTACCGTGGAGTACTGGAAATCTATTTTACTCTTCACGAGATTGCTCTATGCCATTGGACTGGGCCCTTTGTCCTGGCGTGGTCGTCACACACATCTCTAATCAGTGATACGTAGGACCAATACTGTACCGTGATGACCGGTGATGCGAAATGCTCACAGCACAGACAAAGGTGAGAGTGAAGCAGTTGATCAATTCTTCTCAGAGCACTTCCGAGACGTCAGGTCGTCTTCCTCACAACGCCCTGCGGGTATTGTCACAATAGTAATACAGTATTCCCGTTCCATCCCACACGAAAAGGCCATATATAACGCCGTACCCAATACAGCAACGGCCTAACAAACGCCCGTGAACATCGGGGACCTCGAAATGTGAGCCCAGTCCCATGTTTTTGACTTTCCCTCCTACCCTCCTTCTGAACTCCCCATGTGTGTGTGTCTGTGTAGGTATGTGCCTTGTTTCGGCCCACTCTCTCCGATCTGATCGGTTGGAGCCTATAATTGTTCAGGGCGCAGGGCAAGCCGTCCGATTAAAAAATCCTCAATCGGCCGTGGCTTTCTCGTTCCCGTTAACGTTTATCCTTTTTCTGCTCAACTACTCAGGCGGGACGCCCGTAGAGTTTATCCTTACTCAGACAGCAGTCGCGACCGAAGCGGCAGCGGGTTGTGGGGCAGACTCGGCGACGGCCGGCTTCGCCTCCTTGTCCTGGGTTGTTTGAGCTTTGCCCGGTGGAGATGGTTGCGGCGCTTGCAGCTGGGCTGGCGGCTGCGGCTGCGGCTGGGCCTGCGGTTGCGCCGCCAACGGTGACGATGAAGGCACCGTCGCGGCAGCCGTCACAGCATCCATCTTGGTTGTCGGCCCATCCACCACTACCTCCTGAGCGGGCGGTGTCGTCTTGGCATCATTGGGTTCCTGCTTCTCGGTGCCCTCCCCGACGGCGCCGTTGGCCGTCTCTGCATTCTTGGCCTCCTCCTCTTCAGCCTCCTTCTTCTTTGGCTGTCTTGGCGGTCCTCCCTTGAGGAACCGTTCCGGCACTCCACGAGCAGCGTATGTGCAGCTGCCGACCCATGCGCCGAGCAAGCTGCTCCACTTGTACTCGCCGCGGCGGAGGCGTTGGATTTCGCGGTATGCGTAGGCGTTGAAATAAGGTAAGCCCGTCTCAGGGTCGCGGTAGCGAGCGGGGTGGGCGGTAATGACACATACTGGTCGAGGTGCTGGCTTCGCAAGGCGGTCCATCCGTCGTCCAAAGAGAATTTGGGTCTGCACTGTCTTGTCACGCACACGCTCTTCGTCAAAGTTGCGGAGGATAAAGGCGTTGCGAGCGACCTCGCTTGGGGGAGGCTCCTTGGGCGCTGGTGCCTCTGCTGGCGCAGGCGGCGCAGGCGGTGGGGGAGGAGAGGGATCGACTGCGGGTTGTGATGGAGGTTTAGGCGGAGCGATTGGTTGTATCGGCTGGAGTGATGCTAGTGAGGGAGGCGGCGGCGGTCTTGCTGACGGAGGAGGGGGAGGGGCTGGCATGGAGAGAGGAGACTTGTGCTGGCATGGATTAGGAGGCGCCAGAACATTCGACTTTGGCTGCGTCGTGTGTTGGGCTAGGTGGATGCCGCCCAAGGGAGGTGCGAGAACAGGCGGCGCGAGCACTGGAGCTGCCAACACCGAACTCTTTGGAGGTTGCGAAATAGGAATAGGAGCCATGGGCGAGGATCCAAAGGTCGGCGGTGGAGGCATTGATGGCGGTGCCATCATCCTGGATTTGTCTTCGGGTTTGGGCATGGCGAGTGACGATGATGGCGGTGGAGGAATGGGCGGGGGAGCCATTACATGAGGACGGTCTTCTGTCTTCACTGTCGGTGTAGAGTCTGTCGGGGCGGGCGTCGATGGCGATGGTACCTTTGGAGTATCGTTCTGCTGAGGTTGTTCGACGTCCGTTGACGTCGGAGGAACTAGCGAAGCATCAGGCTTTGTGTTCTGTTGCCCCTCTGCTGTTGGCTCTGTTGTCGCCGCAGGCACCGTCGGCTCAGAAGCATTCAACGCTGAGGCGTCCTCCTTGCCATCCTTCTGGTCCTTCTCCTTGCCCTTCGTCTTGTCCACCTTTTCCTTCTTTTCTCTCTTCTTCCGAACGGGCTTCTCCTCCTCGGCGACCCTGCCAACGTGCTTCAGATGATGCTCCCACTCGCCGATGCCGCTCCAGTACGTTACTACAGGGCCCTTCAGTGTTCGGTTGTTGAGTGCGGCGAGCTTCGCAAGCCTCTCTTCTTCTCGCGCTTTTTCGGCCACCTCCCATCTGTTCAACGACTTTGCGTTGCGCTTTTCGACGAGAGCAGCCTCTGCTAGCCGTTCCGCCTGTGTCATGGGCGGTTTCTTCGACGCCTCCAGCTTCTTTGCCTTCTTCTCCATGATGGCCACCTGTTTCAACCGCTTCGCCTCGCGTTCCTTCATCTGTTGGTGCAACTGCTCCTTGCTGAGCATCGTCGTCTGGCGGAGCGAGGCGCGGATAGGCATGTCAGCCACCGAGGGCAGCCAGCTCGTTCGTTCCGACTTCTTCTTCGGTCGCGGCGCGGGTGCGGCGGTCTGTTCGATGCGGACCTTTTTTCTGAACTTGGCCGGGATAGCTTCCTGGGCCTTGCGTTTCCGCGACGCCAGCTTCTTATCCCTGGCCTGCTTCTCGAGCTCCTTTTCTCCCTCCAGGTCATCCCCCTGCTGCTGGTCGTCCTCGTCGTCGGACGATGAGTCCATCTGCACGTCGGAACCGGCATCGTCAACATCGCTGAAGCCTTCGTCGTTGTCGTCTTCGGCGAAGAGCAGTTCGAGGTCCGAGTCAGGTTCTTCATTGGCGAGCATCGACTTCATGCGGTTACCGGCGGTAGACCGCTTTGATCGACCGGTCGCGAGCCATTCTACCGTCGTCGGGGTGGTGACTGTCGGGGTCTCATTTTCGCTGTCGCTGCCGCTAGAGTCCGAAGACTCATCGCGCGATGAAGGTTTGGTGCCGTTTGTGGTCGTAGCCATCGCGTCGGTCGAAATGGCAAGTGTCGAGTTGGGCCTTTAACCCATCTCTGCCGCGCGGTGGTGGGTGCGGCGTGCAAAGCCGGTGGCCTGTTCGAGTGAAATGAGTTACGTGGGTAGAATTTTGACGTTGATGGTTCTTGAAGAGCAAAGGCGGGAGACGCGTTCTGGGGGGAAAAAAAATTGTAGATGCAGCGGCCGTCGCGGCACTTGTGACGTCTGACAATTCGACTTTCCCAGGACCTCCCGACAAGGTACCAACTACAAGCGAATCGGGAGTTAGCGGGCAGCGGGCAGCGACCAACGGCCCCGAGTCCCTCAGTGGGGCTTAGTGGGCGTCACCTCCGTACGGCGTCACCCGAGGCATAGGCCACTGGTGAGACTGGCTAACACCATTTGTGTGGCGTTGGTATTCGTAACGCAGATGGTTCGTCGTTAGAGAACATGAGAATCTGATTTCCTAAAGATTTCTACATGTCAAGCTCATTTACATAGATTCTTATGACTTGCAATTGCTAATCTGTGGCTGGCATTACCAACTCCTATGTGTACTCCTTCCGATGACCAAACGCCGCCTGCTAATTCATGTAATGCTCCTGCATCCCTTTCCAAACCAAAAGCACAGGTAAGTCTATGCAAAACTCACATCTCTTCGCTCCAGCTCTTACCCGCCTGAGTCCACTCTTTACACCATCCGAACCAGTACCTCTTATTGCAACGAGGATCCGTAGGGGTTGCCTTCGTGGGCGCTGATGTGGGAGTAGCTGTGGGAGCGGCAGTGATGGTGTGGGACGGGGTCGCGCCAGGGAATAAAGTCGCGCCCGTGGTCGACGTAGTCTTATCCTTGCAGCCAAACCATCCAGGTGTCTTACAAGTGGTCGTCGTTGTTGTAGTCGTGGTTGAAGACGAAGTCGTTGTGGTAGTGGTTGTCTCGTCCTTGCATCCAAACCATCCGGGGGTCTTACATGTGGACGTGGTCGACGTAGAAGTAGTAGTCGTGACCGGCGTCGTCGTGGTCTCATCCAAGCAACCCCACCAGCCCGGCGTCTGGCAGGTGGCTGTTCGAGTACGCGTTTTCGATGTTGTGGAGGACTTGGACGTCGTTGTCGATTCGGTGCCGTTGCTCTCGTACATCTTCCAATTGGCGCAGTCGCGACATTCGGGTGTAGCCTTGCAAACTGGAACCGTATCGTACTTCATGATGACATCGTGGATCACAGATCGGATCTTGTGGGTTCCAATGCCGACTCTCCATCCCTTGTCGGCCACAACGTCGTAGACACACTCAAGCCCTGAGTGGCAGGCCGATTCCATGGCATATCCAGCGAAGGAGCACGTCGCAGTAGCGCCATTACAGGTGCCAATATAGATGGGGTCTGCCGTGTGGCCAAAGTGGAAAGCGCCAGTATCTGTGCGAGCCTGGTGAAGCATCTGGTCGTACCCCGGAGGAACAGGCAAACCGAGTCTGCTAGCAGCGAGGGCCTCTGGCACGGCCTCAAATGTCACGACCGGGATACCGTAGGTCAGGCCCAGGAGGGAGCTGACGGCACCCCCGAGGGAATGGCCCGAAAGCCAAATGTTGGAGTCGGGAAACAACTCGGTAACGTTCGAGTAGAGTTCCTTGGCCGCCGTGTAGTATCGGTGCTCATCCTTGAGCGCTTGCACGACGCAAGTGTTGTTGCATGAGTAGGTGGATGTGGCGCAGTCGCACACTTGATGCCAGGTCCACTGCCCCTGCTGAGCACAACAGCAGCTAAAGAAGAGGTTGTCGTTGACCTTGTCGTTGGTTGTGGTTCCCTCTCCGTCAAAGATGGCTGTAGAAGTTCCCTTGAGACCAATAACAATAGTCGAATTGCTCTCGTCTGCCCAGATGTGTCCTCGGAGTCCGTCGCCCTCCCATCCGAAATCAGCGCTTCTGTTGTAGCCGCTGCCGACATCTTCCCAATCCGCCTTGCCCTCCTCTTCGATATATGCGTTGGCAGCCATTATGGCAAGGCTGATAACCGTGTCCTTGTCTGTGATGTTGGGTCCGGGAACCTCGTCGGTGGTCCAGTCGGAAGACGACATGATGTTGACATAGCCGCGCTGACGAGCTTCGGTAACCATGGGATCGACAACAGACGGCCGACGATCGACCATGCGCTCAATATTGAGTGGCGTGCTCTGCGCCTTCAAAGGCATCACCCTTTCCCTCTTGTATCCGTCCTCCTCCGCCAGCCAGACCTGGTTATCGGCGCCGTCGGAGTGGCGGACATCCTTGCGTCGGTGCAGTTGAGGATGCCGATACGTGCCATGATGGAAAATGTGTCGTAATGTAAAAACATGCTCGCCCGAGTTGGGTTGTGCGGTGCTGGGTGGAAGCAGTGGCCCTGGTTGAAGGACGGCCTCATCGTTGTTTGGCACTTCCCCAACGGAAGCTAGAGTCGGTGATACCGCGAGGAACGATAAGAGCAGCTGTGCCGTAACCCTGCCAGCAGAGCTACACTGGCCTCCTCGCCCTAGTTTGAGTCTCATGGTTGTCTCAAGACGCAAGAAAATCGTCGCATTCAGGTAGAGCGGTTGGTGAAGAGTAAGGAGCGAAGGTGTCGAGATTTGGGGTCTCGCGGAAAGCGACGCGTGGAGGTAGATGAGTACAAGAGGATCAATGATGCCGACGTTGAAATGCGCAGACAACGTGCACCCAAGTTATGACAGCATCAGGTGGACGACGCTGGCGGCTGTTTACGTTGCCTCCGACTCACGGAGGGTGCACAGGTCAGGCCCGATAACCCACTTCCTGCGCCAAAAGGTCTCCGCCTCCGGATCTGCGTTACGACTTTGTACGGACGAGACTGCAACCAGCTTAACAGTAACCCTTGGCGGGTACCCGTAGTCTCATATCCCCTGATAAGGCGCAATCAGGGATACCCGCACCAGCATGTGACCAATGTCCCCTCAGATAGCGAGCATGTCTTCTGTATTCGGAGCTGCCTGGTGCCTGACATCCACCGTCCCACGCCACTTTGGGGGCCCATCGAGGGGCATCTTCAGCGGACCTTCGGCTACTCAACGATCCCGTCGCAACCCGTCCGGGTTGCCGCCATCATCCATGGCCCAGTGGAAGGAAACACCCAATAATTGATGACATTCCGAGGCACCATTTATGCTTCGGAATAAGGTACGTTGTGCAAGGTATCGAAATGAGCCTATCACTGATCAGGATCCAGGAATCAGGACCGAAACCAAAGTACAGCATCCATACTGAATACATACCTACCTATGTACGGAGTACGAAGTACAGAGGCTACCGGTATGAGGCCCTGAGGCTAAGACATCTGTCAGTCACCCTTGTGCCCCCCAGCACATGCATGCACTGAAGGTCGGATCCGTCTGCAGATGACACCTGGGCTTCCAATAAAACTTGGGCGGGGACATGGCGGGAGCTACCTTGTCTTCCTTACCGACCATAGCTGGCATGCTCGGTTGGTTACCTGCGTTACCTTCCTTTCATGGCAACGGCCTATTCTGAAGCTCCTCAAAGACCAACAATCCTCAAAACCTCATTACTCTCGCCCCCGTCCTCGCCCTCGTCTTTGCTTTGCGCTGGCACAAGACACCCCGTGCACCCCATCGACAGCACTGACATCATTTTGTTAGAGATGCGAATAGAAACATAGCTGCCATCTTGGGCCATCTTACGAGCCATTATCCCTGTTCTCCTGCTCCATTTATGGCATAAATCTGTCCCGCGTGCCACAACCAGGGATCTCTTTCCTCTGATATCGGGTTTCAAGATCGCTTCCACTACTTAATGCCGCCTTGACAACATCAGATCAGGTACGTTTGCATGTCAGCCCCAAGTCAGCGCCTGGAAATCCCTTCTTTTTCATCTCCAGGTCCTCAAACTGACCGAAGAAATGGCTTCCAGTATCGTCGAAACCATGTCGTCAACCGGCCCCTCCAAATCCCCAGCTCCTCGTCCCAATACGATACGGGCGCCTTCCTTCACTCGCCAGAGCGAAGATAGCGATCCTCTTCGAGTCCCGAAACGAGCTCAAACATTCCAGAATGGCAGTGCGGCTGACCCGTTGACGACGACCGCGACCGTCGCCAGCAAGGCCCAGCAGAAGCCAGCAGACGAGACCGAGGGTCCTGATGCTTTCGAGACTGCCGGAAGGCCGTCAACAGACAACGACGATGGATTTGACGGCCGAGGCTCTGTGGACCTGGGTGAGCTTCCAATTGAGCTAGTTAGTCTGACCGATAGGTATGGCGCACCCTCTTCCTTCGGCTTCACAGCAAATACTGATCGCGTACAGCTTCGTCGAGTCTCTCAGCTCTAGAACCCACCCCGCGCCTTTGACCATCGACAAAGTCTCTGAATTATTCCAGGATTTCTACCAAGTCGCATCCACCCACGTCAACACACACATCTCTAGCCTGATCACACGGCATAATCGGGATGCTTCGCCTGCGCCGTCCGCGTCATCCAAGGTCTCCACAGCTAGCAGGCTTCGAGCCAAGGCGGCTTCCCTCGGAAGCAAGGATAAACCCAAAAATCTTCCCAAACCGGAGCCGGAGCAGCAGATGATCACCGCCGAAGAACTCGCCAACAAGAAGAAGGCGCGGAAAGCAATCGAAGCCAAGCGCGGCATCATCGAAGAGGCAGTGGAGCGCAGATTGTGCGAAGGCATCTACAATAAGATCTATCGCCACAAGAGCACCCAAGACGAAGCGCAGGATTCAAAGCTGCGATCCAAGACCGCGGCACTCGCACTAGTCGGCATTGGACCGGCCGACCTGGGAATCGACCTTGGCGACGATGCATCGCAGACGCCCGAAGCGGCTGCAGAAAAGGCTGAGGAGATCAAGAAATCGCTTGAGCAGGCCAGAAGAGACCTGATTCTCATGAATGAGAAGCGATATCCGCTTGGCAAGGTACATCACTTGAAAGCAGCACACAAGGATATTGTCGAGACTCTCGCGCAATTCCACCCGTCTGCATCTGCAGATGAGATTATGCCTATGCTCATCTTCACCCTCATCACGCTTCCTCCTGAACATCTCAACGTTATTAGCGACCTGCACTTTATTCAGCACTTTAGATGGGAGCCGAAATTGACGGGCGAGGCTGCTTACTGCTTGACGAACCTGGAAGCAGCCATCAGTTTCCTAGAGACGGTCGATCTGTCTACGCTGAGGGCCGATGAGTTACCCCAAGGTCCTGCCAGAGGTATGAGCCAGCCGGGCACTCCGCGGGCTGAGACATTCCCCCCGGCGTTCCCGCCTGGACTGACAGTCACGGCGGATCCTTCGGTGGAGACCGACTCTGGCAATGCCACGCCAACGAGACCGCCTGCGTCGCCTTCAGCATCAGCCGGGCTACGTGCTGCGGTTCAAGCTCGGAATAGAAGACTGAGCGAGCTCGTCAACACGCCTGCTCAGGCCATTGGTGCCGCAAGTGATGCAGTGCTCAACACGGCCGATCAACACTTAAAGACGATTTCGACGAGCTTGGGCGATAGCTACAAGTTCCTGGTCGGCAAGTTGCGCGAGACACAGGGAACTCCGACTGAATCAGGCCAAGGACTCGTCGTGCCTAAGACGCTCGATGATGCTCGAAAGCTGATGAGCACCCCACCTCCTGAAGAGGAAGGGTCTGTTAGTGGTGCCAGCTCAATTCATGGCACGGAGGAGGCCGCATCTACTCGCCGACCTGCGGTCCGCGAAGACAAGGTTCTCAACCTCATCGGTGGACGCAAAGTCAGTCGAGATCACAGCGCAGACAGCTCGCGAAGCGTCAATAGCTCCAGAAAGGTGCTCTTCGCCAAGGAAGGGGAGAAGGATCTGCCGACGCCGTCTCCTGGAAACGCAACCAACCCTCTTGACTCAGTGAGGAACTTTGGCAACTCCTTTTCCAGGTTTTCCGGCATGAGCATGATCAGAGGTCTGAGCCGGACCGCGTCCACGCCTATTGTGGCGAAGGAAGCACCCAAGGATATGGCCAAGGATGGTCTAGCTACCAAGGTAGCTGACGGTGGCGACCTGGCAAGTGTATGTACTCTGACCACGAGCATTAACACCATTTACTGACTCTCGTAGGCCTTCCCGGACATTGCAGCTGCTTTACCGCCCAAGCAGACACCAAAGATCAGTCCGCCGAACAAGCGTTTCATGGAGATGCAGAACCCCGGCGACCTGAAGATCGGCGAGGTTCTCGAATTGCTGCGCGACTATCGACGACTGGCGACCACACTCAAGGACATGGGAGCCTTTGAGGGGTCCAAGTGAGGAAACGAAGTGGAGGGAGGTTAGAAGAAACTTGAAGAGATAAGATACGGCCTAGACAAAGCTTGCTGCACTCATTTGTAGGATTCTTGTGGGACATGGATAAGCATACTGGACAATGGCGTTTTGATTTTTATACTATTGTTTTCTCTCCAAACAAAAGTCTGGCCAGCCATTCTGGGTGAGGGTGGCTCTGCCTGGGCTTGAATTACCTACCACTAGGGAGAGAGAGCAATACTCAGACTAGGAGGGCCTTGTTCGAGAGACGGCCGAATACACATAAAGAGGGACACACATACACACGTTACACAATGGAAAAGAGATTTGGTCTAAACGAGGCTGTCGGGTGAAATTCCTGCAAAAGTGAAAATTGGTGAGAGCATGAGGCGATCGTATCCTATCAGAGTGGGACATGGCGTCAGTACATTTGTAACGGGCGTTTATGAGGGAAGGTAGTAGCAGATCATATATCAATCCGACCCTCGTTCTCTTATATACGCCTAGGAATGACTTTACAGTAGAGCAGAATTGTAGAAAGAGGGGTGAGGAAGTTCTTCTACCCTCACTTGGACGAGACAGATCAGGCCAGGTGGGGAGACGGAGAAGTCCCTAAGCGTTCAAGGACTGGAACACACTGCCACATCACCCTACCGACAGAGCAGAAGGGAGCATGGCGCCGCTTGGATTTTGGAGCCGTGAATCAAGCTAGCAAGCTGCCAAGCGCAACAACGCCGCGCGACGACCACCGCTCGATAACCGTGGAGAGGATCGACCGCAAAGCTCCAAGGACATGAGACCTCGCGCTGGGTAGGGCATATATGTTCTGGACGAGTGTGAGACAGAAATATCCTTGGTGACTTGTCTTTGAAGATTTGTTCTATTTTCTCTGCTATGCCTTGCCTGCTTGCCTTGCTTGCCTGCCTGCCTGCTTGCTTGCTCGATGGGGTGCCGTTATATTTAAAAGAGGAATTAAAGAAAATGCCTGGTGCGGTTGTTGTTTTTTTTGGAGAGAGAAGAGAAGAAGCCTGCCCACCCGTTGACCCTCAACCTCCCATCGACCTGACCGTTGCCCGTGGAGGTGTTCCCTCGTGTGTGTTGGTTGTGTTTGTTTTTTCTGACTTTTTCTACACTTGTCCTTTTCCCACCTTTTTGTTCTTTGTTTTTGGGGGGTTTACTTGAATTTTACTTCTTTTATATTCAACTGCCTCGAGAGCTGTTCTTCACTCAGTGGTTCCCATTCATTTTGGACTCCTTGGGCGGCAGCATACTAGCACGGTTCGTGCGCTCCTGCAACACGCCGCTGGGTACGCCGGCGCCCTCCTTCTCGTCGCTGATGAGCTTGTCCATAAAGGCAATGTAATCGTACTGCGGCATCCCCCGGTCCTCAGACGTATCGGGCCCGTTGTGCGGCGGGATGATCTCAATGAGCTTATCAATGACCTCGTCTGGCACGAGGGAGTGACGGAGGTCCATCTCAGTAACGTAGGGCTTCCCGTCAGCGACCTCGCGGAAGGACTGGAAGACCTGCTCGGCGGTATTCTGGTCCTCCGTGACGTCGACCATGAAGCGGATAAACTGCTCAAAGGTGACGTGGTCGCGGCCGTGCGAGGTGTCCATAAAGTAGTCGTGCATCTCGTCCTCGGAGAAGACGAGACCAAGGGAGGCGAGGGCGGCGCTGAACTCGAGCTCTTGGAGCGAGTTAGTGTCGTCGCGGTCAAAGTGACGGAAGACGGACTCGAACTCCTCGAGCTGGATGGGGGTGAGGTTGGTCATGTTGCGGGCGACCATTTGGTTGTCGAGGAAGGCGAGCTTCTTCTGCACCGAAGACTTTACGAGGCTGTGCTCGTAGACGAGCTCGTCGTAGGTGTAGATTGTGAAGTCGTTCTCCTCGATGTTGGCCTCTTGGCACTTGGCGTCTACGGCGGCGATGGTGTCGAGGTACTTGTCCAGCGGGGGGAGGTTGTCGCTGAGCTTGCGGACGTGGTGGAGCTGGTCCTCAACATCGCCGTCCAGGCCTGAGATTGCCAGCTGCATGGTGTTCAACGCCATGGCGAAATCGTTGGCCTTATCGGCGAACGACTTGCGTAATGCGTTTTTGATGCTGCGGAAGGGTTAGTACTGGGACAAGGTGCTTAAACGTAGGTGTACTCACTCTCTGATGGTCTCGTTAATCAACTGCGCCCTCTTCATCTCCGTTTGTGACAAGCCGGACCAGTCTCTCTCCATAGTCTCGAGCGACAACTCTGGTGGAGGGTCATACGGCCGCAGTCTGTATGTGCCCAACTTCGTCTTGATGTTGCCCAACAGAGTGGCAAGCTCGCTCTTTTCAGCAACCCAGTCTCTCTTCTTCCCCCGCTTGTACGCCGCAAACTCGTTCGCCTGGGCCTTTGCGTCGGCGTATGTGCCTTCAAACGTGGCCTGCTGCCACTTTTCAATCTGCTCCTTGATCTGCCTCAGCAGCTCCCTCATCCGCCTTTCGTACGCGCTCTGCATGTCCCAGGCGCCGGCCATGTTATTTACAAACTTTTCTACACGACGTCCTGCGTTCTCGACCTTTTCCATCTGTGAAAAGGCGTGGAACCAGTAGGCGATGTATGTCATCAGCGACCTTTCATCGGGCTTGGCAACGTCGCACACATCCTCGACATCCAACAACTTGGGAATGCCAATTTCCTTGTGCGCAATGTCAAAGGCCATCTGCATGTTGCCGCGGCGGTCCGACTTATCGAGTGCGTCGTAGTCGATCAGATCTGGTCTGTGAATATCCAACAAGGCGCAAAAGGCGAGTCCGTCGTTCCAGCTGCCGCTGAAGTCGCGGACGTCCACCTCGTCGTAGCAGGCCGTCTTCCTTTGACACCACAGCAACAGTCCCTCCTTGGCCGTCATGCCCTCCTCATTGATGTCGCTAATGGTGAAGCGCAGAATGAGCGTCCATATCAGACCGAGAATAATCTTCCTGTTTCCGTCGACGACATCCTCGGCACCAATGTTGGTCATCTGGATACCGCGACCCTTGATGAAATCGAGTGCCGTGTTTGCATTTTCGAATCGTTGTACGCGGAGCTTCGGCTTGGACGCATAGCGTCCGAGGGTATCGTTGGACAGACATTCTAGCAAGTGAATGAGGAGGACCTGTTTGGGTGAAGAAATCTGTAAGCCAAGCGAACCCCGCACACCAATGAGAAAATAGGGGTCCAACTAACACCGTCGCTCAAATCAGTCACGAGATCCTTTACTTCGAGTGAGCGAGCCTCCAATTTGGTGTTCATCCTATTGTCAAAGAAACGCGAAAGTCAGTTCATGATTGTTGCAACCCCCTCAGCAGATTGCCTGCCAAGTTGGGGGTGGGGGGGTTGTCGTCGTGGTTCCCCCCTCAAAGAGTGAAAAGGGGTCGTACCATTTGGTAAAGGTCTTTTGCTGGACCGTGATCCATTTCTGCTGTTCCGCAAACGCCATCCTCGTCAGGCCCTGATCATGCGGCGGCTCGACGGCGGCGAGGGCAGATGCGGGCGAGGAGCCGGTGGCGGAACGGAATCGGTTCTTCTTGGCTACGCTGCTCTTGCGTGCGAGAGCGAGGTTGCTGCTTCCCGATCTCTGGAGGCGGGCGGCCTGTAGCTCGGTTTTGTCTCGTCTGGTTCTTGGGCTGGGGGAGCAACTGATGCTGGCTCCGCTGTCTGTACGGACGCGTGAGGCGGTAGAGGAGGCGGGGGATGTTTTTTCGGATGTTGTCGAGAAGTACGACAATGGGCGCTCGGCGGTGGTCGGGGTGGTAGGGGTCGTGGATGCAGGTGAAGATGTGGACGCCTGGCTGCCGGCCGAGTGGTCGTGTAAACAAAACTCGGGGAATTCCTCGTTGCACCCTACGTTGCCGGGCAGACTGGCGCCCGACAGTGGGCGCGCCCCCTGAGGACGGTCGGCGGTGGACGTCATTTCGGACAATTCTAGTGGCTCGCTAAGTCGGTTGGCAGCGCTCGTCCGCTGCAGGCGCCGGGATTCGATAGTGAGTTCCCTTATCGATAACCACTGAACTGCCGAGAATGGTATTCGAGATCGTCGTTAATTTAAACCGAGTTGCTCTTTTGGGGTTTTGTACGTCCAAGTCAGGTACAACCAAATGCAGTCATGGAGTCATAGGTTCATTCGTCGTAGAGTTGAAGAAACAAAACAACTGACGATGCAACAAATTGGTCAGAGTAATAAAAAAAGGGAACAGGCAACGCATAGTTCAGTCAAATAGGGGGAGCCCTTCGTTTTTTAATACCATCCCGTCCACCCACACGTAGACGCCATCAGACAAAGACCACCTCTTTACTCAACCCTCGCCTCAACTCAAGCAAGGTACCTTGGTTTGAACAAAAAAGCACCCAAGACAAGTACAGACGAAAGACGTCGCGCGGCCACTCACACACCCACGACACCCCAGGCCACTCAGGAGAGATGCGAGGTCTCCCCCAGGCGCGCCATCGCCTCTGAAACAAGAGCCTGTCTCCCGTCCCTCTCCACTTCCCACGATCAGGATCGCTCCCCTTTCGTTGATCCCGCCGCTAGATAAATGAACCCTTTGACGAGTCGTCGAGTCTGCTCCTCCAAGGCAAGCAGGGCTCACAAGCACCGTGGGTCATTTGGGCCCATGGCTTCAGAGTTGCTCGCCCCCGGCCGCAGAGGGGTCCCCGCACACCCAACCCTCTCGTCCCACTGTCGAAGCCACTCATGCATGCAATAATGCTTGGAGCTGATCGGCAGGGATCCCCAAGGATGCCATTGTGGCCGTGAATTCCCAAATGGGGCATGCGTAGCATGTCCCTCCATCGTCGCGGATAAGTCAGTTTGCAAGAGAAAAGGGGAGGCTCAGTGGTCATATCTTATGCTATTCGCCTGGATCCCCAACTAACCATCCCGGGCACATGGTCCTGTTCTGGTCGAATGCCTTTCTTGGGTTCTTGGAACATTCTTCCCCCTTGAGCCACTTCCGAATGGGGGGGACGGAAGACCGTTGTAAAGTGAATTCCTCTGACAGTTTTGCCCACCCCGCGCGTCACTGTACATCACCCGTCAAACCATACCCCGAGCCAAGGCCCGTCACGGCCTCTTGTGAGTGGATGAGCGTTGAGAGAGTGCATGAATGAGAGTCCGGTAACTCTAACGAGGATCGCGTCAAGAACATTGGACGGAGATGAGCCAGGACGGTACTGCCCAGATCTCTCAAAGTATTTCAGTTTCACTACCACACTATACTACCATAAAGGGACTGGATTCGACTGAGGTTTAGCCGCCTGCCTGCCCAATGTCTCGTGGACTTGAGCCCCTCGCAGACCAGATGCAAGACAGGAGAGTTCCCAATCTGATCAAGTGGTCATTTGGTGTTACGGTCACATTGCGACACCTCCCGGGCCTAGCCGAGACAATAGCTCGAGATGGAAAATGATGAGGCCAGGTTTTGTCCCAAGCTTGGGAGGAATTTGTAAATTCGCTGGGAGCTCAGACCATAGGGCATGTATTCATGACCTAGCCCAAAGTAATTGGGTATGAGCGGGTTCTGAAGGGACGATGTGTTCCCTCTGATACTCAGTCATCAGGATGTCTATGATTCCAGACAAAGACTCGGGAAAAGGAAGAACTACTGTGCGATACGCCGTCACGCTGGAAGGGTGATACATGCAGCCCGTACTCTCGGAACTCGACGTGCAAGAGCAAATGCTGGTGAGCGTCATCTTGCGAGGATCGACCTTGTTCCTCAGTGCTACTGTGTCTCGACAGTTGCTATGGAGACGTTGCCAGATGGCAGTATGACTTGTAGATAGCAGCACCACGATCTTGATGAAATGACCTGGAGTCGATGGTTATCAGCCCTAGTGCCACTCAGCCGTGTGAGTTGGGCTCAGTCTGTTTACAGGCATCTTCAATGTTGTCGGCATGATTGTGATGGCGGGTATCCAGTTACTCATGGCAAGGTGTTGCAGATGCCATGATGACTAAGCAGGGAGCCTCAGTGAATTTGAGATGAGATGAGAGGACATTTGATCTCAAAATTACATCATCGTAAAGATGTGATTCTTATGTAATTCACTGGATATACTCAGATGCATTTCTTTTGGCACCGCTTCCTTCATAGAACAGTCAATTTCTGGCAGCTCAAGCGAGCATACGAAGACAAGGTAAGGTAGGCAAGCTGTGAGGGTACAGTGGTGAGCAGTAGTGTCGGCCAAAATGCAAACTTTGCCGACGGAGAAAAATTCAATCTCGCCGAATGACATTATCGGGACTGCTTCCCCGTGGAGAGACGGGAGCTGCAGCAGCTACAGGCGGCTCAGCAGCATTCGTCACGCAATTAGGTTGCTAATTCCGCCAAAGCCACTGGCTCTTCTGCAGGGGCGTAAGGGGCGTAAGTGACTTACTTTAAAGCCGAAATCGGGGTTTTTTCATCCAATTGTCACTGCTCGGGGGGGGGGTTTTTTTTTTTCCAACCTGGAAATCATCAGTTCGCCGGAACTTGTGACAGAAAAAATTACAAGAAGACCAAAGTCTCACATTCCCATCCCAGGCTGGCCTCTTGTCCCTCCTCCTTTCCTTGCGTCCAAAAATCCCACCACACACAGTCACACAATGGCCTCCAGATCAAGAATCCAGCCGCTCCTCCGGACAGCGGCACGGAGGCAATCCCTCCTGCCCGCCGGTGGGCGGCGCGTTTTGCGGCAATCCTCGGCCCCGGCCGGCGCCGCCGCCACCACCCGTTGCATCGCGACGACGGCCGCGAGGCTGTCCAAGACCGACGGCGGCCTCAAGGAAATTAAGCTCACCTCGGCCGCCTACCCGGACATCAAGCGCGACACCCGCTTCGCCGAGGTGACGGACGCCCACGTCGCCTACTTCAAGGACCTACTCGGCCCCTCTGGCGTCGTCGAGGCGGCCGACGACCTGGCCGCCTTCAACGAGGACTGGCTCCGCAAGTACCGCGGCGAGTCGCGCCTCGTCGTCAAGCCCGCTTCCACGGAGGAGGTGAGCAAGATCCTGGCCTACTGCAACGAGCAGAAGCTCGCCGTCGTTCCGCAAGGGGGCAACACGGGTCTCGTCGGCGGCTCCGTGGCCGTCTTTGACGAAATCGTCATCAACATGAGCCGCATGAACCAGATCCGCTCGTTCGACGACGTCAGCGGCACCCTCGTCGTCGACGCCGGCGTCATCCTCGAGACCGCCGACAGCTACCTCGCCGAGAGGGGCTACATCTTCCCCCTCGACCTCGGCGCCAAGGGCTCCTGCCACGTCGGCGGCAACGTGGCCACCAACGCCGGCGGGCTACGCCTGCTCCGCTACGGCAGTCTGCACGGCAACGTCCTCGGCCTCGAGGCCGTGCTGCCGGACGGCACCGTCGTCGACGACCTGTGCACGCTGCGCAAGAACAACACGGGCTACGACCTCAAGCAGCTCTTCATCGGCGGCGAGGGCACAATCGGCATCATCACCAAAGTCTCCATCATCTGCCCGCAGCGCTCCAAGGCCGTCAACGTCGCCTTCTTCGGCCTCGAGTCGTACGAAAAGGCCCAGCAGGCCTTCAAGGCGGCCAAGGGCCAGCTCGGCGAGATCCTCTCGGCCTTTGAGCTCATGGACGGCCAAAGCCAGGACCTCGTTCACGCCGTGCGCGGCAACAAGCGCCCGCTCGAGGGCGACCACCCCTTTTACTGCCTCGTCGAGACGTCCGGCTCCAACGGCGACCACGACTACGAGAAGCTCGAAGGGTTCCTGGAGCACGTAATGTCCAACGAGATCGTCTCGGACGGCGTCCTCGCCCAGGACGAGACGCAGCTCAAGGCCCTCTGGGGCTGGCGCGAGGGCATCCCCGAGTGCCTGGGCCACTGGGGCGGCACCTACAAGTACGACGTGTCGATCCCCCTCAAGGACCTCTACCTGCTCGTCGACGACACCAAGGCCAAGATGGAGGCGGCCGGGCTCGTCGGCGACACGGACGAGTTCCCGGCCATTGGCGTCGTCGGGTACGGCCACATGGGCGACTCGAACCTGCACCTCAACGTCGCGGTGCGGCGGTACGACAAGCGCATCGAAAAGGTCCTCGAGCCGTTTGTGTACGAGTGGATCCAGGCGCGCAACGGCAGCATCAGCGCCGAGCACGGCCTGGGCGTGGCCAAGAAGAACTTTATCGGTTACAGCCGCAACGAGACCATGGTTGGCCTCATGAAGCAGATTAAGAATCTCTACGACCCGGTGAGTAGTAACCTTGTGTCCATGTCCTGTTCTGTGCCTTTACGGCTGCCTTTTTCGTCTTCTTTTCTCTCTCTCTCTCTCTTCCCCCCCGCTTGTTTCTCTCTCATCAGGTCATCAAAATCTCACTCTCACTCCCACCCCCTGTCTGGTTCTCTCTCACACCGACAACAACGTTGCGTCACTTTTCTCTCTTACGTCCCCATGCAACCCCCCCACACCGTACGCAACCCCCGGCTCCGGGGAAGGGTTCCTCTCTCTCGCACTACACATACAGAATCCCCCATCACCGGGTTTCTCCTCTTGCCTGGCAGCCTAGAAGGAATGCTGACGTTGGAACCAATTAGAACGGTATCATGAACCCTTACAAATACATCTAAAAAGGAAGCGCCAAGATACGATACCCCCATCTCTGGACGGAGTAACAGCAGTTGCCAGAAAAGAGACACCGAGGAGGCAGCAGGCAAGCAAACAAGGCAACTTTCGAAGAGGAGCCTAGGATAGCCGGACTCAAGTCCGTCGTTCCCCGCGTAAGATCGGGTTTGTGGAAGTGGTTGGATGGAAAGGCTTAGGTTTGGTCACTTGTGAGTGTGTGACCGACCCTAGGCATCACACTGCCCACATCATCCCACTCACCCACACACCACATTGTCCCTCTCTTGCTCTTCCACCACCCTCTCCGTCTTCTCATTCATACGAGAGATGGTTAAGCAACCAAGCGTTGCTTTGTAATCCAAGGGCAAGAGCATTTTTTTGTCTTGTCGTAAAAAATAAAATAAAAACGTGACGACAAGTACCTGAAGCCCCAACCAAATTCGTTGTGTAGGGAAAGACATACTTCCTAATCCGGGCATATCTTGAGATTTGGTTTGTCTCACTTGGAGGCGCGGTGCGGAGAAGCACATTTTTTATCTCTCTCTATTTAGCAGGATATCATCACATCATTGTACCGCATAATACCAAAAAGAAAACAGGAGTTCATGTTAGCCCCCGATGTGTGCCAATGCCAATTTTCTCGGAGAAGGGGGAGGGGGTTGGTCGTGTACAGTGTCTCTCGTGGCAGGCCTCCCTCTCCTCCGATCCCTCAATATGTCGCCAAGAGGGACCTAACATTTTGTCTCCCATCTCAGATCGGATGTTTCGAGGGAAGAGGAGCGGCAGCAGAAGCAGCCAGCAGATGTAGTGTAAGGATAATCAAGGACCTGTCAGTTGTAAGAACAGCAAATCCTGGGACTTTCAGCCGCAATACCCAGAACCTCCCCCCCCCCCCCGCCAGCAGTTCTCGTCACTTTATAGGTTGGGAATTCGCAGATACTTGCAGGTTCCGAGCTCCGGTCCGTTTTTTTCAAGTCAGCCCCCGCAGCCTTGAATACCGGTGACTCGATCTCACGGTTCCAAGTCATCATGGGTTCCAAGTTCCTAGTGCAGACTGCCAGACGTGCAGACCCAGTAAGACCATTGGGCTGGGAATATCACAAAAAGGTAAAAAAAAAAAAAAAAAAACCGAAAAACGAACCGGGTGATATGCGGTACCAGGTTGCCCGGTTCGTGGAAATCCCAAGAAACCCAATCGATTGGCTGCGGTACGTCCCAGCCCTCCGATCCTGGAGAGGTAGGTGTCGAACTGCAACCCTCCAATGACATGGCGTCGTCACCGACTCCCGGTCCGGTGGTCGCGGTGTGATCGTCAGAGTTCCGTCTCTGGGGGTGGTTCGCGCGAGTCCTCATTGCTTGGTACCTAGCCCGTCAGTCAGATCCAAAGCTACCTATCCCGTAGACAGTAGTGTACCATGTAACCCCTGTCAACGACCTGCGTATGTCTCTCGGCGGCCCCCTGGACCGACCGGGCTTTCCGTCGCCGTTTGGCTGACGGTGAGTGGTGACAGGTGCTGGCAGGCCCTGGGCATCGACAATCTCACCCTTACTGTAGGTTTTCTACGCTCTCATTCGCTGCTTTACTTTGACGCGGCACTTGGGGAACGGCCGCACCGACGTCAGCCTCCGCCGCAGCCAATCACGCCGTCGAGAGGATCCCGTCCTGCAGTCTGCTCCGCCAGCCGAGGGTGGGGCTCTTTTCGAGCAAGTCGCACCTCCGAACCAGACCCCTGTCTATTCGGTCTGCTACGGCATGCAGCCCTACGGGGCCTTGCCTGGAACGTGCACTCGTCCGCGCGGGGGACAATGCTCTCATCTAGTCTCATCTGCTGGGACGGAGGGATGAGAGACAGACGGTTGACATCAATCTTGTTTACACTTTGACTTTGATTAGCATCGATCGATAGTCTCTCTCTCTCTCTCTCTCTCTCTCTCTCTCTGCATGTCCGGAGTACTTCCCGGTGCTGGTGTCATTGACAGGGTGCAACGATCCCTTCTGAATGGCCGAGGCATCTCGGACCATCTCACACATACGAATGCACACAATCGGTGCTAAATCACGCTCATTTTCCTCTTCCAGCCTGTCTCGCCCGCTGATTTGCGTTCGTGGGCTTGTCGACCAAGGTTTGGGTTTTGCAAAAAGGAATGTCCTAGATATCGGTTGGATTCCACTCGTGTAAGGGGAAAGGAGCAAAGATGGATCATGGCCTCATCTACCTACCTTACCCAAGGTAGGTACACTTCTACCAAGGTAACTGGCATCACATCTCGGCTGCAACTCGCCCGGCGCAATCTACCCGTACCATGCCTGAAACCACGACAAGAACGGGCATCGCATTCGTTGATCGTCTCGGGGCCGCCTGACTGCATACCGCAGCCGCAGTCGTCTAATTCGTCCCGGGGCGAACCAAACCATGTGTGATTTCCGCGCCCTTGGTCCCGTCTCATACGTTGTCGCGGTCCACCTTCGGTAGTAAGGCTGCATCACACCATCAACTGGCTCCCGCGAGGGGGGCTTGTGTGAAGCCAAGTGAACCGTCTACCTTGGGTCCCACAGCCCATCCGGCAGTGGCCAACGTAAGAAGCTCACTGATCCGCGCCCTCTTCTCAGTCTTGGGGGCCGTTAGATGCCTGCTTCCCCCCTTGCGGCTCCCCAATGTGATATATATCAACCGGCCCAGTACTTGTTCTTCCCTATTCAACCTGACGAGAGGATATCGGTTATGGCCATTCTTCTTTTGCAATACCTCTCTCATCATCAAAGGTCCCTGTTGTCAAGATGGTTGGAGTCCGTGGCAAGTACAAGGGGTGCGAGACATGCAGGGCTCGAAGAGTCAAGGTAAGCACTTTAAAATGCGTTTCGACAGCAAAAACGCACCCAGCGGGCTGACGTGTCAACGGTTAGTGCGATAACGAACGCCCACACTGCCGCAAGTGTATCGATAGCGGCCGCGAGTGTGCTGGGTACGAACGAGAGATGGTCTTCATCACCGCAACCATAGACGACGCTGGCCGCTGCTCGTCCCATCCGCCGCGCCAAGTGCAGCCGTCTTCTTCGAGGAGGTCAGGGAGAAGCCAAACTGTGGAAGACGAAGTTCCTCATTTGGTACCGACAGAACCGTTGATGCCGGCGTGGGATGATTTGGTTTCCGTGTCCGACAACGGTGTCGTGTACTCGATACAGATCGCGGCGTTGCACACCAGGTTCCAGAATATCCTCAGGGGACCCGAAGGGCAAGGCCAAATCAAATTTCGGATGGCCCTACCGCCATACTTGCCAGTTGACATGGAGACATGGGACAACGGCGGCAACATGGACCTGAATGCGCAGAACATGGTCAGTCTGCTACCATCGGGGAACGATAATGGGGTCCCGGAAGGTCTTTGCGTGTTCTTGTTCGAGGTTAGATGCTAGATGGTCTTTGTGGACGAGCCTATGCTGACTGTGCTTGTAGCAAAATCCATCCTTTTTGGTAACCAACGGCATAACTCCTTGGAGTGTCCCACAGGAGCATATGGACGTCGTCAAGAAGCTTGGCCCGGAACAGTTTCGCCAGTTTCCAGCTCATCACTATTTCGTCAGGGTATATAGGTGTAATGCTGTAAGATACGCGCCATTGACCCTGAGAATGACTCGAAAGGCTGACCTAGTGGCAAGATCATACTCGCTCTCTTACACCGAAAGACGACATACCTTTCTTCGTTCGAATGGTGCACCATCCCGTGGGAACAGCACCCCAAGACGTTTCTCGACAGGCTCTTTGACATCATCGCCGGGTTGCCTGGCATTTTTTCTCGCGTCGACCGAACGACACCCTTTGCTGCAACCTTACAGCGTCGGCTAAAGGCCCAGGAACTGCTGGAGAGCTGCTTGCAAATCGAACGGAGGCTGGAGGAGTGGGAGTCGTACGCCCGCGCACCTACTGCCGAGCACCCGTATGCGTACTGGATAGAAGAGCCGGACGATCCAGATGCGCAGCAATTACCCTTTGCAGACAACTTTGCCTTCAAGGACGGCATGTCGTCCGTCATGTTCCTGTATCACTGGATGACACTGCTGCTCCTTCACCGCTGCATTGAGTGCCTTCACCATACCATATTCCAGCCTGTCATTGAGGACTTCCCCAACATGTACCCTGATCTGCCTCCCAGTCTACAGATCAACCTGGCCAGGTACCAACAGCGGCGGGAGTATGCGTCAAGGATCTGTAGGGCGCTTGACTTTGCGCTATCGACGACAGTTCAGCCGGATATGTTGGTTGCACCACTAGCCGTGGCCATGGAGTTCTACCGCGAAATCAACTCGTCTTCAAGAGACGGTGAGCTCGAGATCATGTGGTGCGAGAACTTTAGGTTGCGTTTGACCTCCAAAGGCCACGATATCGCCAACGTTCTGCAGAGCAGATCATGGGCCGACATTGCCAGGTTTTGAGGGGGCTGGCTATTCGCTCCATCCACCTGACGATGGACTGGGGGTTTCACTGACTTGGAAAAACGGCGATGGGAGGTATAGGTTGGCGCAGGCGCATTGCATTTCTGAGAGTACCAAGTTCGAGAGCGCTGGATGTTCCACTTTCGACCTAAGGGTAAAGACTGAGTCTATTAGACCGAAATCCGGCCATGTATTGTTAATGTTTTGATGGAAAAGCTAAAATGTGTGCAGGAGTGGTTGGCCTCTGATTAAATATAGAGATGTTAGAAGAACGATGCAATCTTTCCAGTCTGCAGTTCGTGATTGAGTTCAATGTCGTTGATGACTTCCATGTAGTCCAGAAGGTACCTCACCCATTTAAACACAGGAAGCTGGACGTTGCTGGGAAGGTGCGATAAGGTACTTTGTGGATAAGTGCACAGACCCCAAGCTTGAGTGATCATTACCCGGACTTTCCCCGGCCGTGCAGGAGCTCCAGGAGCTTTTCAGCCTTTCCCACGCCAGCAGGCGCCGAAGCTTCGTCAGACCTGCAGCCTGCCTCTCTCGACCTTACCTTACCTCACTACTCCATCTACCCTCCACCGACCGCACCTCTTCAATCACGGCGATTGTCCCGCAACATCGAAACATATCGCCAATCCGTATACCACCACACACATCCCCAATAATCCGTCACTCAATCAGTCAGTCACCATGGCTTCAGGATACGACAGAGCGTTGTCCGGTAAGGCCCCCCTCCTTCTTGCCCCCCAGCTCCACTGTACCAAGCTAACACACGCCCGCAAACAGTCTTCAGGTTCGTCACGGTTGCCCCTGCTCCGGAAACCATTCACGACCCCCAACTAACACCGTCAGTCCCGATGGACACGTTTTCCAGGTCGAGTACGCTGGCGAAGCTGTCAAGAGAGGTAATGTTGCTTGCCCGCCACAATCAAGGGCGGAACCGGCTAACCATCAGCATAGGAACGTGTGCGGTCGGCGTCAAGGGAACAGATGTCGTCGTCCTCGGATGCGAAAAGCGATCAGCCATGAAGCTGCAAGATACCCGAATTACCCCCTCCAAGATCCAGCTCCTCGACACCCACGTCTGCCTGGCGTTCGCCGGGTTGAACGCCGATGCTCGCATCCTCGTCGACAAGGCGCGGTTAGAGGCACAGTCCCACAGACTGACCGTCGAAGACCCCGCCTCCATCGAGTACATGACCAAGTACGTTGCTGGTGTTCAGCAACGGTACACACAGAGTGGTGGTGTCCGTCCCTTTGGCATCAGCACCTTGATTGTCGGCTTCGACAGCGGCAGCAAGGTCCCCCGCCTTTACCAGACCGAGCCCTCTGGCATCTTCTCCGCATGGTACGAGCGACTTCCTCATAATATGTGGCGCAATGGACCCCTACTAATACCTCGCAGGAAAGCCAACGCCATCGGCCGTTCCAGCAAGACCGTTCGCGAGTTCCTCGAGCGCAACTACAAGGAGGAAATGGACAGAGAGGCTACCATCCGACTCGCCATTAAGTCTCTTCTCGAGGTTGTCCAGACTGGAGCCAAAAACATTGAAATTGCGTTGATGGCACCGGGCAAGACGATTGAGATGCTTCCCGTAGAGGAGATTGAGAACCATGTCAAGAGCATCGAGCAAGAGAAGCAAGAGGAGGCGGCCAAGAAGAAGACTGGACGCACACCCGGAACCGGAAGCGCGGCGATCCTCACGAGAGGCTCGGGCTCGGGTGACGGTGATGAGTAAGGGAATGACTAGGCGTTGCGGCTCGCGGATAGACGACACTCATGAGGGTATCTGACCAAATACCAATGTATTACCACCTTTAGACCGTGGAAAATCTACAAAAACGGTGTCCATAAAATCGCTTGCTGCCACACTGATGCTCGATACCCAGCTAACCTCCCTAATTTAGCCCAGCACGTCCGCATCGTCGGTAGGGTCGAATATTGATCGTCCGGCGACTGGGCGGATACGCTCGTCCTTGATCATGCGGCTATCCTTGCGGGCGTCCTCGCCCTCGACGGAAATGGCTGCCTTGGGCGTCTTTGCTTCGATGACGAAGTGGTTATCGCAGTGTGGGCAGTATTCGTCGGCGTCTTCGAATTCCTGGGCGTCTTTGCGGAAGCACTTCTTGCACTTCTTGCAAGCAAAGACCATTTCGAGGCTCTGGAGCAGGGGGTGCTTTTCCTGCTCATGGTGGCACTCGGCGCAGTCGAACCATTTTTTGCCTGAGGGCGATCACATTAGTTGGACGAGCTTGAGTTGAGGCAGAAGAATTCGACGTACAGCAGGGAGACCTAATCGCGACTTGCGCATTGAGAACGTGTTTGCTGGTGATGTGTGAGCTGTCGGTCAGGGGCTGTGGGTTTTCTGTTTGGCTCACCACATGATGACTGTCTTCTTGGTCTAAGCAACAGATCTTGTTGCGAGTGCGGGTGCTCAAGCTATAGAGGTGAACGTAAGGGTCGCTCTCAACTGTCAAACGGAACGTGTCGTGGCTGTGAGCCGGCTAGTTTAGGCAAAGGGGAGAATCTTCTATCAAAGATTTGGCGGTGCTGATAAATTTGGCGGGGTCTGGATTTGTCGCCCAAGTCCTCCGTCCCAGTACCTACACCTTGCACCCCGCGTAGTCGCTGTACAGTGGTCCCCACTAAAGGTACCACAATACCTCTGCCTGCCAGTGACAAAAGGTGCCACCCCTGTAGGCCGTCCCCTTGGCCTGCGAAACCTTAACACCGCTGAAAGCTGCTTACCTTTCTCCGATGCCCTGGCTGCAGGCTACATCATCCATCCATCCATCTCTTAGGTTTTCACAACCACCCATTCCTTATCTCACCTACAACAACCCACAATCCTGTCACGATGCCACCGAAGAGGAAGGCTCAAGGGGCCGTCACCGGCAGCTTCAAGGCAGGAAAGGGCTCTGTAGCTTCAACACCTGGAGGCGCCACCCCTAGGAGCATCGCCAGCGATAATGAGTCGGCAGCGGATCCCATGAGCGAGTCGGAAGACGAGAATCTCGAGAAGAACGTCGACAAGTTTTCCGTCGAGGCTTACCTGGACAGGCCCAAGGCGAACGGCCACGAGTCCATGACTGGACTCTTCAAGAAGAAGCGCGACTTCTCCTTCCTTCAGCTGAAGCCGGACTATCAGAATCGCCCGCTCTGGATCGACCCTGCGAAAGGACGTATTTTCCTCGAAAGCTTCAACCCGCTGGCCGAGCAAGCACAGGACTTTCTCATCACCATTGCCGAACCCATCTCCCGACCATCCTTCGTCCACGAATATGCCCTCACGACACACAGCTTGTACGCTGCGGTTTCCGTGGGCTTGTCACCACAAGACATCATCAACACTCTCGATCGGTTCCTGAAGATGCCTCTGCCCGACAGCATTCGCAAATTCATTGAGGGCTGCACACAAAGTTTTGGCAAGGTCAAGCTGGTACTCAAGAATACAAAATACTTTGTCGAAAGTACGGATCCGGTCATCCTGCAGAAGCTACTGAAGGACTCCGTCATCGGGCCTCTGCGAGTACACGGCACAGACGAAATCACCACAATAGCGGCTCCGAAACAGGGCCCTCTGGTTATTCCAGGCACTGCCAACGCTGCCGGTGTGCGACAGGCAGAAGAACAGAAGGCCAAGGGACGTGAGGGTGAAGTGAGTGAAGGCGAGGTCTACGCGGCACTGAACGATGACGACGAGGAGGACCAGGAGATTACTCATGCCTTTGAGATCGGAGACGAGGCAGTCGAGACCGTTCAGAAGAGGTGCCTTGAACTGGAGTATCCGGTGTTGGAGGAGTATGATTTCCGACGAGACGAGGCCAACCCGAACCTGGAGATCGACTTGCGTCCGGGCACCTTGATTCGACCCTACCAAGAAAAGAGTCTGAGCAAGATGTTTGGTAACGGACGAGCCAAGAGCGGTCTCATCGTCCTTCCTTGCGGTGCTGGAAAAACGCTCGTCGGTATCACCGCAGCTTGCACCGTCAAGAAGGGCGTCATCGTCCTCTGCACCAGTTCCATGTCTGTCGTGCAATGGCGAAACGAATTCCTCAAGTGGTCCAACATCAAGCCCGAGGATATCGAGGCGTTCACGTCAGACAACAAGGGCAGGATCTTCCCGGGTAACACCGGTATCATTGTCACCACATACTCCATGGTAACGCAAACTAGGGAGCGTTCCCACGAGGCCAAGAAGATGATGGACTTTTTGCAGACGCGAGAATGGGGCCTGATGCTTCTGGACGAAGTCCACGTTGTCCCCGCTAATATCTTCAGGAAGGTCACGTCGTCCATCAAGACGCATTCGAAGCTTGGCTTGACCGCCACGCTTCTTCGTGAAGACGATAAGATTTCGGATCTAAACTTTCTGATTGGTCCCAAGTTATACGAGGCGAATTGGATGGAGCTCAGTGAACAAGGTCACATTGCCAAGGTTCAATGCGCTGAGGTCTGGTGTCCCATGACGACGGAATTCTACGACGAGTACCTGAAAGCGTCAGCCAGGAAGCGAGCGCTGCTATACATCATGAACCCTAGAAAGTTCCAAGCCGCTCAGTACCTGATCAACTACCACGAGTCTCGAGGCGACAAGATCATTGTCTTTTCGGATAACGTCTATGCTTTAAAGACATATGCTGAGAAGCTGGAAAAGGCCTACATTTTCGGCGGCACTGGACAGGCAGAGCGAATGAACATTCTGCAAAACTTCCAGCACAACCCTCAAGTCAACACGCTCTTCTTGTCAAAGATTGGCGACACGTCTCTCGACCTTCCGGAGGCTACCTGTCTCATCCAGATCTCGTCACACTACGGTTCCCGTCGTCAAGAGGCGCAACGACTTGGTCGTATCTTGCGAGCCAAGAGGAGGAACGACGAGGGTTTCAATGCCTTCTTCTATTCCTTGGTGTCAAAGGATACCCAGGAGATGTACTACTCTTCCAAGAGACAGGCGTTCCTCGTTGATCAGGGATACGCCTTCAAGGTCATCACGCAGCTCGCCAACATTGAAAAGACTCCCGGTCTTGCCTACGCCGCGGCGAGCGAGAGACGAGAGCTCTTGCAAAAGGTCCTCATTGAGAACGAGGCTGGCGGCGAAGACGAGGTCATTGATGACCTGTTCCACAGCGGCACGATGGGCCGCGCGCCGGCGAGGGGCAAGAAGAAAGCTGCCGCGAGGAGGACGGCTGGTCTGTTGGGCGATCTATCGGGTGGACAGGACATGGCGTATATGGAGCAAAACAAGAGAGTCAAGCTCAAGAAGGCAAAGGGAGAGAGCAGTGCCTTCTTCAAGAAGATCCAGAGAGAGAAGGCCAAGCGATAAATTGCAATCATAAACGGGTTACGGCGTCTGGCAGGGCGGAGATGGGCCTTTCTTCTGGCTATTGGGAAAGGCAAACGGCGCATTCGAATCTACTTCATTGTATTATAGACACACTCATACACGCCGTGGAGGCGTAAGACTGGTTGTGGTGAAAAGATCAGATAGATCTGCACACGATACAACAATACTCTTATTGAGACTCACTATTAAGAAACTGCCCCAATGCTAGTCTTTGGCTTGTGCTTTTATGACCAGCCTACAGCTGTTGGTCTGACACTTACCTATCTCAAGCAAAGCTCGCGAGTATTGTCTTTGCTGAAAACGCAGGTAATGTCGGTTGCCTGTGTCATGGGCTCCGTAACCTGGTTCACTTTCATCTGTTGTCGCCAGCAGTAAAAGGGACTCTTGCCCAGAAGCTTAAGATGGTTATAACCCTAATCCTGAGGTGCAAATCTACCGAGCTGTAGTTTGTGGATTCGAGTCCAACAAGCGACCTTCCTCTTCATTTTCTTTTCCCTTGCTCCCTCTCTCAATATAGCCGAGATGATAATATTGGTAATCTTCAAGTTTCATCAAGGAGTCGATAATGGCAGGATGGCAAAGAAGAAGCAAAGAACATGACAAACGCAGCATTCAGTTAGTTGTGGTTGTAGCGGTCGAGAATGTTTCGTAAAACAAGATTGGGGGTTGGATTTCCAGGGTGCATGGCTATTTTTGGTGAGCGTCATTTCCGGGTATCTTTACGATATCAAAATGTTATTCAGTTGCAGCGGGATAGAGAAGGGGAGAATGAGCCGTCAAGGACTCGAGTCGCCAAGATGCTGCCCCTTTCGACCGTTTGTAGTCGAAGACAGGGGGAATAGAGGCGTAACAACATCAACATTGTGTCATAATGCTTCTAGACCAGTCTATGCGAATGAATACGGCATTTCGATCAGAACCTACCATTCCTTCACGTGGGCGGCATGGGCGAATGAATCAGAAGCAAATGGATGTGATCTTGGCAGACAGCGGGTTGAGTCGGATTGCTGCATTTGCCATCATCTTGCGTTGCCTATCTGGCAGATCTGGGCATTGTTCCGCGCGGCTGGGGTATTCGTACTGGAGGCCCGATGGGATACTTGGCGTCCAGACTGGGAGATGAGCGTCCCATGTATCCGTACCGTTGCCATCTCACAAATCGCATACAGGGTTCGCTACGCCGGAAAAGGTGTACAACATTATTGACGGCATGGCGGTGAACAAAGAGAGGAGGATGGTGGTGGAATATGCTGGCGACGACCTCGTGTCGGTGGTAAGAGTGAGAAATGACTGGTATTACAGAGAAGGCTTGGCAAATGGCAGTTGGTTATCGGTAGCCTGTAGGTAGTCTCCTCGGCGGATGGTATGCTTGGACTTGACACTTGGTCTATGTGACGGACGGAAGAAACGACCGGTAGTCCGCGGGCTGGGGTTGTGATTGACAACGAGAATGACACAATGCCGTGCTGGAGGTGCATTGCGTTTCCATGAGTTCCTTATCGGCAAAGGGTAAGCCAGTGTCGTTGAGCTGTTGGTCAACTTTTCCTTTAGGGCGACTCTACCTCCAGAGTCGACGAACGGGACGTACGGGTTCCCCAGGCAGGCATCCAAAGATCGTCGGTTGGGCAGTGCTGACGACTGAAAGGCCCCCGTTGTAAGAGATATGTTGCGCCTAAAAAAGGGTCAATGGGCAACAGGATGAGGGATGTGCTCCTGGGGACGCCGATGGGTTTCACAGGCCGCCGTGGCGTGCAAATGGCACCTGCTTGATAACATTACCATAGCCATGGGCAGCGGATGAGTGTTTCTGGTAGGGGTTGGATGGCAGGGTACTACTCACCGGAAGCTTCAAGCTTGGTCGGACTGAAGGTCTTCTCGGCCGGGATGTCTTGTTGGAGACGGAGTGCCACGCCGTTTCAATGTATAGGGGTAGAAGGCATTATTCGTCGGCGGTGTTGTGACCACGGGGATATTGAAGGTGCGCGCGCCCGGGAGCTTAGCCAGTTTCTTGCTGATTGTGAGGCGGTCGAAAACATGCTACAAGCTTGCTCGCAGGACAATAAACCCCCGGGCCCGCGGCGCTGATGTGAGTTACGGACGCCTTTGACTTTGGTATATGTGTACTTCGTACGCCTGTAGGGAGAGTTCGTAGAAAAGACCAGTTGGGGGACGCCAATCGTGTGGGATACCTAGGCTGTGTCTTAGGTGCATGGTAGTACTGCCAGTGCAGTACCTATACATTAAACGTGTTGTAATGTCTTGGCTAGTGCGTTAGGTGGTGTATTGAGGTATATGCTCACATGTTAGTGCTGTGCTCACTGCTGCTGAGAAGATGGTCAGTCAGGAACACCAGGGATGGGGCATTCTCGGAGAAAACCATGAGATGCAGCAAAGGAGCGTAAGAGATGCGCTGGCACGAAATGACGTACTAGAGCGATGCAGTGCATCACAGGCCGGCGTGGGAGGGAGGGTAGGACGTGGTGCCCCTGTCACGATGCAGCTGGTGGTGTTGCTTCTTTGGGGGTAAACAGCAAGCGTGCGAGTGCTCTGCTTGGATGGACGGGCGACATGTTACTGACCCACCATGGAATTAAAGTTACTTGGCACTCCGCCAGCTTGGTTGGGGGATTTTAGGGGATTTTGTTCTGGCGTGTCTTGGAATGGCACGCCACGAAACAGATCTCGCGAGTTGCAACCAATCTCACCTTGCGTAACCATTAGGATGGTAGGCTAAGTGTTTGGTGCCACGTTAAGGAAGACCGATATTGGAGATCGGAGCAGACCGACGTGTGTCGAGGTTACAGGCGGCGTGCCGTACATAAGGTGTCCCAACTTCCAAGCAGTAAGTGACCCATGGAATTCTCAAGGACCAAGACTTGAGCGGGCGGAAACCGATGCTGGGTGTCGCATAAAGATAGCAGCACATGAATGATGTGCGCAGATGATTGGCGATCATTCCGACAAGTTTTCGACATGATGCTGCAGCCATCTGCTGCCACAGGGGGGGGGGGGGGGGGTGTCTTTGGTGCGATCGGCTGTCCAATGGTCTACTCGTCTGGATGGAAGGTATTGGATGCAAGAGGCAAGGTCGTGCAGGCAGTGTGAGGTGATCAGCCCTGATATGACTGACGTGAGGTGACTGCAGCCGCATCCGCGGTGCTCCCGATGATGATACCGTATGTTCTGACTTTTAAGGTGAGGTGCGGTGAGGTTCGGTGCTGCCCGTTGTAATCTCGATTCTCGAGGAAAGGAAGACGGCTCCCTCCTTCCATAGCCCACTCCATCGTTTTCGTCTGAGGTGCATTGGCGATGGAGTGCGGTACATCTGAGATGTATCTTTCCTGTTCCATCCACAGTGGGGCCATAGCTACTTGCCAGTGCCAGGAAAAGCTTAGCTTGGTATTGCCCCCAGGCACCGCAAGGAAAGGGACTGCATCGCCGTCAAGCCGTCAACTTCGATGCGCCTTCCAGGCTCCAGTGGTGCCAGTCCAATGTTGAAAGTGCTGACGGAACGGTTAGGCGTCTCCAGTTCTACGGGCAAGGATAAGAGTGGACATTGCAGACAGATGTGGATGCTACTGGATGCACCGCGGTTGGATTACTTACCACAAGGACCTCTTTGCGGTCAACTGTCAACTCCACACCTCACACTCTCAGTCTCCAGTCTCCAGAGTTCCAGGGCAAGCGTCCAGAGCTTACCCCCCCCCGACGCGCCCGCACGCCGAACGAACGAACGGGCTTGCTTGCCTCCCTTTTCTAATTAAAAAAAAAAATAACAGAGAGGAAAAATTGGATTGACGCCTTCGTTTCGTCTGGTCCTGGCCCGTGGGGTGGGAGAGCACAAATATTCGCCTACCTGGTACATTAATCCGTTCTGGCATTTCTTTCCCATCTCTTGCTCTCGCCTTTGTCATTACGAACAGTCGCCCGGCAGCTCAGGTTGCTTCTTCCTTGTGAAGAGCCAAGAGTTGAGCCACCCTTGAGCGGTAGTGGTGCTTGCTCCCAGGGCTTATTGGCGTTCGGCATCTGCAATCCAATCTGCATTCTGCTGGGCTGCACCTGCGACACTTGCAGCACCAAGTTTGATCTCATTTCATCCAAGCCCGTCCGATCAAGGCCATACCTTACCACACGTTACCGCTCATCACCTACCCACAGAGACATACAGGTAGACGAGGATACTTCGACTCTTCTTTCTCCATCCTGTTTTTTTCCCCCATTGCGCCCTCCGACAAAACCTACCTGCCCTGCAACAATAACAGACGACCAGAACTGATGTCACACCTGCTACGCCCGGCTCCTGCTACTTCATCCACCCTCCGCTGTACCAATTGATCGTCATGAATTCCAGCTTAGCCGTCATCCAATCCTCGACCTCTACACCAGGACGGTTAGACTAGAAAGCTTCACAGCCACAGCCACGCTGCCAAGGCCTGGACCATTTCGCCCATTCTCACTGCACCATCTCCCTTATACCTATTCCCCCCAAAGGCCGATGTCTTATCTGCTCTGGTTCTAAACCGGAGGAGAATTTCCTCCATTACATCAACAACACCAACAAAGCTACTTTTGCGATCCGAGAGAAATGCTCGAAACCGCGCAGGGCTGGCTGCTCGCCCAGCTCCGGGCAGCCAAGCCTTCTTTTATATCCAAGAAGCCTCACTTCAACTTCATCTCGGCTCACTGTAAGTTCACCATCCCAACTACCATTCTCAGTGCCCACAAGGCCTTGCGCTGCGCACAGCACTAATCTGCGCACCGCGTTCCCCACCTCAGACTTTTGGATTGTCAGTCTCACCATTCTGGGCTCCATCCTCATCTTTGCCTCCGCCGGCGGCCAGTTGGCCTACATTGACGCCCTCTACTTCGCAAGTGGCGCCAACACCCAAGCCGGTCTCAACACAGTCGACGTCAACCTGCTCAACACCTTTCAGCAAGCATGTCTCTACTTCTTTACCATGACCTCGAACCCCATCACCATTCACTCTTCTGTTGTGTTCCTCCGACTGTACTGGTTCGAGAAGCGTTTTCAAGGAGTCGTCCGCGAGGCTCGGCAACAACGCAGAAACACCATATCCAAATCAAAGTCCCGCGCGAGGGATGACTTGAACCAGGCTGAGAGGGGCCGCTTGAGCGTGCGCAATATTAAGGTCATGCACACGAATGGACACCGCTCGAGAATGACCAATGATGGTATCCTACTCGACATGAAGGAGGACGAGGATGGTCGCATCTCGCCGGGAAGCAACGGTTTTGTTCCCGTCCCCAACACACCGGCACACCACTCTGGAGAACAGTCGCCAGCTAGAGCACCCGAAACGCAAGAGGAAACCGGAACGGATATCACCCAAGGTCGAATCACGTTTGCCCAGCATGTATTCCGAAGCGACGGCACGGAACCGGAAGTCAAGCTCCCATCACCGCACTCGCCCGCTCATTTTGCCATTCTTGAGCGCCAACGGGCCGGGCCCGATGAGACACTACGAATTCCGAACCCCAGAGACGCGGAGAGGGGCATGAAGCCCAAGCGAGTCGAGGACGATGCGGCACCGGAACCCGAAGACGAGGGAGACGGCAGTATTCCGCATATCCACGTTAACGGCGGAGCGAACAACTTGTCGGATGGTATCGGCAACAATGTTCACCGCCCACAAACGATCAAGATCGAGGAGCCCGAGCGACCCAGGGATACCGAGAGAACGGTCAAGGACGGGATCGCGGATGAAGCCGAGGTGATTGGTAGAACCATCTTTCCCTTCTCGCTTCGCAAGCCCAAGAAGTTCTTCAAGGGTGGCAGCAGCGACAACGGCGAGGGCAGCACCTCTGAAAACCCACTTGCGAGAGTCAGGAGCAAGACATTCGACACCATCAGGACTGCATTGACCCGCGAAAAGGTCGAGGACATGCCGTACCTGAGTTTCACGCCTACAATGGGACGCAACTCGGCCTTCCCAGGCTTGACCATTGAGCAACGCGAGGAATTGGGTGGTATCGAATACCGGTCTCTGAGGACACTAGCCGTCATCTTGCTCTGCTACTTCTGGGGCTTCTCGCTCTTCGCCATCACCTGCTTCCTCCCATGGATTTACACAAGCTCCAATTCCAAATACGCCGCCATCGTGGAGGGTTCGGGTGTCAGCAAGGCCTGGTGGGGAATCTTCACAGCAAACTCGGCCTTTAACGATTTGGGACTCACTCTTACGCCTGACAGCATGAACTCGTTCAACGATGCCTCGTTCATCCTGTTAATCATGTCTTTCCTAATCATTATTGGCAACACTGGCTTCCCCATCATGCTTCGAGTCGTCATTTGGATTCTGAGTAAGATCGTGCCAAAACGTACTGGACTATGGGAGGAATTACGCTTCTTATTGGACCACCCGCGTCGATGCTTCACTCTACTTTTCCCGGCGGGCGCTACTTGGTGGCTATTCATCATTCTCATCGGCCTCAACGTTCTCGACCTATTGTTTTTCGTCCTGCTGGATGTAAGTTGTTCTCGACATCTGTGACCGATCTACGCTAACGATGTTCGTAGCTGAACGATAACGCCGTGAGCCACTTGCCGGTACACGTTCGCATTGTGGACGGTATCTTCCAGGCTGCATCGACCAGAACTGCTGGTTTCTCGGTTGTCAACATTGCGCTGCTGCATCCCGCTGTGCAAGTGTCGTATATGATTATGATGTATATCTCCGTCTTCCCGATCGCCATCTCAATCCGTCGCACCAACGTGTACGAAGAGAGATCCTTGGGTGTTTACCACAGCCCCGACGAGGACATGGAAGGCACCAACGAGAACAGCGCCTGGTCATACGTCGGTACCCATTTGCGTCGCCAACTTTCTTTCGATTTGTGGTACGTCTTCTTGGGACTCTTCATTCTGGCCATCACGGAAGGCAAGAGGATTCAAAACAAGGATTTCGACGTCTACTCGGTCTTATTCGAGATCGTAAGTGCATACGGTACGGTCGGGCTGAGTCTGGGTTATACCGGCGTGAACGCCTCTCTCTGCTCTCAATTTACTACTGGAGGCAAGCTCATCATGATTGCGATGCAAATTCGTGGACGCCATCGTGGTCTTCCCTACGGCTTGGATCGCGCTGTTCTCTTGCCAAGCGAATCTCGATTCGAAAAGGAAGCCGCCGAGGCGCAGCCAGTTCTGGTTCGGTCTGCTACTGCCGCATCGACGGGAACTGCGCTCAGCGCCACGAGGTCCAACCTGAGGTCGAGAAGGATGAGCACGAACAGGGGTCAAGGAAACATCATCACCCAGTTCCTTCATCCTGGCCCCATGATCCCACACGAGGACAGCCTCACCGATTTGTCCAGACGTAGCAGATCGTTTGGAGTCGACGAGCGTCCACCCATGGCCGCGGATATGAGGAGGCGCAATACGGAGCCCGTCGATGATGAGACTACAGACACCGATAGCGACGTGATCACAGCGCCTGCACGGAGAGTACTAACTACACCGGCACGCTAGAAGCTGCCGCAATGGAGAACCGCGGGTTAACCTTTGTGACAAATGGCAAAGGAGCATACATTGCAAGGAGTTTGTACTATGGAGTAATCAGGGTGGGAACATGTTTTTTTTTTCTGGCGCGGTATGCAATCGTTTCTATAAAACCAAGGCGGACTAGATGGCTTAGGCCGCGGACAGACTTTTGATTTTGGCGTTTGTTCTCACTGTACATTCTTATGATAGTGTACACTTATGACGACTGATGAACACTATGCACGTTTCAACTTTGATATGGCTATCTGCTGAGTGCCAACCAGCTTGTTAGATTTATACTGTAATCTGATCCATTCGACACTTCTGTTGAGCATGTAGTCGTTGTGGCCTGTTAACCTACCCCTCAATCACTTGGCATGATTTCCATAGCCATCACCGCCTCTAATATCTGAAGTGATTTTGTTCATGTACACGACTCTACACAGGCCAATGTTGTACAGCTCGCCCATTTTTTTCTAATCGTACATACCACCAACATACAGCCTTACTCTCGCATCAAACGCGCCCTCTCTAATCAGTGTCTCATCCGTATCTTTCAGACAAAAAGCCCCGAAGAGAAGAACATTCTACCCCTATCTCCCCTCAAAACCTCGAACCGGCCCTGCCCTTGCTGCGCGTACCATACCTCTCCTTCTTCCAAGCAAAGACCAGGTGATCGACGTTACCCATATCGTGCTTGGGCTTGCGCAGGTACGTCAACCTCGCGCGGCGCGCGCGCTTGGGGCGGCGCCAGACAATGTCGATGCCAATGACGGTCGGGGAGTAAATCTTGTACCACATCTCGACACCGACCTTCATGAGCTGGCCGCGCAGGAGGATGCCCGTGTCGACGCCGCGGCGGCGGATGGACATGCAGACACCCGAGAAGGGCTCGCCCGATTTGGTCGTGACCATGAGGACGTCGCCTACTTTTGCGGCGTCGGGGCGGGCTGGGTCGAAGAGACGGGTGCGGGCGCCGGTCGGGTCGAGGGTTGTGCGTTGGGCGGCGTCGAGGGAGGGGAGGGGGTTCTTGTGGGGGGTTTGACGGATTGAAGGGGGGGAGGGGTAGACTGCAAAGGTTGGTTTGTCGCGGGGGCCGTCTGTGAGGGGGGTTATGTTAGCTTCGAAGGTGTATGTTGCGATGTGTTGGAGATGTTGGCTTACAGTAGGATGGCTTCACTGAGGGCGTCGACGCCGGGGAGGGTGTGGATGATGGGGGCTCGGAGGTCGCGGCGGTGGCCATGGAGCGGGCGAGGAGTCTTTGGTGCCGCGTCTGGCGGAGTGCCGTCTTCAAGCAGCCCATCGGCCGCAAGAGACTTGTGGCGTTCATCGTGGTTGGTGTTTGTGTTGTCTCGCGATGGGACGATGCAACAGCTACAGCTCCTCGAACGACGACATACAGAGAGAGGAAAGGTCAAAGGGTTCAAAAAGTTCAGAGGCGTCGAGGTGCGAATTGCGGGCTGTGATTGGCTCGGTGCATCAATGATGCGGAGCCGCGGGCCGGGAAGTCCTTCGATCCAAAATTTTGGGTGGCTACCCTGCTCAGGCTGCAGGCCACTTCCGAGTAGCTCCCTTTTCGCCGACAACGGTTGAAGGAAGTCCTTCGACAAGCTTATACACCACACATACATTTCGCCCATCATGTCGAGGATATTAATGGGAAGGGCCCTTAGGGGCGCCAAGGCCTCGGTGTGGGATCAGCCGGCGTGCATGGCACAGCAGCAGCAGCAGCGGTCCTTTGGTCAGACGCCTGCTCGTCAAAGTATGTCTTTTGATATATATCTCGCATTCATTTTCTGAAAATGGGTTTCGGACTGACAAGTGTTTCCCTTTCGCAGACCCCCAAGTCCTCTTCGACAAGACCACGACGCCCGGCCTCGGCCCGATCCTCGAGGAGATCCAGACAAACATCATCCTCCCCTACCACCTCCCCATCCACCAGCGCAAGCGCGTCTTCTCCGAGAAGCTCAAGCACCGCCTCAAAAATGACCCCGTATACCTCGAGATCGACGGCCTCGAGCACCGCTTCAACCACATCAACGAGGAGGCCCTCCCTCCTTCGCGCGACATCACCTGGAAGGCCCTCCGCGCCATGGAGACCCCGCAGGACTGGAACAACTTTGGCCGTCTGCTCTCGGGCATGCGCACCGCGGGGCGTCACTACAGCCAAACGGACTTTGCCAAGATGATTCGCATCGCCGGCCAGCAGGGGCAGATTTACACCATTATCGAGGCGGCGAGACAGGTCCGCAAGACGGGGATGAAGCTGGATAACTCGGAAAAGGTCAACGAGGTGCTGCACTTTGTGCAGATGCGCGCCATTGAGAGCGAGTGGGACCAGGAGAAGACGAAGCAGGCGCTGCGGTGGAGCGAGATTGTGCTCGAGATGCTCGAGGACAAGGGCCACGCGCCCAACGCCCGCAAGCTCAGGAAGAGACAGCTGGCCACCCAGGAGGGCGGCGTCACCGAGCAGGAGCGCTTCGCCCTCTACAACGACCCGCAGATCCTCGGCGCCGCGCTGCACCTGTCGGCGGTGCTGGCCGTCAAGCACAATGATAGCAAGGACGTGGACGGCAAAGTCGGCCGGCTGGCCAAGAAGCTCGTCGAGCGGTGGCCCGCGGGCAAAGGCCTGCTGCAGCTTCACCCGGCCGAGGCGTACGCCGACCGCGTGGATGGCGTCGCGTACCTCGTGCACAGCCGGACGCAGTACCTCTCGTACGCGAGCCCGATCCTGCACGGCCTGTTCTTGGCGGCGCGCGTGGTGGAGAAGCCGCTCGCGGATCGGTTGAATGCCATCGCGGCGGCGTTGGGACCCGAGGTGAAGGATGTTGCGGAGAACCAGACGTTCCCTGCTGAGCGTGGGCTCAAGACGTACAATGCGCTTTTTGGGTCTGAGTAAGGGGATGATGTAGGGGATGAACGCATGGACTGGAGGTAGAGATGTGTGATAATAGCATGGCATGAGAAAGATGACTGGAAGGGGGAGGTGGTGAGATGACCACAGGGGGGAAGAATCAGAGGCTCCAAAAAGGGGCTATGTACAGCTGATATGTAAAATTATCTATGTATACAACACAATACGCACAGAACCACGACCAAAAGATAAGGTCCGCTCTACACAAAAACCAACATGGCTATGTTCATTGCTCAAGGCAAAACAATGTACTTTTCCAAATGCTTCGGTATCGCCCCCAAAAGCTTCTTCTCCTCAAGCCACTTGCGCGAAAATAATCGCTCAGCATACCGATACGCGCCATCGCACAGAATTGTCACGACCGTGTTCCCCTTGCCGAGCTTCTCCGCCACCTCCTTGGCAGCGACAACATTCAGAGCCGAGCTGGCGCCCAAGTACAGCCCTTCCTCGTCGAGGCAGCGGTACACCATCTCTATGCTCTTCTCGTCGGCAATCGTGAGCGACCCGTCGACGAGGCCGATGTCGGGCTGCAAGTTGTCCGTGATGCGGCCCTGGCCGATCCCCTCGGTGATGCTGGACCCGCTTCGCTCGACGAGCTGTCCGCCCGAGGACACGTACGAGTGGAGGACGCTACCCGGGGGGTCGGCGAGGAAGGACTTGACGCGGCCGTTGGATACGTCTTTAAGGTAGCGCGTCGTTCCGGCCAGAGTACCAGCCGTCCCCGTGGCACACGTAAACGCATCAATCTTCCCCTGCGTCTGCTCCCAGATCTCCGGGCCCGTAGTCTCGATATGCGCCCTCCGGTTCGCGATGTTGTCAAACTGATTCGTCCACACCGCATTCTCCAGCCTCTCGGCATGGCGGCGCGCCTGGTGGTTATAATTCTCCGGATTCTCAAACGCCACCGCGGGCACGGGGTACACCTCGGCGCCCAGCAGCCGCAGCAGATCGATCTTGCCCTGGGATTGCGTGTTGGGCATGTAAATGACGAGCTTGTATCCCTTTGAGCGGCACACGTGGGCCAAGCCGATGCCCGTGTTGCCGGCGGTGCCCTCGACGACGGTGCCGCCGGGCTTCAGGAGCCCACGCTCCTCGGCGTCTTTGACGACGTAGAGGGCCGCGCGGTCTTTGACGGAGCCGCCTGGGTTCATGAATTCTGCTTTGCCGAGGACTTCGCAGCCTGTTTCGGCGGAGAGGCGGTTGAGGCGGATGAGCGGGGTGTTGCCGATTGCTGTTTAGGGGAAAATTCCAACGTTAGTGGACTGTGTTAGATACAGATGGGTCTCCGGCCATCGCTCTGTCCCCCTCGTGTGAGGTCTGAATTTGAGGGGTGCGGGAGGTGGAGGGGAGGAAAACATACCGCCGGTGAGGCCCTTTACGACTCCTTGCGCGCGGGAGAGGTTGAGGGAGTAAGCGGAGGGCGGGTCAATGGCGCGGACGGCCGTCGTCGCGAAGCGACGCACGGCGATGCGGCTCATGTTGGGCTTTTTCTTCTGCGGTAGCTTGAGGAAAAGCTCAAATGTTCACTTTAGTCTGTTGGCCGTGTTGCGTGGTGTGTAGCGGGAAAGAAAGCTCAAGCAATTGAGTCGAAGTCGCTGAAGAAACGGGCCTCCGGCATTCGGCTTTCTAAGCTTGCAAGCATCCGCAGTAGTGGTGGGGGTGTTTTCTTCAATTGGGTTCAGCTTTTGGAAATCACGTCAGAGCCGCTAGCGGCCGTGTAGGTGGGGCACGCGGGTGATGGGGCCGGGGGTTGCGGCCGGCAGTCGGTGACTTTTGCGGCGGCCGAGCCGAATCGGTCTATTTAGTCCACCGACTTCTCGAGCTGTTGATAACCCTGACTATAACGTATCGGCCTGTGTTGAAGAGTATTACAATCAAGCAGCATCCCACAGAGAGACCATCAATGAACCAAGACCTATTCAATTCGCCTAGTAAGGTGAGTATCCGAGTGGGATACGTGCAAATTGCCGATGCATTCATCACGGCATTCACTATTCAAATTTCACTCCGTTACCACTATTCAAATTCCCAATCATGCATGATGATCAAGCCGTCTCACATACGGCGATGGGAACAGTCCCTTCGCACCCATGTACACTCCAAAGAACCAGTCCCCATTCACGTCCTCAATCTCCCGGATCTCGGCCCCCTTGGGAAACAACAGCTCGTCCTCGGCCTTGGGATACCACGCCCACGTCGCTGTCGCCCTCATCCCGACGCCGCCGTCCGCGGGGAACCCCTGCGCGAGGCCCTCGCCCGTCGTCGGCGCATCCGCCGCAACGTCCCTGGTGACGAAGCGCTCTCGCGTCTGTCCGCCCTCGTGCCACCACCACTTCTGCGGGGCCTGGTCGTCGGTGCCTTCTGACTGCGTGATGCGGAGGTTGCGGCCCCCTACGAGGTCGGATAGTATGTGCCGCAGCTGCCCGCCCGGCCCGTCGCGGAAGCCGACTACGATCATGCGATGGCCGTTGAGACACCGGCGCCAGCCGGCGTGCCCGTTCTCGGGGCTGATTTGGTCGCGCGCTTCAAGGTTGGCGTAGCAGTTTGTGCATATGTCGTAGTCGCCGGCTAGCGTGTCCGGCTCGATGGAGCTGGTGCAAGTGAAGCAGTGATATCGGCTGTGGCTAGGAGAGATGGGGTCCTGACAGACGTCGCAGCGTGTTGTGAACGTCAGGGGCTTGAAGGGACCGATATTATGAACATTAGGCCCCGTTAGCACAGCAGCTGAGTGTGGTGGCCGGGGTGACCTGGGACTGGCAGGCGGCGTGTGTGACGACTGAGGCTGATACGTTAGAGGCAGGAGGGGGTGAGTGCACGATCGCCCCTGGTTCACGCAGTTATTACAGTACCCCCAGTCGCCAAAGTTACAAACATCGCAGCGCCAGAAGCACTCGTTTGCCCAGGTCTGGCATCGAGCGCAGAAGTTGCCGCTCTCCAACCGCTTCATCGGGTCGTCGGTTGTGAGGGTCCGCCTACCCTCCGCTCCACCGGGTATGATCTTTGGCTGGAGGTAACGATTCGCCGTCAGCATATGAGGTCTGGGAATATCCTCGTGTGCCGTGTGCCGAGCCTTTTCCCACTTAGCCCACGCCCCGTACCCGAAGCCAAACCAGTGCAAGCAGCCCTTGCCTGACCTGTAGCAGTCGATGCAGATGTTCCAGTTGCCGCTGGCGCAGATCCCGCAGTTGTAGTGTAGCTCGTACTCGATGTGCTGCTTTGCGCAGCGGGAACACGTAATCGAGGGCTCCGGGTACAGTTGCGAGCGTGTTCGTTGATGGCCGGGGGTCGTTGGACTGCCGATTCCCAAACCCAAACCTAGCCCAACCGGCCCTGAAGTCGCTTGGCTGATGATGGACAAGTCTGCCGGCCGGTTGGGTCGTTGCAGCCGGGGTGACAACGGCTCTATGGGCGGAGACGCAGCAAAATTGGAGGACACCAACCCAGACGAGTTCGTCATACGATTGGCAAAGGTAAGCTCGCGCGGTGCTGGCAAAGTGGCGGTTGTCGGCGACTGCGTCGTGGTAGGTACTGACGGCGTACTCGAGCTTCTCGCCTCGGTGAAGACGGTTCTCGGGGCGACTGCTTCGCCAAAGTGAGACCGTGACGACAGATCGGTCTGCGATCGAGTGGCTACACGGGTTTCGGACTGCGTTGCTGGAAGGGGCGTCGTCGCGCTACGACCGCCGCTCGAGGTTCGCCTTCGTCGCCGTCTCTCCTCTGGTCGAACTTCAAGATGCAGAGCGCTCTGTGAGAGTGGTGGACGGCTGCGATCTTCGGGAAACCCGGTGGCACTGGTTGACCTTGAGTGCGGCCGTTGCCTGCTACTGGGCCTGCTGGTGTCCGATGCATTCGACCTCATTTCCTGCACGCGATCTGGAGAGTGTCTGGATTGGCCACTCGTGTCTCTCCTCCTCGTTCCTTCGGCCCTCGTGCGCTCCCGCTCCCGTTGCCGTCGTCTGTAAGCCTCTGTAATCTTTCGACTCAGCTCATCGTTCCGGCTCAGGTCGATGTTGTCCAGATCAAGCCCATCCAACAAGCCCTCCTCCTGGATTTGCCTAGCGAAATCCTCAATTTCCTTCTGGACGTCGCGCTCGCTCAAATCGCTCGAGCTTATGAGTGATCTAAGTGACGACTGGTGCTCGATTTGCCGACGCCTCATGTCGGATGACTCCTGGGCACGCTGTCTCGACTCACTCCTCCGATGTCTCCTTTGCTCGCCCGACCTCGAATCCGGCTGTAGCTGGTCCCCGCTGGACCTTCCTTCATCGTCTCGCGGTCTCCGACTACCCTCATGTCTGTGGGTGTGGCGGCTGTCCCGACTGTGGTCCCGGCTCCGTCTGGTTCTCCCGTCGGCAGAGCTGCTGTCCTCCCTCCGCCGTCGATGTCGATGCCCCGAGGATGAGTCTACCCCAGCATCTCTAAGGCTCATCTCCCGCACATCTTCCAGCAGCCTCCTCTCTTCCTCCTCTGCGCGCCTCTCTTCCGGCGTTCTCTCGGGAATCTTGACTTCCGGCAGTACCTGGTCACCCGGCTTGTACTTCTTCACCATTTCCGCCACATCGGATTCAGACCTCCTCCTGTCCGGATTCGCAGCTACAAACATGTCGAGGAGAGTGGCGACGGTGGCATTGTGCCTCGTATCGCGAACCGGCGCACGGCATGACGGGCAAGTGAAGATGTTTGTCCCTGGGGCGGGCGGGGTCGGTGAGTTCTCGGCCTGCTGCGCTTGGAAAGAGAACCAGTCCTTCAAGCAGGCACCGCAGTATGTGTGTAGGCAGTCGAGGAGAGTCAGAGGCTGGTAGAGGAGCTCGGTGCATATCTAGAAGAAGCCAAGACAAAAAAAGTCGGTCAGCGCACATACATCTCTAGAGTCCTGCAGCAGAATGCAATGGGGTTTGAAAAAAAGTGCCCCTCTTCTAGGGCGGCGCTACGATCGTTGGATCAGACGACAGCGAGCGAACTTACAGAGCACGTCAACTCGCCCTCCAGATCGAGTGCGGGCCTTGAGGAATCCATGCAGAAACTGTCGCTCCGCGCGATCCCTGGAATGCCGGACACAGAGACAATGTCATGAGGAGATTTGGCCAGCGGGATCGCGAGGGGGACATGTCGGTTTAAGACTGGCTGTCAGGCGAGCCTTAGGTGAGGTGGGTGGCGGGGCCGAAAGCTAGGCGCGCCGTGGCCGCTGCAGCAGAAGCACTGGACCTCACAGGCTCAAGGGAAAGAAAGGTGTGTAAGGGGTCAGAAATGGTCAGAAACCGCCCTGGGAGGTGACCCCCGACAGATGGATTGGATGCTAAGGGACGGGTCCAGTGTGGCCCAGGGTGCTCCGTACAGGTTACGGCTGCCCGCTGCCCGCCCCAAGTTGGGTGTCAACCCCACGTTGGTTCCCGCCCGCCGCCGACCCCTACCCCTGCCCCTAGCTCCAAAAAGCATCCCAACTCCTGCGCGGAGCCAATAAGCTGAGATCATTGCAACCCCTCCGCTACCTTTTGGGACGGGCTAGCCCCTGTAGGCTCTTGGAAATACGAACTCAATGCCCACCGACTCTCCGGATTTCTTCAGACTAAAAGGTCTAAACTGCGTATTCTCGGCCAGGCATGTGAGTTATTCTTGCATGTTGAAGACTGTTTGGTTTATGTAGCTTTTATTGTGCACTTACTAGCTTGGTGAAGAGTCTCGGGACTAGAGTAATCATGCATGAAGGCGAATGCTGTACGAGAGACCCCGAAAAGTAATATCATCCTATTTCCTGCAGAGCAACACAGCCAAGCAAAAGTCGGTGCTGGGGCTGACTGTGCTCTTACATGATCTTATTCATGCCGAGCAGTTTGACGGATTTCCCCAAACACACGCAGCACATTCATTTGCCCAACATCATGGTTGCACAACATAATGTCTTTGCCAGACTCGGCTATTTCGCATACAACTATCCTTTCATAGACATGCCGCGACGCCCTCAAGAGTGAGTCCACTCTGCCTTCTTCTTCTCAGCGAATGCCTTCATGCCAATCTTTTGGTCGTTGCTGCCGAACAAGCTGTGGAATACTCTCCTCTCAAACTCAACACCATCCCTCAGAGGCAGATCCTGGCTCTTGTTTACAACTTCCTTACACGCGTTGATGGACACTCTCGAGTAGCCGGCAATGGTCTCGGCCGTCTTGAGCGTCTCCTCCATGAGAACCTCGTACGAAGGGAACGCCTTGGCTGCAAGACCCCACTTCTCGGCATCGGCACCGCTAAAGGACTTGCCCGTCAGGATCAGCTCCATGGCCTTGGACTTTCCGATGGCCCGGGTGAGTCTTTGGCTGCCGCCGGCACCCGGAATCGTGCCGAGCTTAATCTCGGGCTGGCCAAAGTTGGCAGTCTCGGTGCAGTAGAGAATGTCGCACATCATGGACAGCTCACAGCCTCCGCCGAGCGCGTGTCCCGAGACAGCAGCGATGATGGGCTTCTTGACCTCGGTGGTGAGAAGGGACCACGACTCGATGAAGGACTTGGTGTATGCCTCGGAAAAGGTGAGAGGGGCCATCTCCTTGATATCGGCACCGGCGGCGAAGGCCTTTTGGGAGCCGGTCAGGACGATGACAGATGTTTCGTCCGACGCATTGAAGGCCCTCAGCGCATCGTTGAGCTCATGGATGAGGGGAGTGCAGAGGGCATTCAAGGCCTTGGGGCGGTTCAACGTCACTAAAGTGGATCATGGTGAGCTTCATTGTTGCAGTGTGATGATTATGGCTGGAGCAGCAATTACCTTGACCAACGCCAGGCTTGGGCTGAGAAATTTGAATGAACTCGTATGTCTTGCTGGCGAATCCACGTGTGAGTCTGGGCAGCGTCGGTGCCTGCATTCGCGAGGCCACCGGCCGAAGGTATCTGAGTGAGTTCATGGTTGAGGTGAGAGCTCGAGAAGACGCTCAATCTGAATGGGATGTGACGTGTGGTGAATAAAACAGACGAGCCGTGGTACCGAATGAGACGGTTGATATCGACCTCAATTGATACAGAATCTCGTGTTCAATAAATGAAGCAAATTGTTGATGGCGCGGTGATGTAACAGATAGGTCGAGCTCCAGCTCACATTAATCCAAGCTCGAGGGATAGCTGGAAAGCATCGGCTCTGTAAAGCCGAGGATACAGTCGGGCGAGGCACAGACACTCGCAGCGCACTGTGGCAGCTTCCCCCGCGTCACAGGCTCGATCTTCCAACACACCTCAGCAATTACCTGTGGCAGCGGGACCCTGGTCCCCTGGACAAGAGATTCTGGTTTAGTAGACGGTGGGCCCCGTCCTCCCAAGCTCTGGATGGTTCCAGGCTGCAAGCTGCGCCACAGGGGCTCATTCGGGCCATTTCCAGGGGATCCAATCACTGACGTGCGCAATCCAATCACTGGACCGGATAAGATTCGGGCCAAAAAAGCAGGCGCGGTCCAGTGCAGCGCGCTGCCAATCTCAAATGGAAGGGACAGTTTGTTGCAAGCCTTCCGTTGCGTTACGTGGCTGAACCAATTTCCAAAGATTCCGTCAACCCAAAAATTCGTCCGGACAGATCGCGATAGCGCAGCGGCGGCCTCTTCCCACGGCATCATCATCCCAGCCTCGCACCCTCGTTAACGGCTAGAAACTCGCGTCAACACAACGCGTGCATCCCCGAAAAAGCTTCTTGCACGAGCATTCAACCCAGAAGTTCGTTTGCGCAACAATCGCCCAAGATGGACTCTTCCGAGCCGGAGCAGACTGCCTTCTCGTCGGTCACAGCCCACACCTCAAAGCTGCAAAGAGTACGACGACGATAAACTCCCCCGACTTCAGCGACGGCATCTTGCTAACACCCATCGCAGCAATACCAAGCGCTTCTCGATCAGTCAACCCCCTTTGTGCTTTACAGATGGATCGCCACGGGCGTCTGCCTCTTGGGCTTCTTCGCTCGCATCTTCGTGGCGCAAGGCTGGTACATTGTCGCCTACGCTCTCGGAATCTACCTGCTCAACCTTTTCCTGGCTTTCCTGCAACCCAAGTTCGACCCCTCCAACGAGGCCATGGACACTGAGATGGAGGACGGTGGTGTCGGCATTCTCCCCACCAAGCAGGACGAGGAGTTCAAGCCCTTCATCCGCCGCCTCCCCGAGTTCAAGTTCTGGTACTGGGCCACCCGCGCCATCGCCATCGGCTTCTTCTGCAGTTGGTGGGAGATCTTCAATGTCCCCGTCTTCTGGCCCGTCCTGGTCATGTACTGGTTCATCCTCTTTTTCCTGACGAGTATGTTTCACCCCCGCCCCTTGTCTCCCTGGTGTTCACCTTGGCGCAGAGCTGACCAAACACCCTTTGTAGTGCGCAAGCAGATCCAGCACATGATCAAGTACCGCTATGTTCCGTTTACCTTTGGCAAGAAGAACTACGCCAAGAACAGCTCCTAAAGGGGCCACGCAACTTTACGACGCGATGGATTCAGCGGGTTTTTACGAGAGACAAATGTCGTTGTCACGCCCATCGAGGCGGGACATATGTAAGAGTCTAGGCACGCCGGAGAAAAAATTAGACAGTACGCGAGGATGAATACACATTTTTGACGAAGTCTGGATTGGCGACGATAGGCGAAGGCAAACTGTATGTACCTATAGAAAGGAGGCCACGGGTATGAGTGCATGGATGGTTGCGACGGCGACGGCGAACTACACGGGGCGCATTAGGAGGTCCTCCTGCACGGTCGGGAGCCATTGCCCAGTTGATGAGTGATGGTTTTGCTTTGAAATCATTCATCTCATACTACGTATTGTAATAGAGAGGACAAGTCTGTCTCTGATTCTTCATCCATGACACGGCGCCGTCTCATTTTTCTGGTTTCCATCAACGTCAAGCTTGACAGCTTGGGAATTTGGGGGTGCTGTGTCTTCGTCTGATAGAGCTGATAAGGCTCCATGTTGAGGTCCGGGCGTTGGTTGGCGCAACATACCTACAGGTACCCCAAACTCCAGCCTCGTGGAACTTTTCCGGGCCAATTGCACCTTCCTGGTCAACGCGACCGCGACCACAGCTCCCCGCCGCCAATCCTCGAGTTCATCCTCTCCTCGTCGGCAATTCAATCCAACTTTCAATTACAACTGAAATAACGAGTCAGCCAACTCAAACGCATTTGAACGGCCACGATGTCGTCCTCGGCGCCTCGCGGCGGCGAGCGCATGATCCATCAGGATTTCATTGCCAGGATCCGATACTCCAACGCCCTCCCGCCGCCTCCCAACCCTCCCAAGCTCCTCGACATCCCAAACACCGGCCTGGCTAGCGGCCAATACACAACGCCGGGATTTGCGTCACGTCTGGCGAGAGAACAGCCGCTCAACATTGAGGTTGATGCGGAGCTCGGCATGCCCCTGGACCTGGTGGGCATGCCGGGGATCTTTGACGGAGACGAGAGCTGTAAGCGCGGCCGCGTTGCGCCAAGTGGGAGCTCAGTACTGACGTTGATCCAGCTATTCAAGCCTCCTCGCATCCGCCTGCCGTCCATCCTCACGATAGAGCCCTCCTGAGACCACTGTCTACCCTTGGCCGAGCTAAGAGCAACGCCGACGCATCAGTCTCCTTCCTGAGAAGAACAGAATACATTTCCTCCGTAGCACCCAGAAAGGCTGGGGTTGCCGCGGGAGCGTTCATCAACCCCAAGATCAAGCGCGCAGAGAAGCGTCGTTCACCCGAGCCGGACAAAGACTCACCGGCTGCCATCAGACGCAAGATCGAGAAGAGCTTCGAGAGCGCCGAGCGCTTCCTCAGCAACCCGACCCGCCATCGCCACCCGAGCAAACCAAACGTTCATCTCACGCAGTCTCTGCCGCTGCTCCCCGATCACGACGCCTTCCCCGACTCAGGCGCCTACGTCACCGTCAAGCTCCTCACGAACCCCGTGGCCAGCGCCAACAAGTACGACAGCCGCCTGCTCAGCGGTCTGCTCCGCCCGCTCGACAGGAGCCCCGAGGAGAACGAGGCCTTCCAGGCCGCTGTCGAGGCCCATGAGCGCGATCCTGCACGCAACCCTAAGCCCGCCAACCTTATGGACTACAGCTTCTTCCTCCCCAAGACCAAGATGACGGGCGATAACTTCCGAGCAAAGTTTGACCCGGAGAACCCTGACCGCGACGACGAGGAGCTCTACACGTACCAGAGCGGCTCCAACCCCTGCTTCCAGTTCTCCCGTCTGCGTGCCTACGAGACCACCAAGGAGATTGAGCTGGACCACAACACAAAGTACAGCGAAGAGGTCATTCTCGCCTTCAACGACGAGCCCTCGGCGGGCGGCAGGCCCAAGGCGGCGTACTACTACCCGGTCATCCAGCGCACGACCATCCGTCCTCAGCGCGCCAAAAATATTGCTCGTACCCTTAGTCAAGTGGACGACGAGACGCAGGTTGTCAACGAAGTGGAGATCTCCATTACCGATCCAAAGGGCCCCCCCGCCGAGAACATGAAGCGGTACAAGGAGAAGCCCATTGGCTATGTCGAGGAGGCCGAGCCGGCTGACGAGACTCGTGTGCCTGGCACACCCTCGGACCGGGACGCTGATGGCGATGCTGATGGGGATGAGGAGGATGAGGATTGAGGGGCGGCATGATGAGCTAGGGGGGCTCGCGGCGATGTAACATCAGTTCCTTTTCACAGACCATTTGGCGTTTGGATGTGAACATTCAAAAAAAATCACCCCAGGGCAGCCGCGAAGGTGGCCATTTTAGATTGAGGCTGTCCCAATGATAAAATACTCTCACGCGATTGGTTTTCTATCATGGCTCACCAGGGGGTTGAGTTCATCCAATTGATGCATGAACAGTGACTTGCTTAACACAGTCATTAAAAACGGAGCAGAGAATTGCATTGAAGTATATGTTGTCATGACTTTGAATTAAGTATATGTAGGATCTCCTCTCTCTCTTCCAGCGACGGTTTATGAGATACAGCGGCGGGGTTATTCTTTTCCCCTGTCTCGTAATTTCTGGTTCATTTTGATGATACTTTGAGAAACAGGAAAAGGAAGACATGCGAAGAAAGCACTCCAAATGTGGTATAAGGAACAAGGAACTCTCTAAAGAAAAAACAACAGACCCCGAAAAAAAGGTAACTTCATGTTAGGCCCCCCTCCTCTCCCTCCTTTATGTCATATCGTACCCGGAGAACTCCTTTTTTTGCTTCTTCCCAGAAGGGAAGGAAAGAAAAAAATACATAGAAGATGCATACAACGTGAACGTGGCCCCACGGCAGTGAACCGCAGTGAAAGATGTGTTACGCCGGTGGTTCTGGGATAGTTTCGAGGGCGAAGCCGATGGTGTCTCTCTTGTCGTCAATGACACGACCGTACCTAAACCGAGGTTGTTAGCAAATCTCGAAGAGTAAACGGTGCGCAATACAGGTATGCAAGGTAACTCACTCTAGAAGGAGGCGGAAGAACCAGACCTCCATATCCTCCTTGCGAAGCACCTTATTCGCCCAGTCGCGACTGCTGAGCGCCATACGCTCAGCCTCGTTGCGCCCCAGCGCGCCGTCGCCAAAGAAGCGCACGCTCTCGAGCCAGTCGTCGCCCTGCAGGCTCATGGGGATATAGTGCGCCCAAGGGCGAAGCCACTCGAAATGCCACTCGCGGAAGATGGCGAGCTTGAAGACGAGGGAGCGGGACTGCAAAAAGGCATAAAAGCGGCCCGAGAAAGCATTACCGTCCATGTCGAGGAGGTACTTGTACTTCCAGGCGTCCTGCTGCTCTGCGTGGCCCTGGATCTTGAAAAACTCCTTTTCGGCGTCGCAGTCGCCCGGGTCGCACTGTCCGACGTGCGAGAAGAAGACGTCGACGATCTCGCGGTAGTCGCCGCGGGGTACTTCTTTTACCTCCCACTTAGGGGTCTGCTCATCGCCGCGGTTGGTGTAGATCTTGGCCTGGTCGGCGGCGTTGAGCTTCTGCACGAGGTGCTGGCGGTGCTGGCGGCGCCAGCCGCCGTTGCGGGAGAAGCCGCCCGTTGTGGAGCCGCGCCAATAGAGGCGGTCCTGCTTCTGCTCCCAAAGAATGTCCTTTGACTCGTCGTAGGCGACCTTTTTGTACCAGTACCAGGGTGAAGGGTAGAGGATGTCGTTGTAGGAGGAGATTTTGGACTGGGAGAAGATGGGGAAGAGGTCGTGGACGATGTTGTAGGCGTTGGGGCGGTCGAAGAAGCCGTAGGTCGCGCTCAGGGAGGGCGAGAGGCAAATGTCCGACATGGCGGTTACGTTGTAGACGAAGCCGAGCTCGCTGACGCCGTACTTGCTCATGTCGTCGGACAGCTCGTCGTCTTCGAGGCCGCGCGAGGGGCTGTCGGGCGGGCAGGACATGCGGGAGTGCGTCCAGGTGGGCTGGTGGGCAAAGACGTTGAAGCGGGTGCGCTTGTACTCCTCGATGATATTACCGTCGCTGAGGCCGGCGGCGCGCTTCGTAAAAGCGTTTTCCGGGTTGATGGCGGCGTTCGCCTTGGGCATGTTGACGTCCTTGGCGCGGCTGACGAGGCGTGCGAGGTCCTCATGAGGGACGACCACGCGCGGCTCGTCGTGGATGTTGAAGGCAATGTCCATGCTGGGCAGGTGCTCGATGAACTTCTTAATCATGCCAGAGGTGGCGTCGCGCTGCCAATCCTGGCCGCCCTGGATGTGCTTGATCTTGTGGTCCCGGATCAGGAGACCGATCAACTTGTTATCGAAGCCCAAGGCCTCGCGCGCCCGCTCCCGTATCGTCGCCGGCTTCAGACCCCAGAAGGGCGTGAGCATCTCGTGTATCATATCGAACTCGTCAATGAGTTGCACGCCGCTGGCTTTTGCGAACTCGAACCACTTGTCAAAGTTGGGCGGCGGCGGGATGTTGTACCGGCGCTTGTACTCCTTGACGGCGTCCTCGAGGGTCTTGGACTGGCGCTTCAGCGTATCCTGGAACTCCTTCTCGGCGCTCGTCATGAGGTGCCACATGGGGTGTGATCCGGTGCCGCCAGCGGACTTTGGTCGTCTGTCGGGAGGAGGAGCGGCGGCGGCAGCAGCATCGTTACCGAGTGTCTGTTGATCTTGCGGGGGCGGAGGGGGCTTGTCGGAGCCTGTGATGGGGACTATCGGTCGTCGATCGGAGGGGAGTGTGAAGACTGTGTATGCGCATATCAACAGGAAGACGAAGAGAATGACGACCGTCCATTGGCGACGTCGCATGGTTGGTTGCTGGCTGTCAGCCTGCCCCTTTTGTGGCGGCGGGCTGGGTTGCTTGTCTCTCGAGCCTTGATCGGGTGCTTTCGGGGGAGAGGAGAGGAGGGCCAGTTTATCGCAGGTCGCCCTATTGCGTCGATGAGGATGAGGAAAGAAAGAGGGAACGAGTTCAGGGCCTCATTGCAGGAGTAAGCAGAGATGCCTCACAAAGAGAATTGGACGGCAGAGCTTCGTAAGGTTAGGTATTCGTAGTGCGTCGTGGATAAAGGAAAAGTATCCTAGTGGTCTGGTTTGGTATCGGTGGTTATGGTGGTGTTTGGTGGTACCGTGCATGTGCTATGTGCTCACCCCATTGGATGCGAGTGCCAAACTCAGTGGAGGTTTCCTTCCATTGGATCTGGGCCCGGCGGACGCTAAAGTCAAGGAAGTCTGTGGGCTGTATCCGTACGGAGTACCTAGTTGACGTGCCCCTAAAATAAAAAAAAAAGTCGCCTGGAAAAGAACATGGCTTGGAACCTTGGATAGTTACAGCGCGTCCGTGGACATTGGTTCCTTGGGTAGTGGCGCCGCGCCCGTGGTGACAGGGGTCATAATTGGACGTGCTTGGGACAGGGGAGGAGCTTAGTCTTGGGGGACACCTCGAGATTCTGGGGGCTAGGCCTCTGAAAGACTGAGCCTCCTTCAAGCTAGACTTTTGGAATGCTTGGTGGGGACGACTACTATTTTCATGACGCTTCCATAGTAGCCTGGAAGAGTAAGGTGGATTAGGAGACGCAAGACATTTCAGAGGAAAGCAAAATGAGTTTCACTGTCTACGTAGGAAGGCATCAAAGTACCTCGAGTCGACAGCGCCGCGACTTGGACAAAGTCCCTTTGCACCGTACCTGTTCCCTGGAGTTCTCCCTGAGAAAGTATAAGATACAAGACCCAGCTTTCCGGAATTTTGCCCGCGACTAGCGCATTTCTGAGTCGGACTGAGACACAGCAACTGGTATGGAAGACAAAGATGTCTTTGCTGCACATTTCCGTACCTTTGAGAGTAATCGCCGTGTTGTGGGGGTGCTCTGGGACACTTTGGGGGTGGAAAGTCTTTGACCCGCTCAATTCTTCGAGCCATCTTTGTGTGACCGTGTAGATCCGTAGGATCTTTCTCGGCCAAAACATCATTTCATCCAGAAACGTTGGAGGCGTTGAGAGACAATTGTCTCTACGCCTACGCCATTCTTTCTTGTCTCGAACGGGAGTGGTCCGCTGCAGGGGAGCCAGAGGCTTACCTAAGGAACCTTGGATACATGCTGGTATTATGAGTCTCCAATATCTGGATTGCTTCAGTCGACGTGCCGCGTTTCTCAAATTGCAATGCATTTCAGACGCCAAGTCGTCAAGTCTTAGGCTAAGTTGGAATTTCTTTTTCTCAAAAAGCGGGCATGCAGGAAGCATGCAGGAATAACGTACTCATCTGCAGGCGTTGGTGGATGTTGGCGGGAAGGATGCGGAAAAGAAAGAGTATCTCGGGACTATATGAGCGGGTGCAAGCCGAAGAATCGCTTGCATTTATCATCCAGTCTCTTGACATAGCTTGATCGGCTCTACCTTGAAGTTCTTCACTACTGGCAGTTACACCAAACAAACGCTGAAATTGCCAAAACTTCAAACTCTTAAAAAGACAACTCGGTGAAGCTGCCATCTACACCGAGACTCACGAGAGAAACAGCTTTCAAAAACAATGCACGACATACCTGCATCGCAGCAACACCCCATCACGTGGAGGGCACAGAGGGCACAGATGCTACGGCCGAGACCGCGAAACCCGCCAGAAGCGGAGCCAAAATGCCCTCGAGATATCGCAAATATGCACGACATACTTGCATTGCAGCATTCGCCATCACGTGTGTGTGTGTGTGGTCGCAGAATGGGCCTCGTTGCCAATATTGCCGTTTTGGGTAGTCAAGGTGAAGGTGCTGAGGCGAATCATTCGCGAGGGCTTCACCGAGAGTTGAGATTGTGACCTTGAGATGTTATATGTAGACAGACATGCACGGCTTATTGCTGAGGCTGAACTGACAATGTTAGACCCCTCGTTCAAGACGAAGGCTGGTGTTATCTGGGTATCAACCGCTGAGGTTACATTTTGTTTAATCCAAGAGATAATCTCTGCCTTGTCGGCAGCGTGACGTTGGTGCCAAATGAAAAGGTCCTGTAGTCCATCTGCTCGCCCGGATTGCTCTCAAGCCCACTCGAGCGTTCAGTTGAGATCCTCCGGTCGTGACCTTCCAGGTTGGAAGTATTGGCGTCGGAATGGCCTTGACCTTTAGTGCTGTGTACTTTGGGAGATGATGCCCCGTGAGAACAATTCACAGGCGTCTATATCGTCCCCAAGGTTCGGTGTATATATAGGGACGTCCTCAAGTTAGACTTTCACCCCGTTATTCACACGAGCACATTTGGCGATAAGACGCTCGAATCTTTTAGGTAGGACGTCCGGGGAGGTAGCAAGTATGATGGGCCTTGGTCCAGCGCCGGCTCCGTGTATGGAAGAATTTGGATCGGCTCCGTGGCGTATAAGTGAGGCAACCAGTTCATCGTTGCAAGGCACTCCTGGTTCAAAATGACTTGCTGGTCACTCGTTTCCTACACCACTACTTCTCACCTTGCTGGCCTATTGGGCTTCTCGGGCATATTTCATAGAGAATACACCCAGAGAACTGGCGAGGGAAAAAATGGCGGTGGTGGGAAACGTAAAGTAATGCTCGTGGCTTGAATCGAAACTTGCATTTGTAATTAATGTTGAGACCCCTTTCACTCTCGCTTCAAAGACCTTGCACCGAAACAGCACCGCGAGGTCCAGAACTGGTCAAAAAGGAACGAAATAAGCTGAGAAAACGGTGATTTATAGCGCAAAGAGTGCGAACCAACGTCGGTCCTCATACATCAACGAGTGATCGTAGGGCTCGACGATGGTGGGCCAGACTCGAGGATTCATGTAGTACCGTCGATGCCGGATAGAACTACTACACAAATCCATAGTTGACTCTACATTTCTCACGGTTCTATGTGTGATGGAATCATCGAAATGAGAATCAACAACACATTCAAGATGGAAGGCTTCTACTGACGAGCCTCCTGGAAATGGGGGACTTTTAACAGGCAGAAGGAATTCGCTTGAGCGACTGCGTTGTAAAGAGCACAATCTCGAGAAATCGGGATGGCAATAGGCAAAACCAGCACCTTCGACAGCAGCCAACCGATAGTTCCCTCCCATCATCTATACATCACATTCGGCCTCACCCTCATCTCCTCCGGCACCTCCTCCAACCCATCCATCGGCCTCAACAACACATCCGCCCCGCTCGCCACAATACAATACCTCTCCCTCAACGCATTCGTATCCTCCAAAATACTCGACGGCATCTTCTCGTCCCCAGGCGGCGGACTCCGCATCGCCAGCGCCAACAGCTCCGGCGTCGACTCCCAGCTCTTGCTCGTGACGCCCACGATAAGACTCCACGCCATGAATGCCACCGCGACGGCACAGTAAACAAATAGACCCAGCATCGAGTACTTGACGGTATCGTCCCCGGCAGAGTACGCGAACCCCTTCATCTCGCCACGGAAATGCAGCTTCTGCGCCGCGGCCCGCACGGGCTCGGGCACGTCGAACGCCGTGCCGGACTCGGGGAACCCGAACTGTGTTTTGCGCGGGAAGAAGTTGCGCCACCAGGCGCCGTCGGCGTCCTTCAAAGTGATGATGGGCTTCGCGGCGGGCGCGGTGCGTGCCATGCCGTTGGCGAGCATGGCGTTGACGAGCGTCTCGACGTGGCCTACGGTCCAGGGAAGGCCTAGCGGAGAGTCGACGAGGCCGGATGAGGTGGCGAGGCGCTGGAAGACGGTGGTACCTTCGGTATCGACCGCTGCGTTGGTCAGGTTCGCAAAGGAGGTCTCGATGAGGACTTTTCGACTGCCGGGCTTCCATGTCACGGGGAAGGGCCAGCCGTCTGTCCAGACATGGTTGTCTATGTTGATCCAGGTGTTGGCCCCGATCCATTCTGCGTCTGTGAGGCATCCGTAGACGGCGATTCCCCCTTGACGTGGGAGAGAGATGATGGCACCGATGGAGACGTTGGCTGCTAGGTCCCCTTCGGGATCAATATCAAAGAAGGACAGCTGGGGGCTCGTATCGTTGAGAGTTGTCCAGAAAGATTGCGTGGTCGGGTTCTCCAAGGCCGTGATATCAGTGTTATTGACAAAAGAGGCCTCGTTCCGCACTTCTGGAAAGTCCACAGGCCCGCCACGATCGCTGGACGTGGTGTTGCCATCGACCATGGTCACTCGACATCGAGTTTCCATGGACGCGAGCTCCTGGAACGTCGAGTATCGGTAGTCCGACCCGCGGTAGTACTTCTTCTCCTTTTGATCCATGAAAGTAAGCGCATCCTGCCACAGCATCGTCGTCGCGGCCAACGTGGCGCCCGTCACACGATGTGGCAGCGTCATGCGAGACTCGGCCCACCCGCGCGGCACCCCCGGCTCGCGAACGGACATGGACAGCTGCAGAATCGATTCCGGCGTGGCGAGCGGGAACAGCGCCGGGATCCGGATGTACGACCCCTTTGTGACATTGAGGACGGCCTGGTCCGGGAGGTAGCTCACGAGATGCGTCAGCGAGTCCCAGCCCGCAGACGGGCAGTCGAGGTTGCCGGCCCTCTCGCACACGTCGCCGGCAACGGTGTCCACCGCCGTCAGCGTCCGGGGAAAGATGTCGGCGCCGGCTTTGTCGATATACACCCACGACCCGCCCATCATCCACCAGTCGTTAAGGGGCGTCAAGACGGTAGCCGTGGCGGGCGCCACGACGACCGCCAGGACGCAACACATGACGAGGAAGGAGACGAAAAAGATCTTTTTCCAGACGGTCGAGAAGCGGCCGCGCAGCATGGCCGTCATCTCATCGGACCACAGGAACTCGGGCGAGCTGAAGCTGTTTCCCGCGAAAAAGGCCGCCAGCGGCGTCCCCTGGCCGAGCGTCACCTCGCGGCGGACAAAGGTGAAGATCATGGTCGTGAGGGAGCCGATGATCATGATTTCGAGGAATTTGGCGGCGAACTGGATCAGCAGGTTGGCCGACTTGTCCCATTCACGGTTCGGTGTGAGGTCCGCCCCGATCCAGTACTCGTGGTAGATGAGGTGGCTCATGATGGCGGTGGCGACCAGGGGCGGGACGTGGACCATGATGGCGAGGAGGGCCATGGGACGGTTCTTGAAGATGACGACTTTTGTCTGGTTGCGCATCGAGTCGCGGATGTTGTAGAAGAGACGGTATAGAGAGTGGAAACTCCATGCCTTGAGCGTGTTTTGGAGGACAGCTCTGAAACTGAACTTGCCTTCGTATATCTCGTAGGGAGTCGTTTGGTCGTTGAGTCTGGCCTAGGTTAGCATTTGTGACCTGACTTATTGTGTATGTACCCCAGAAACCACTCAGAGGTCTTAAGTCTGGTCCGATGGTGCGTGGGCTTATAATCACCTCTCTGTATCTTTGAAATCATGCGTGTCATTAGGGTCTAGGGATTGTCCTCGACGTCCTGGCGGGCCGCCGTCTTGTGGATGAAGAAGAGGAACGAGAGGCTCTCCCCTTTCACCAGTTAAACGGACTTCAAGCATCGTGAGATCTTCCCTCTTCGACGAGCATCACTCGATAAAGAAACTTCATACCACATAGTGAACCTGGAAACTTGGGTTCATTTATCAGTCGTTCTCCTACACCGCAGCACTCTCAGCTCACAACGAAAAGGGAACTTTGAATGTGGCTGACAGGGGCATGATGCAACGTTCGAGAACAGGGTGCTCGCCAGGCACCGAGATAAAGTCCTCCCAAGCCCGGCTCCGGTGAAGCGCTTAAGTCGTGACAGCTATAATTTCATTGGGTATCGAATTCGAGATCCGCTTTCGGGAACGGCCTGAAGCTGTCATGTTGCGATGCCCCTCATGCGTGTCAGACTGTCCAATCCTTCCGCTGAACATCCAACCTGTTTTGGGCCCTTGGGGGAACATGGCCGGCAAGGCTGAGGAGCCGAATCCTTGTGTGAAAATACAGCTGGCTCCATTGCATACGTGCGTGAATCCGAAACCTCTGAGGCTCTCAACCAGAGTACATCAAGTCATCAACCAACGTCGTTGAAAACAAGTTCAAGTGAAGGGCTTCCAGCGCCTAGGAATAAGCTTGTTGTACTACAGGCGCAGGGACCCGCATTGGGCCCGGCTGCCCGCGATATCTCGCTGAGGTAATCAGACATAAACCCCCACGCCTTGAGTTGGGCGGGTGCCTGCCCGACCGACCCCAGGTGCCCAGATCTGTAGATGCTCGGCGCGTGGTCATCGACTTCTCCACCCCCATCTGAGTGGATGACAGCGATCCGGTGAACGCGGCGCATGATTGCTTGTCTCTCTCTTACTTGTCCCCCCAAACGCCAACAACGTCGCTTTGAGTCGCTTTGTTTACACGTGAGACCTCGTGACACCAACGTCTTTCGAAAGCTCTAGGGAGTGTGCGACTCGGTCATTGTTCGACTGCTCCAAACAAAGCTGGCGCATTCGGGGTTCCGTTTGAGGGGGAGTACGGACACCGACGGGATACCTAACGACGAACGAACGTACACATCCTTCTGGCTGCCCTCTACGCAGGCCGTTCTACGAAAAGCACAACATATTCTCTCGGCTCTTCACAAGTGGAATACCAACGACGAATCCGCAATCTACTACCCGGACCTCGACGGAACTGAACTGCACAGATCTTGAGCTGGGACATATCGAGCCTACCTTCCCGACGGCAAGACAGGAAACGCAAAGATGGAGCGCATCAGGGAACTGCTGGGCAAGCACCACAAGCCGGATCGGCAAGAGTACGAGCCTCTCGCCGAGGAAGGCCGGGAACTCGACGGCTCCACGCTGGAAGAAGACCCGGAGGAGGTGCCGTTCTCATGGACCGAGTACATCATGTTCGCCTGGTTGGGCATGGCGATGCTATGGGCCTGGTACGCGCGAATATCTTCCCCTTTTGTTTCGATATGCATTTACGAAGCATGACAGCTAATATACTCAATCCAGGAACATGTTCCTCGCAGCAGCCCCCTACTTCCAAGTCCGCTTCCAATCCGACGTCTGGATCTCCCAAAACTTCCAATCCGCCATCCTCACCGTCTCGACCCTCACAAACCTCACCGCCATGCTCATCCTCACCAACATCCAATACGCCGCATCCTACCCCTTCCGCATCAACCTCGCCCTCCTTCTCAACTGCGTAATCTTCTCCTTCCTCACGGCCTCCACCTCCTTCGCCCTCGACGCCTCCCCGGGAGCCTACCTAGCCTTCATCCTCCTCATGGTTGCCTCCAGCTCCTGGGCAACAGGCCTCATCCAAAACGGCGCCTTCGCCTTTGCAGCCTCCTTTGGTCGGCCCGAGTACATGCAGGCCTTAATGGCAGGCCAGGGCGTAGCGGGCGTCCTCCCGCCCATCGCGCAGGTCATCACCGTCCTCGTCGTCCCCGAAAAGGAGGGCACCACAACCGTCCAAGACGACATCAAGTCCTCCTCCTCCTCGGCCTTTGTCTACTTCCTCGCCGCCGTCGTCGTCTCCGTCTCGGCCCTGCTGGCCTTCCTCCCCCTCGTCCGCCGCCACAACCGCATCATCGAAGCCCGCATGGTCAACACCCTCGCAGAATCCCTCACCTCCGTCGAAGAAGCCGAGCGCGCCGCCCGCAAAGTCGTCTCCCCGCTCACTCTCCTTCGCAAACTCCACTGGCTCGCCGGCGCAATCTTCATGTGCTTCTCCGTCGCCATGTTCTTCCCCGTCTTCACCGGCAAGATCCTCTCCGTCCGCTACCCAGGCGACGAAAAGAACCCCGCAGGAATCCTCTTCCGACCCGCCGCTTTCATCCCGTTGGCCTTCTTCGCCTGGAACCTAGGCGACCTCTCCGGCCGCATGGCCACCATCCTCCCCTTTTCGCTACGTCACCGGCCCGCCGCCCTCTTCGGGGTCAGCCTCGCGCGCATAGGATTCCTGCCGCTCTACCTGCTGTGCAACATTGGCGGCCGCGGCGCCGTCGTCCGCAGCGATTTCTTCTACCTGGTCGTCGTGCAGTTCTTCTTTGGGTTGACCAATGGGTGGCTCGGCTCGAGCTGCATGATGGCCGCGGGCGAGTGGGTCGAGGACGGCGAGCGCGAGGCGACGGGCGGGTTCATGGGGTTGTGTCTTGTTGCTGGTTTGACGACGGGTAGTCTTTTGAGCTTTACAGCTGGTGGTATTTGAAGGGATATCTCGGTAATTTGCATGTGTACGGCGTAAGTGGTGCATGAATATCTCTCATTGGCATACGGTATTGGTCTTTGATGGCGTTTCAGGGTACGGGGCATGAGAACGAGCATAAAGACGGTCAATAATAGTTGACCCTAGAGACACGAGTTATTCAATCCATTCTTAATTCAAATGGAAGACAACGCAAGTCAAGATCACATGGATAAGTATCGGATGTGGTGTTGCAAAATTACGTTACGCTTTGCTTGGCTACTGATACACTACTATTGTACAACCGCTTCGACGTCGTTCAAATCTGGAGAGCGCAGTTCACCATCTTTCCGCGCCCGGTGTACCAGCCCTCGTCAATCAACGCGCGCTCCTTGTCCTGCCACTCTTGGAACTTCCAGGAAACATTCTTCTTGTCGAGGTCGGCAAGCTTGGCTTCAAACGAGTCCACAACCACAGTCTCCTCTGTGCCCTTCTTCTCGACCTGGTATCGCATGTAGAGGGAGCAGTCTCGCAACGTCATGGCGATACTAAACTCCGAGTCGTTTTTGCTCGCATTTAGAGGCCCGCGGGGGTCCTTTTGGGTCTGGTGCCTCTTCAACAAGCTGAGGATAGGCGTCTTCTTCAGCAGGTCGTACAAGGTAGTGGCGTGCTTGTTGTCTCCGAGGCTGCTGTACTGGAACAAGCTGGTGAGAGCCTTTTGGCGCACATCTTCCTTGCCCTTGGGCGTCTCTCTCTCGGGATCCAACCAGAGGGGACATGGGTAATATCGCGGATTACTGCCGGCGTCCTTGCTGTCTTTGAACTTCTTGGCCGCGAGGGCGCAGCAGCGACATGTGTTGGCGTTCTCCGGCGCAGACGGCGACTGGGCGAGCCACTTTGGCTTAAATTCGACTACGCGCTCATCGGCGCTCCGCGCGCGCATGCTTTCGATCAAGCAAGCCCGTCCTTCTTCCATGATTTTGTTGTTTTCAAACTTGGCGGGTCGCTTTTTCGCTCCTGGTGGTGCTTTGTTCAAGGCATCTAGTACGTTCTGCATGTGTGTCATCGCCTCTTTCGGGAGCAATGTAAACTTCATGTCGGCCAGCAGATCCGCGCGAAAGGTAAAGAGAGGAGCAATGGTGGTCCAGAAATAAAACCACTGCTCTTTTGGCGGGTAGAATGGCTTGTCACCACCTTTGGGTTGCTTTGGTACTCTCAAGAGGTATTCTGTAAGTGATGTTAGTAACAGTTCAGGATAGGGCCTGTAAAGAGACATCTGAGAACCCACTGGTCAATAGGTCGTCTTCGGTTCTGTCCTTTTTGTCCTGCCTCGCAAACTTGGTATGCAAAAAGGGGATGAACAGAACGTTGGCGGCGCCCTCGCCAACATAAATGGCGTGTGTCCAGGGACTAATATGAACATTCTCTTCCGAGATGACCACCCCCATATTGAAGACCTTGCCCGATGCTGGGCTATGCTCCTTAGGGACATCTTTGGAGCATATATCTGCAAGCGTATTCGCACTGATCTTCATATTGATCTTTGTGGGGGGGATCAACAATTTGGCCATGACGAGGAAAGCGGAGTGAAGCGATATCTGTGTTGAAGATCGAAGACCTGTTGCTAGCAATGAGAGTAGACTCTTTGTTACGGATGAGAGGCTGAAGCTGAAGATGGCGAGCTAATATTGAGGTAGTGACCGGCTGGATCGAGGCGGGTAGGTAAGGCGTCCAGATGGCTTCATAAGGCGACTGTTAAGCGATGATGTTTGTGTGAAAAGAGGAGAGGCTCTCACGGCGAGTTGCAAAGAGGTATGGAAGGCGGTACGGTACTGTGGAAGGAATGTGTCTTTTTCCCAGCTGAACTAAGGTAAGATCCAATGGCTTACCTGCCGCAACTGGTGGCAGCAAGTGGTCTAACAAAGCGTAGTTTCCCAAGGTGTGGTGGTGACTTGGAGGTGTCTCACGCCAGCAACCCTTTCTCTCACTCTCCCGCCTCCGCTCTTGCCTGATCTGGCTCGGTGCTTTTGCAGATAGAACACACGGGTGAATACACGCTGGATAGCACGTGAGACTGGTCGGAAGGGGTTCCCAGAAAGAGGACGGAGCCGGAGTGCTTCTGAGTAAGGTGGGTAGGTAGTCTACGTCGTCAGCCGACTCGTAGTTGTCTGATCTAGCGTCGCCAAAGTCGAGTATCGAAAGAGTGCGCGCGCGCAACTGTTGCCTGCCCGCGTTTCTATGGTTCCCCTTGGTTAGAAGACGGGTTTCCGATGAGGGAGCGATAGCGACGAGGCTCCATTTGGTTGCTTGTTGCTCTGTGCTACCACGGCCCTCCCTTTTGTGTATTTTTTTTTACACCTTTGTTGTGTCTTCTGGATACCAGCGGTATCCCAGGATGACGACAGACTTTCCGCTTCGGGTGTGGAGCAGAAAAGTTGGCTGATTTGGCGCTGGCTACTGGGTAAACTTGTGAGTTCCTACTTTTTGTCGACGCTATTGGCGAGAAAGCAACGGTAGCAGACACGCGACAGGCAACTTCCCTGGGGCGGGAGAGGCTGACGGGGTAAGCCAATGACTCCAATGACTCCTCCCACAGCGATAGGTAGCAAGTCGCGGCTCATCTATCATATCTGGACATTTTGGCGAGGGCGTTGGGCAGGAAGCTACCGCAGGCACCGCAGGGTATAGTCTGTGTTACATAAGTTTTTACCCCGGAATCTTGTGAGAGGTTGGATTTCTTCAATGTGCGGTTGCAGAGATGGAACCCAGAATTCCAAAGGGCCCAAACGTTTTAGCAGGAACTCCTCATCCAATGCCTGCGATGACTGGTACTGCGCGCGCGTCAAACCCACATGCTTGACGTGAGTGCGGCTATCAAGCTGACCCCCCCATGTTGATGCGGGCAGCCAGAGGGAAAAGGAAAGACAGGAGGGCACGATTGGGTGCAACGTGCAGCATTGGCGACGCGCGATTCTTCGGCCGGACTGAGCCGGAGGAGAACCGAAGATTGGCCTATGCAGCGCGTGAGTGGGCGGCTTGCCCCGCCCGGCGGGAGATCTTTGGGAAAAGGCTGGACTTTGGAGGCTCAGAAAGCGCAGAGCGATTGCGTCGCTTTCTTCTTAGCCGGCGTCGCCCGTTGGCTCCTTTCCCCCGAAGAGCGGAGCATTGCGGAGAAACGTTCAAGGGACTGGGGCTGAAGGACCGATGGTCCGTGGAGAGAAGGAAGGGGAAAGTTCAAGGAAAGAGAGACATTGGACGGGAGACACGCGATGGCAGACTGGCAGAGAATTAGATAAACCTGATAGAAGCAGTCAAGAATAAGGTCAGATCTGTCACGGCAGGGGATGGGGGGCACTGACCGGCAACTCGGACAGGATGCTGGACCCGAGAGCGATTCGAGCGCCGTGATGATGTGATTCTGCCCAGTCAAGACTCAACCCTGCTCAGCCCGGCCCGGCGACAAGACTTTCCATACGGATACCTAGTTCATGCCTCTCTGGAAAGCGAAGTGCATCATTGTGGATGCCGATATGACGGATTACCTACCCCTTCGCATAGCTCCAGATGAATTGAATAAGACCATGTCATCTTGTTTTCCAAATCCAGTCTTCATGCACGCGCAATCTCCCGAAAGGGATAGGTAGAAGAAGTAACGCCCTGATTTCCGGGAATTAGTAGAATTTCTGGCTGTCAGGTTATGCTTTTCACAATAGGGTATCATGATGTCGGACCACATCCAGCACATGTCTTTCGATATCGTCCCATGTTTGCTGACAACCCATCGCTCGTGATCGGCCCCGGGCTGCAACGGACCAACAGCCAGAGACCAAAAACATGCAGTGGCACCGTAGAAGCGGGTTCTTACCCCGACCAGGACGGGATCCAAAGGGCTGAAATGTCGGCCAGCCCAGATCTTGCTGAAGAGCCTTTGCGAAACTCGATTTAATTCGATTCCCCAGACGGTTCGCGCTTGTGGAAACGAGGGTACAACTCTAAATCGTCCACCGTCTTTTTTCGTTCCGGTGGCTTGGTGCGGGATTCGCCTGGCGCATCTCTTGACTTTTGGAGGTGGTCATTCGTGATGCTTCAGGGCTTTTAATGGCATTCGGTATCCGAACGGTGCCTTGCCTTGCGCGGCCGATGAAGGTCCTCGGGTGACTCGCATAACTGCTAATCTGCGACCGTCCGGCGTACTTGCAACTTCACAAGCAAATATGCAAATGAACCAACCAGGCCAACGGCACTAGGTACATCCGGCGCATAGCATATCATTAGCCGTGGGTGCTCAGCGGGTGTGAACGTCCAGTGTGTCCACGCAAACTCAGGGTGAGTTTGCAGCGAATCATGAGTCTTGGGTCCTGCCCTGGGAAGTGGACCTACCACCTTCCGGCCCCTCCCTCCTAAGAAACGAAGTGCCTTGCTCCTTCCTCCTTTTTCAACGGGGACCCTCAGTGGCTTGGGGGCGCCCGTCACGCTGCAGGCCATACCTCTCAGCGGAAGGAACCTACCTTGGGTACTGAATGGAAGGTACCTCAGTCCCAAAGTACTCTGTAAGTACTGGACGGGGGAGGCAAGTAGTGCCCACCCGACCCTTCCAAAGCTGGGACGCGCTCAAGTGGACGCTCACACGCACCTTCCTCTTGGTGGCCCCACCCAGTGGCCCTTTCCCGCACCACACGCGACACTCGCATCCGCCGGCCCCAGCATAAGGAGTCGCATCTGTCACAGCACCTGGTCATCCACCCAGTCAGAACACAGCCAAAGAGAAACACAGGGAAAAAAAACAGCCGTCAGAAATTTTGCAGGTGGAAAGGGAAAAAAAAAATTCGCGCTAAGGCTGCACCACTACCACTGCACGCACCACTTAGCTCCGAGTATTCCCTTCCCTCTGCTTCCCGAACAGCGAAAGAAGGAGAAGGAGATAGGTACCAAGGCATACAATAGCACCTCAAGTACTACGTACCCGACCAGCGTCATTCGCCGGAAAACGCACACCTCCCGCGCACCGAACACTCTCGCTCTATCTCTTCACCACACAACCAAGCTTGATCTACATCCCGATACCTCCCACCCTCATTCTCCCTCCGCCCTCTCCCCAGACCATCCAACTCTTCCCCGGACTATATCATCTAATTGCACCTGCTCCTCAACGAGTCCATCCCACTATCGGTCTTGCCTTCGAACCCGCCATCGACGCAAACCTTTCGTCATCGAACCCGAAGCACCTTACTAGACATCACCAACTCACCAAGTCTCTCCTTATCGAGTCCCGGCCGACCGGCCTCCATCACCTTGCCCTTCGATGGTTGGCCGCAGCTAAAGCCATTTCAACATGGCCTTCAACTTCAACTGGTCGCCGCTCACGGCTGACGCCGAGTTCTACCAGCGCGCCCGAGAACTGCTCACCACCGCGCTGAACAAGAATCCGAAGCCTCCGATTATCGTCGATGACATCCTCGTTACCGAGTTCAACTTGGGCTCCGTGCCCCCGGAATTGGAGATATTAGAGATTGGCGACATTGCCGAGGATCGATTCCGTGGCATATTCAAAATGTGTTATTCGGGCGACGCCTTCTTGACCCTGAAAACGAGGGTTCAGGTATGCTGGACTTTTTTTTTTTGCGTTCCCTCTTCCGCACCTCGCCATCCCGCAGGTGTCTCCCTGCACGCAAACTCCGGAGGCGAAGCTCGGGTTCGCAGCCGCCGCAACGAGCTCGCCAATGCCCGCATCACGAACTCACCTTCACGAGTTCGGAATCGTTTCCGTTCCAGCGGCTATCGCAGTGCGCCAGAGCACTTCTGCGTCGCGATCATGATTCCATACCAGTGTCTGGAATGCCCTTGGTTCCCCCATCGGAGAGCCGAGACAGCACCAAGTGATGCTCTCCCCGAAAACAGCATCATTTCACCAACCACAATGATTTCCACCATTTCAGATGCTTCGTAGCATCGTTGCCCCAATCATCCCGGTGTTTGTTTTTCCCTCGCCAAACATTTCTTCACTATCCGCGTGCTCGCATTGAAGTCGAAATTGCCTGGCCGGGATCCGCGTCCCATGTTACTACCTTTGGCTCCCCCAAAATGCACGTGCGTCATAGCAATGCTAATATATCAACAAATAGGCAAATCCAATGAACACCTACCTGTCGTCCAAGCCGGGATTCACATCGCCGCAGCCACTGGCCGCCGCATCGGGTCTTACTATTCCGCTGTCAATAACGCTTTCCGAGATCAAGCTTTCAGCCTTCATCATCCTGGTCTTCTCAAGGCAAAAGGGCTTGACCCTGGTCTTCCGCAATGACCCGCTCGAGTCGCTCAAGGTCTCTTCAACCTTTGATTCGATACCGTTCGTGCGCGATTATCTACAGCGCACCATCGAGGCCCAATTAAGGAATTTGATGATGGACGAGCTCCCCGCCATCATTCACAGGCTGTCTCTGCGCTTGTGGTGCCCCGATGCTCTGCCAAAGGAGGAGGAGGCGCCCAACGAGGACGCTGAGGAAGCCGAAGTTGACCCCTTGGCGAGCCCCCCTCTGGATCCCGTCGATGCGAACGGTAACCTGCTCGACGCCAACGAGGTTTCCTCACTATCTCTTGAGGGTGGCCCGGAAGTCCAGTCGCTCTTCTCGCAGAAGAACCTCTTGAGATTGGCTGCACTGAACGACTCCCATCGCACATTCTCTCTCTTCACGCCGGGCATTCGAGATGTCGTGTTCCGTGCATGGACTGGACCTGCAGTGTCCGAACCAACTAGCACACCACCGACGGCAACGCCCAGCTTGTCCAAGACAAACTCCTTCCATGGAACTGCTACCACGTACACTTTCTCCGATACTGGTAGCGCCGCTCACGGCCATCTCCCGTCCAGACCGTCAATGGTGAGCCTCAACTCGGCCACCACTGGTCTGTCGTTGGGTGCCGGTATTCGGTCAAAGTCGTACGCTGGTCGCAAGAAGAAGACGAGAGTGGTCAACCTCCGACGCTCAAAGAGCCAAGTTGGCGAAACTCCCGAGGGTAGCGATACCTTCTCGGAAATGGCATCCGACTCTGCATCCGTTGCTGGTCCCTCGACTGAGCCTCTCATGACCAGCTCCATTGCTGAGGACCTCGAAGATGAGGAAGCTCTGGCTAACCTGGCAGAATCGACCCCTAGCAAGGTTCGTTTCAGCCCGCTGGAGAGGACGCGAATGTCTTCTCGACCTCCGTTGCAGCCGGACTTTTACGCGGCGCCCCAAGAAGATCATAGTGTTCCTATCAAGCTGGACAGCACCTATGAGTCTGAAGCCGTTATTACGCCCCGAGCCGAAAACGAGAAGGCTGCAGCGGAGAAGCCGCTTCAAGGTGTACCATCCGAGCCGTCATCTGTGTATGAGCAGGCTTGGATCATGAAGATGGCTGGCGAAATCGCCCGTCGTGTCTACGACGAGAAGAGCCGCCATCCCAATCTCTGGGACGAGCGGGAAGACGTCCCGCCCCCGGCCTACGAGGCATCAACCTAGATCACCTGTTTATTTCAGGCAAATGTACAGATTGTGCAAGCATCACCATACATACATCCACGTTGCTGGACTGCATCTCCTTTCCATCTGGTCCATCCCTTCCTCCTCGCATGGCGTTAGGGGGAACTCCTCAACTTTTTTTTTTTTTGGGTTTTTGACCATGGACGACAATTGCATCGTCATTGGTCCATTTTGCTATTAGTGTTAATGTGTACATATCACATGGCGTTTGAAAGGGAAACACAGGGGGATACCGGGTATCATACAAAAAAGAATGGGATTGAATCAGAGAAACGGCCTCTTCTCTGATTAAATTTTTGGATTCTCAGGTTGGGATGAAGAAAGAGGCCGACCAACCACGCTAGTTTACGCGATCACGCTACGAATCAAACAGTGACTTTTCCCTTTTTACGAGAAAAAGGGCGGGCTGTTTTTAACTCGGAGTCATAAAAGTCATCGGCATACTACACCACGGCCTGCCTATACGAGGCGGGCTGATTTATACAGAACACATCTACACACACACACACACACACACACACAAACTTGTTTCCTTTGTCACTTTTTCCGAATATTTTATCGCGAATCATCCCCACCGAAGACCTCGATGGGTCGGATGGGTAGAGCTGGTGTGTACAACACAGTGGGAAAGAAGGAATCGGGCTTTGCTAGGAAATCACACCATGGATTTTTGTTCGAGTTGGAAAGAGGAGGAAGACGGTGATGGAAGGAAATATCGTGGATATCATTTTGTTCAACTTCGCGATCAAACTATTTTTGGCCTGGCTCATAAGACGAGTTTCATGGCGCTATCCGTAAACACATGTCAATTAGGCATGTTTGAAGAATCAAAAACTCCAATCTTCTATGCATACCGGTATTTTGTTCACACCGCCCATATTTCGTACATGAGGCACTTATTCACCGCTAGACTGTGCTCTTTTTTTTTTTTTTTTTTACCGCTCAGAAACTCCACAACCGCGACAAGGCTCCCTGCCGTCTGCGCTGTCACCAATATGTATGTATGCCTTGTGCTAGCCTCGTCAGCCAACATAGCCCTGTCCATCATGCGGACCATGATTCGGGCCCTCGTCCTTTGCCCTCTTCTTGTCAGGCAGCTCTGCTTCCGGTGATGCCTTCCGCTTTTCGGGCTTTGGGGCGGCCGGTGCCAGAGGACTCAGCATCGCGGACGGGCTCGAAGTATCATCCGACATCTGCACATCCGGCCCCTCCCTGCTCGTCTGAGAATGCATCGACATGGTTTCTGCAGCGGCGTCGACTTGCTTCGGTGGGGCAGGGTCTTGAACTTGGCTACCGCAGTTGTACATCTCTTCGAGGCTACTGTTCGGTACCAGTCGACATTGGGAGCGTGCCGACGCGGAGTAGTTTGAGTGGAAGAGACAATATGTTTGTCCCAGTCCAGTGCCCGGTGTGCTATCCCCGGAACCAGGGTTGACCCCCACATGAGGATTGGTCGAGCCCGCGATGCCAACGGCTGACGTCTGGGTTGGCGCATTCCGAGGATTTCGAGGGTCATACTCATCCCAATGCCATCTTGGGGCTCCGGGAGGCTCTGGCCACTGCTGTTCGCCATCAGTCATGGTGGTATCCATGTTGTTGTTACGCCTGGGGCTTGGTGTTCTCAAGCGTGAATCCTGTTGATGGCGGATGGGCGAGCTGCCACAGTCCATCTCATCGTCTTCTGCGTCATCGCCGCCGCCTCGCAGCCTGGGTCGATCCCGATACATTTTTGCGCAGAAGGAATCACGGTTGTACTGAGTTCCCAAGAGAACTGCAACCGATATCAATAAGAAGGCCAGACGCAGAGTCAGCGCCGTGTCGTTAGACAGCTGGAAGGCTCTGTACTCCTAGATGCCCTGACTGATGAGCTCCAACTCTTCCTTGACGCGTCTGAGCTTTTCCCCGTCTCTGGACAAAGCGAGCAGCTGGGTCGCCACAGTCACCTTACGAGCAGGTCTTCTAGCTGCTACAGTAGGCGGTTCCTAACCGGCCGTAGCAGCAGCGGCGTTCTCTGCTTTGAGCGCAGCCAGCTGGGCCTCCTTCTCCTTGAGAATCTCCAGCTGTTGCTTGGCCATGCCCTTGGCCGTTGTTTCGGCCTCCTTGAGCTTCTTCACCTCAATTTGCTCCGTCTCGAGACTAAACGGCTGACCAGGCTTGTTGACTGCGGGCAGCAGTGCGCTACGCTCCCACGCCACCTGGACGTTTGAAGTCTTCTCTGGCAAGGCCGGGATCGGTTTGTTCTTGCCTTTGCCTCCTTTACCCACGGGGTGGCCCTTGGGGTGAGCACCAGAGGTGAGCACTTCGTAAAAGGCTTCGTACGGCTCGTTGAAAAGCTGTTCGTCGTATGCCCAAGCGCGGATCTCGCCGTCGTTTTGTCGCAGCATCTGCTCCTTCTCGGCGTCGGTTCGTCCGTAGGGGTGAAGACGCAGGTTGTGGTACAACGTCTGAGGTTTCTCTCCTGATTCGGTCGCGTAGTATATCTTGATGGTGATTTCAAACTCTCCCCACCCAGTCTCTTGGATAAGGAACGGCTTGCCCGGCTCGCCGTCGATCACTGAGTGGTGTTTTAGCAAGCGCACGATTGAACCGGGTGTTGGTGCATAGACAACTTACTGCGGACGTGGTTAGGAATGGACTCGTGTAGCTTGAACTGCACTCTCCGAATCCAGTATGTGATGTCGATGTCATCAATGGCCTTGACAAAGACCTCCCATGAATGGGTGTGGTCTGCCGGTACGCCTTCCGGCTTGGGGTTGGTTTCGGGATCGAAAGGACGGGCAGTCGTGCCGTAAATGAAGGGTCGTTTGATCTGTGTACCCTTTACGCGTTTGCCGAGGCTGCTGGGCGGCGCCATAATGATGGATTAGATAAAGGTTGCTCGGGCGATGCGGTGCGTTCTGATCAATGCCCAATGAGAATGCGTGAGTAAGTTTGTGAGGCTGTAGTGGGGAGAAATGGTGTTGTCGAAAATGGACCGCAAGCTAAGGCAAGAAAATGGTAAGAAAATGGTAAGAGAATGGTTCCTGCGTCGGCAGCCTTACACCAAAGTTTCGAAGTGGGGCACCCGCCGAACCAGCCAACAACGACCGACTCTCGGTGCCAGCCCCTACCGGAGATAGTTGAACGGTATATCAGTACCTTGCCGAGGGGCATGCTCTTTCCAGCTGAGTGAGTGCTCAAAAGGTTCATCGATGGTTTCTCCTTGGTCGCCTCAATATGAAATGCAGGAAGCAGCAATTGGCAAGTCTTCAAGAATGAAAGGCAACAGGGGTCGATCTCCCGGCGTAAAGGTTTGATGAAGTGGGAACTACTGCGCTAGAAGGCTCCTCATCCGATCGCGGTAGGATTGAAGAACAAGTTGGCATTGTAGCCCTGGAGGTAGTATTACAGCTTTTCTATGATCTATCTCAATTACTTCTTGTAGAACGCAGTCATCTCCAGAACCTCTTCAGAGTAGGTAAGTTTGAGCAATAAGGCACCCCAAGAAGGAACCCTTAGAAACAAAGTAGTGGAGGCTGTAGCCACCAGCTCGCACATCGAACCTTGCACCAATGGGGAGCTTGGAAGAACAGCTGCCCCTCCAACCCCTGTGGGTAGCTACAACTCTTCAGCTGGTGCTGCACTGCTGCATCATAGGGAGGACCCCTGGCAGGTTTTTACTGGGGAGCTGGGAGCTTCCGGACGGGTGATGATTTCATGACCTTTCTGAGCTTTCCATCCGCGTCCGGAACGGCATCGAACCACCTTCGGATCAAAACTGGCAATCAACTAGCGCCGAACCCGGTCGGCATATCACAGGGCAATTGACTCAATCACCGTCGTCGATCCGGCTCACTCCCTCTTTTCACCTCACTGCTTTTGTCACCTCCAAGTAGTGCTCCTTCTCATCCAATTGGTTGCTTGGGTTACTCTCACCTAACACATCTTCCCGCTCATCTCACTCACACTCTCATCATGTCAACCTCAGCCGTAGCAAAGAAGCTCGTAGTGTGCGGCGGAAACGGCTTCCTTGGTTCGAGAATCTGCAAGTATGCCGTCGCCAGGGGCTGGGATGTCACGTCCATCAGGTACGCATTGCCCTCGTGAACCTTTAACATTCTCTTGTCGTCCCCCGCTTCTAAGACACCCCTTCCACAGCCGCTCAGGCGAGCCCAAATGGTCCGCCGTGACTGCATCACCATCCCCTCCCCAATGGTCACACAAAGTCTCCTGGGAGCGCGCCGACATGCTCAGCCCGGTAACCTACGCCCCCCTCCTCAAGGGCGCAGACTTCGTCGTCCACAGCATGGGCATCCTCCTCGAAGCAGACTACAAGGGCGTCGTCTCAGGTCAGGAGTCCCCCGTCTCGGGCTTGCAAAAGGCCTTTGCCCCCGTCAAAGACCGCGGCGTCGACCCCTTAAAGACCTCCGCCGAGCCGGGCGCAGCCGGAGCGGATCTCAAGCCGGCCAACCCGAAAGACCAGTTCTCTTACGAGGTCATGAACCGCGACAGCGCCATCGCCCTCGCCAAGCAAGCCAACGCCGAAGAGGCCAAAGCCTTCGTCTACGTCTCCGCCGCCGGCGGGGCGCCTGTCCTACCCGCGCGGTACATCACCACCAAGCGCGAGGCCGAGAGCACCATCGCCAGCGAGTTCCCGCGCATGCGGGGCATCTTCCCGCGCCCGCCCTTCATGTACGATAGCTCGAGGAAGTTCACGCTGCCCTTAGCTGCCATGACGGGTGCGGGTGCACTGTTCAACAGGTTGACTGGTGGCGTGTTGAGCGGGTTCATGGGCGCGAGCGGCGTGAAGCCTCTACCGGTTGAGACTGTCGCCGAAGCAGTAGTGGAAGCACTTGATGATGTCAAGGTTCAGGGCCCGATTGAGGTTCCTGAGCTTGAGGAGTTGGCGACCAAAGGCTGGAGGAAAACCATGCTCTGATGTATGAAGACTTGTATTTGTGTTATGCCATAGACTGTACTATCCCCCAATGTGAAGCCGTGTGTAGTGGGTTGAACATCCATACTCCAATCCTGACCTCCAAAACAGTTCACGAGGTTTTCCCCTCTATTAACCTCAATTGAAATTCAAGGCCAATTAACAAAAGGACAGAAAAAGAGTTTACTCCTAGTGTGGCTACATCTCTTGGTGCTCATGCTGAGATTCGAACTCGGATACTCGCTAAGCCTGTCGTCGAGTAGGCTAGTTGGCGTTGATTGTTGACCTTGAACCACTCCACCACCCAGCCAGTTTACCCAACCCATCGACCTAGACGGGCACCTGCTGAATGATGACAAGAATGGAGTTGAGGAGGGATATAAAGGCAGGTTCCCTCTGGATTCATTCCGGTGTGTATTTGGGTGTTGGAAAAATTGATCGGATGAAGGCTCGGTAAGGCAGGAATGTACGGTCAGCACCGCTTTGTCTCTTCCCTAGCTGGGCTACCTAGGCAGGCAAGTTTTACAGGCCTTTGGCTCCAAAAGCATCTCAATTTATCCCAAACGCTCGCGCTTAAATCATGGTTCCTCGCTCGAAACTGTCCCTAATCTCCGCAGTATACTTGTTGTAGAAGCGCGCCAGCTTCTGGTTGAACTGCTTGTTCTTCTCGTTGATGTACGTCACATCGCCATCGTCGCCGTTCTGTGCCATGCGGTCCTTTCTCTTCTTGAGTCTGTTCGCCTCCGCCCTCTTGAGGTCCTCCACCAGCCGATCCACGGCCGCCTTGTCCGGCTTGTTCTGCGCGAATGTCGTTGAGTCGGCTGTCGAGTAGAAGGATCCGTCCTTGTCCACCGCAATGAGCTCTCCGTCCTCAGTCTCCACAATGTCGAGGCCGCCCGACGCAGCGGCGCGCTCGATGGCCGCCATCTTGTCCTTTTCGTACTTTTCCATGTCGGGGGCAATATTCCTTAGCTGACGCTTGTACACTTTGTTGCTTTCGGCAGTGTAGTCTTGGAATGCGTTGTTATCGCGGTGCGCCTCCTTCTTCTTCACGTGCTTGTCCCACTTCTCGCTCTCGTCAATCGTCCAGTCCCAGGCGCGCTTCCGCTCAAAATCGCCGCCGGCATCCTCAATGTCGGCCTTGAGCAGCTTTTGCGAAGCCACGGCCTGCTTACGGTGGATAGCCGTCAGCTGGCTGGGGTCTGATGCGAGACGTTGTGATTCGAGCGTCGCTTCCTCCAGGTTCTGGTCGGACGAATTCTTGGCGCGGGCTTTGAGGGCCTTGAACCGCGCCATGCGGTCCTGTGATTTTGTCGCGGCATCCTCCGGTGTGGGCTGTGATGGTACTGCTGATTCTGTTGTCGCTGGTGCGGTTTCTGCGGTCGCGCTGGGTTCTGTCGCTTCTGTCTCTTCAGGTGCAGCAGACTTTGCTGGCGCTACAGTGTCGGCTTCCTCCTTGGCGGCGGAACCCTTATTTGTCTGTCTTTTCTTTGAGGGGGGCATCTTGAATGTGTTTCCGTATCTTCAAAGGTGATTCTGGTCGCAAGGTGTGCATAGGTGGTTTGTTCAGGAATCGCGCTGTGTGATTTTGGTCGCTGTATCCGTAGTGATGTGATGTAAAGTGACGAAGAAGTGGGATTTCATTGGGGGACGACCTTGGATGTCGCAGTGCGACTCGCCCGACATTTCTCCGACACAGCCACAGCTGGCTCAATCTTGTGGCTGGTACTTGGCATGCCTGTGGCTGGAGGTCGGAAGAATAGATCGATCCACCACCGTTCCCCCGCAGGATCCATACGGGTAACGGACTCCTGCAAGAAACACCCGTGGCTGTGCGGCCGGGCCATCCCTGTCGTTGCCCCAACACCCCTGCGCCGAGAGTGCCCTTGCATCTCGTTAACTCAACGCGCCCCCTCTCAATATGCGGCTCCCCGGGATCAGACGACTTTTCTGAGCAACGTTCGCGTGCCCGTGAATAGCCTCTGAAGGCGACCGAAGCTTATCAGGGACTGTATCGACTCACACATTAGCCATGCGGCCACTGAGAGCCGCAGGCGTCCCTCGCAGAAGCGCAACGACTGCCTGCTTTTACACTACAGCGTCATCTCGGCTACGACGGCCGCGTGTCCACGAAAGGAAGAGGCCGGCAGAACCGCTAGTACCATACTCATGGCGGCCTTTCGAGGTGCCAGAGGTGGTCCTCGACCTTGATAGTTGGGACAGCCCAATTGCACGGCCGTACGATGAGAATGAGATGCACATTCAGAGGAAGAAATGGGAAAAGATGCCCCAGATCGACGCCACGTGGCAACGGATCAAGCACTTCGAGTATGAACGCCAGCGCAGTAGCGAAAAGTTCGCCCAAATCAGCACCAGTAATCCCTGGTATCAACATTGGCAGATCACGGATCTCGACATCATGACGGTCGCTCTGAATGGCGGCTCGCCAGTCGGCCCGCAAACCCAGAATCGCCTAGCGGGGGGAAAGCCGCAGCAGAATGTTGCTTGGAGTGATTTGAAGTCGGTTGCCTCGAAAAACGCAATCCCACTGACCACCCTTCAAGACGACAAGAACTTCTTAAGCTGGCTGCTCCAACGAAGATCCAACACAGCTTCCTCATCACTGAAGCAACAACGGAGCATTGGTGCATTTATTCGACGACTGGCAGATCTCCAGAGCGTGAAGCGCTACCTCCAATTTCTACTTCAGCATGGTGATGAGGGAGTTCAGCTCATCCACAAAGCGGATCACGATATCGCTCTCGCATTATCTCAGCTCCTCTCCAAGCCCTCCGGATTGCGGCCTTTCGCCGACCTCTTGCCCATTCTCAACAGCATCTTTGCTCTTCAGAGAAAGCACGGTTTACCTGTCAGTCCGGGTCTCTGTGGTATCTGTTTGGTCATCTCGGCCAAGGCATGCCAGTTACCGGCAGTCTCGAGGTATCTCAAGCTTGGGCTGAAAGAGGGTCACTGGGTTGGAAAGGGCTCATCCGCTTCCGATGTCAAGACTGCGGTCAGAGCGCTGAATCGATGCTGGGGCGACAGGAAGCGCTTCCCGGATGTGGACCGTTCTGGAGAGATCATTCAGCGTCTACTCGGAGAGGTTTCGGGGGAGGATAGTATGGCTTCCTTCAAGGTCATTGCGCAGCATCATCCGGAAGACGAAAGGCTGAGGGAACAGTTGTTGGGGTTATCACAACGCGTTGCTTCCGTCCCGAAATCCCCCCTTCCATGAATAAGACATATCATGTCTTGGCGGAACAAACTCGCTACCTGAAGGAAGTAGATACCAAAGTTACGGATGCACACCGCATAATCAACCACCGGTGTGCATAATCAGCCACTCGACTAATAGAAGTCAGACCAAGGTGAAGGTTGGGAAGCGGTGCTGATATATACCAAACCCCATCATAGGAGTGTTAACCTCAAATACCAAATCTTATTGCTGCCCACCATACACTCCACGTGGACCAAGACGCGTACTTCTTACGACTGCCTTGCTCGAAGACTTGCTCATTCTACGCTGCATCTCTTCTCTTGTAGCTGACCTGCGAATCTGCAAGCCTCCTCTGACAGCGCCCCTCCCCATTCAGCCCTGCCATGCCTGCATGCGGACGCGGGCTCAAATGCCATATGGCTTGCTAGAGTCTCCAACTCAGAGGAGACTAGTTTTTGACAAGCTGAACCAAGCTCCGCTAATCCTCCCATCCCATTGGGTCTACAGGCCAAGTTAGGACAAACCAAGCTTAGGCGCCTCCCTCTTCCGTCCAACTCCACACAACATCCTCCGCCGTGTTCGTGTCAAGGTGGTGCTGCCACTCTCCATTGTCTCCGATGCGCTACATTTCGCCATGCTGCTGCATCGCTTTCTATCTTGGGGGATGACGGATCTGTGCTGTATGTCAGCAGAAGCCATGGGAGTTCTGCAAATCCGGCGTGTCGGGCGTCCCCTCGCTCACCACGACCAATACCTGTAAGTTGTCTACGAAGGGCAAAGGTTGCTAACAATGTCTACGAATCCAGAATAGCACACTTCAAAAGAAGCCTCCGGATTTCGTATTTTACTACTCATCAAAATGGAACCAACACAGGAAGCAAGCTCACCAGAGGGCCGGCCTAGGATTACCGCAATGCTTCGTAAACTCACACATCACCCGCTTACTCTGAACTGAACTTCAACAGAAGAACCAGAGCAACGGGGTCGTGGCAAAGCGAGCCATCTCGATGCGTGGCGCTTCAGACCTAGGACTAGGAGTCCAGCTCTCTCACCCGTCCGCCTCTGGTCTGGAACGGAGCCCCCGCCAGCTCGTCTGGATCCGGCCTGGTCCGGACGCTGCAGATCAGAAATGTCTCTGACGCTGCCGCTGGTGCTTGTCAACAAGCGAACATGGTGACAAGCCCAAACTCTGTTTTCTCTATCTTTCCCATTCTTCGAGAGCCCCCCCGTTCTTCTCTTTGTTTGAGCTTCCCTTCTTCATCGTCCTTCTTCCTTGGATGAGCTGATTGTCAATGTTCTGTCAAGACTGATTTGCCAGCACTTTCTTCTCTTCTTGCTTTTTTCATTACGCCCTTTAGAAATCCGTAATTTCATTGCATTCCACTTTCCAGACCAAAGTATCAGACCAGTCGATCATTACCTCGCAGTCTTCGAGTAGCTCACTCTATCTCCCGAGACATACATCAAAGTGGGAGATTGCGATCAATAAGCTCTTAATCGGTCTTCTTACTTCTCCCTTTTCTCGGTTTCACACGCTATGAGCACGATCCGTTCCGACTGAAGGGTCAAGTATCTCCAGGAACCTGGTCCACGGATAGATCAAGATCGACATACCGCTGGCGGGAGGGATCACACGGATCACGGAACGCAATGGCATTCTCCAATCCCTTGCTCACGGTTTTGGCCCTGGCCTTGCTCCCGGCCTCAACTTTGTCGCAGAATGATCCGGTGAACGACTTTTGCCGTCGATTTGGACACCAGACAGCCGTTGTCGATAACAAGCTCTTCATCGATGGCGGTCTCGTAAATTGGAATCCACTGTCATCGTTTCCCGCCAACTACTCAAGTATGTCACTCCCTGAATCGGCTGTAATCCCGTACACTTCTCCAAACAGTTCTCACTAACACCTCTTTTCAGATACATGGCTTCTCTACCAGGATCTGTCTTCCTCGACAGCTTCGGGCATGCCACCCCTTTACGCCAATCTCTCCAAAAATGGATCAATCCCTAATGTCGCCGGCGGTGCTCTCTGGTCTGATAATGTCAACAAACGTCTCTATCTGTTTGGCGGAGAGCGCAATGCGGGAGAATCGCCCATGCCCTTCAACCTATACGGCTACGATATCCTGAATAACCAATGGGATTCTTTCGGCCCATCTCGCACGGGGGCCTCGATATCAAAAGTCAGCTATGGCGCAGGAGTTTCAGTCGATACACGCGGCGAGGCTTACTACTACGGTGGATGGTTGAGCAACGCCTCGGTTCCTGGATGGGGTACTGGTCCGCCGGTCGCGACGACTGGGTTAGTGAGATATACCATGGATACCAACAGCTTTTCCAACAACACTGGGTAAGGAGGGAAACCCTATTCGAGCGGAGATACACGTCAAGCTAACGCCTACATAGTCCTGATAATGTACGACGCGCCGAGGGCAGCCTACATTATATCCCCGCTGGGGACGGTGGGATGCTCATCTACTTTGGGGGCATACAGGATCTGGCTGGCAATGGAAGTTCCACGACCGGGCAGCCCATGGACCAGATATTCATATACGATGTGCTCAGCAGCAAGTGGTACACGCAGAAAGCTTCAGGTGATGTTCCTGGAATGCGACGACGATTCTGCGCGGGCGTGACGTGGGCTGGAGACCAGTCGTCTTACAACATGTGAGTGTATCACTGCCGTTGCTTTGTGCACCTCATCTAATACGTAATCCAGCTACATGTATGGTGGCGCCAATGCTCCAGGCGTGCTCGGCGCGGGATTCGACGATCTCTACATCCTCTCGATTCCGACCTTTACCTGGATCAAGATGTACCCCATCGGCCGCAACGGGACCGGAGACTATCCTCACCATTCGATGTCCTGCAACATCGTCCCTGGCCGTGCGCAAATGATCATCTCTGGAGGCACTTTCCCACTCTCCCAAGACTGTGATTCACCCGGGCAATGGGGAACTCACAACGCGGATCTCGGAAAACAGAATGCTGGCAAGGCTGTCTGGGAGCTATACAAGCCCAACAAGACAACGTACGCCGTACCGGACGAAGTCGTTGCTGTAGTAGGCGGCAACGGCAACGGCGGGGCTACAAAGACTGCGCCGGCGGCTGGTTTCGACTACACTGATGTCAGCCTCCTCATCACGCTCACGGCTAATGTCCCTAGCCGTATGCCGACGAGAGATGTCGGTAGTACCAGTGCTCCATCTCCCACGGGAAGCTTATCTACGGGTGCCATCGTCGGTATCGCGGTAGGAGCCGCAGTTCTGGTCGGCGCCCTCGCCATGGGATGTTTCTTTCTGGTCCGCAAGCGCCGGTCAGATCGCTTCCATACCGGGGCATCGCCGCCGGGACCAAGCCACGTGTATCACGCCCAGAGCATGTCAGAAGCGTGGTCACCACCCGCAGCATCGCCTTACTCACCACCATACGGTCCTTCGCCTTTCACACCCCCTCCCCTATCCGCCCATCCACAGTCACCGCACCCAATGTCACCGCACCCAATGTCTGCGCACACAGTACCGCCGCACATGGGCCCGCCGGTGGAGCTGCCCTCAGAGCCGTCATACACAACGACACCATCGGCTCTGGCGGGAACGACGACGCTCACAAACATCTCGTCAACGGCGTCCTACCCGCCGCAACAGGCGTATTTCCCGGAGACGACGACATTGCTCAATCAGCCACAGTACGACGCACACGGGAACATGTGGATGCCGCAGGTGAGCATGGTGCAGGTCGCTACCGGGGTGAGCCCGCCGTTGCCCGAGTACACGCCGGCGAGGGGCGACCAGAAGACACCGCAGCCGACGGCGACCGAGGTACGGCACGAGCCGCCGCCGCAGGAGCCGCAGGAGCTAAGTGCGGACCCGGATGATCGGGCGGAGAGTTCGAGGCAGGAACATCAGACTTACTACAACAGATAATTTGACTTTGCAGGCGTATGGTTTAGTTTATGCTGGGAGTTGGCCTATGGCCTGATGTATCAATGATGATGTTGGGCAGGGGTGGGAGCACGTATGGAAAGGAGTCTCAGGCGTTTGCCTTTCTGTTTGGTCATGTCTTTCCCGGCACTATTCCCACTTGGAGTTTTGATATAAAGTTACAATGACCCAGGGTTCGGCAATTTCTCAAAGTAGCAGATACCTTGAGTTATCAGGGTCCGGAGCCATCAAGCTTCAAAGTGACGAATGTGATAAATCCTGCAAATTTCGATTTGGTGCTAGTCCATTGATCCGTCGCGTGACTCCCTGAAATCCATGCCAGAAGATAGTAACACGGCAAACCACACCTTCAAACAGTGGATTTTCAAACATCATTGGATCTTCCTCCCTGCAGTGCATGTTCCCCGTGTGCGATGCCGATGAAGCAGTCATAGGTATTTGTTACTTCAAGGTACTTCGTTCAGACAGAGACTATTCCGCTGCCCAGCGCTCAGCGGCCGCAACGTGCAACGTGGTCCTGACCTTTGAAAGGCAGATGGCCAAGATCACGCATCAATATGAGCCAAGGTGACGTGACTTGCCCGCATCCGGAAGCCGAGTACTCTGCCTCGTACTCTGCCCCCCAAAGAGCTACTCATGCAATGCCGGTAGCCGCGGGGGCGCTGAACAATGGCCATCATCCAAGATCTTGTCCCTCCCGAACCCAAGAAGGGTCCGGGCGTGATGCGATGAGCCCTTGAACATGCTCGGCTCATCAGCCGCAGCGCACCGTTGCCCGCCCAGTTCTCTCTCTCTCTCTCTCTTTCTCTCTCACACCCTCGTCCTACCTCTGCCTCTGCGAGGCGCATACTCATCACGGCCAGCCGGGAACCCAATCGTTGCGCTGCGTATGTGCCGTGAAAGTCTAATCCAACAAGATTCCGATGGCCCCCCCCACGGGTTGCATCGCGGCAGGCATGTCTTGAGCAGAGGAGTGTACTCCGTGGATAGCGCAAAGTCAAGACTCCACAACCACGAACCACGACCGTGGCTGCGAGGAGCTTGTATATTACCTCCTTGGCACGCTTGGGCAGAGACAGGTGTAAGAGGGTCCTCACGATCCTGTGTAACCACTGGGAAGGAGAGGGTGGGCAGGCGGCCATGTGCTCGGCGCCGAGAAACGATTTCCGTTGTCACCAGTTCTTTCTGCTTTTTGTATTGTTACCTGTATACTTTTTACCTCACAGTTACACAACACTTTCTGTACTCTCTGAACTCGTGACTCTGCAGACTCCAGATTCCAGAGGACGAGCATCCCGATATCGCTCTCGATCAATGAAGCATCACTGCGTCGGTCACCTGCAGATCACAAGAGCGATATCGGAAGCTCGCTGTATCTGTGACTCAGTCGTCTCGCCCAGGATTCTCTATCCACCGAGCTCGGTGAAGTCTGTGCTCTTGAGTTTGTCTAGTTGTTGGTTCGCAGAGGTTTGTTGGAACTTGGGATGTGAGAGTAGAAGGAAATTGTTCGACAGGGGTGGACGGGGAGGGACAATGATCCTAGAACCCTGCTCCCCGGGGCCGGCCGGACGGGCGGGGCCATGTAACGGAGGTACACTACTTCGAACGAACAGTAGACTTCAAGTGATTAACATGCGACCTGGATCTTCCGATCAACTGCCGCATACACTTGGTCACGTTGTTTTCAACTGTCAATCTGGACGATCCTTAGAGAAGATCTGTGATAGTGACGGGTATTGCAGTAAACTTTGAGCTGGCTGGCATTAGGAATCGAGCCGTCCCACCTAGTCAAGAAATGAAGTACCGTTAGTCCAGCACGTCCAGTTACCATTCGGCCGGGAACAGGAAGAAATCTCTTCCTTAGTATGTGTTATACTCTAAGCGACGTCTCCAAGTCGAGTCCACTACAACCCAAGTCAGTTGAGAAAAGCATGTCGTCATAACGTTCCGATGGAGCGTTCACTTTGCAGAGTCGACTAGCGCAGATCGGAGAGAATAACAAAACAAATAAACGGCATATTCCACGATGGGTAAACCAGTGCAAAATGCACCTTTCCCACTACCCGAGTCTGGATCTCTCCTCCTAGTCCCTCCATCGGCAGATCTCCTTGCTCCCACATGGACAAATTTTCCCAGTCGCAGATCCGGAAGGGAAAAATGGGTTGACAGCCCCGTGAGCTAAGACTTGAAGTCGAAAAGCCTCTTTGCGCCTCTGTATGATGTAATACCGAACGAGGGAGGGGGACCTGGGCTCAAGCCGCACCGGCGAGAGCGGGAAGAGCCCAGGACCCCATTTGTCTCAGTAGGATGGACGATCAAATTTTTGCAGGGTCCAGAGTGCCCAGGGCGGTCGACGTCGGGATGTGCGTTGACTGACGGTATGGTCCAGAGCCCTCCATTGTCAAGCCAGGAACACTGCCCTCAGTCTTTTGTGCCAATGTCTCAACAACCACTGTAGTATCTCTCCGGGAGGCGGTGGGGATGGTGATGGGAAGGGGACTTCAAAGTGAGAATGTCTCAACGGCATGTGGGCAGAGACATCTCCCGTTTGTCCTCGCAAAGGCCCCCCCTCTCAACCGCCGTGACCGTCTCTTTGAACCCCTCACGATGCTGACGACGTGCGATACTCGAAGAACCGCATTCGGTAGCATACCCAAAAAGGTACCGGAAACAGAAAAGGTCGCTCAAGCAATTCGCCAACAGCCAAGACACGTACCATACCTATAGAGATCCCAGCCGAAGACAGAAAAAATGGGTCACGAACGAGTTTATCCCCCTTTGGCTCTTTAGCTCTTTAAGCTCTTTAGCTCAACGCTAACTTACTGTCATGGACTTGACCTCTTGGTGGCCTTGGCTCTTCTCGACCCGAAAGCTGGTTGTGTTTGGTGGTCACCAAACCAACACCACCATCCAAGGGAAAAGAACGCCCAACCCAGAACCGATCCCTCCGTCGCTCTCTATAGACTGTGGTAGTTTGGCAATGATCGGATTCCCGTCCCAAGGTTCAGGTCGCACCCACATCGGCCGCCGCCGCCTAGAGAGAGGCACGGATGCCAATTGCCGTGAGCCGCAAGCATAAGACACGCGACGCCACGTCCCGCTTGGTCCAGAGGCCTGGACATCCTTGCCCCATAACCTTATCAAGCGCTTGGAAAATACTGTAGAGAGTCTTAATGAAACTATGGTAGGCGTTGGCAGTTGTTCCTATGGTCAATGTCATCACAAACGTCAATGAAGCCGTTGTATATGTGCGAGTGATGTTCTGAATTCGTCCAAGTATCTCTCACGTCAACCTTGACTCTGTGTGAATCGCAGTATGCCTCATACATCATGTTGAAGAGAACCAGACTCGCAAATAGGTGCCTATCGTTCTCATCACTAAGCCTAGCTATCGATTAACATGGCGCGGTAAAGAGAGCGAGTGAAGAGAGAAAATCTTGTTAGTCCCTCCGCCCATCACATCGATACCAGCCCTCTTCCGGCGAACCGGGAACCCAACCCATCCATAGAGCCCCATCAAGCCACCGAAAGCCACTGCCGCGAGACGCTTATGAGAATCTGGCCCGTACGGCCGTCGCGGCGTAGACCGGCGGCTTTGACAAGCGTCGAGTGTGGCTTTCTCGGTAGGTGCTCCACGCGGGGTGCATGCCGTTCTGCGTGTAGAACGGCAGTGCATATGGGCAAAAACGACGGGAGAGAGCAATGTGATGCTCTCGCAAGGGAATAAGGACAGAGAAAACGTCAAAGTCCAAATTGGTATAAGTAAACGTCTGGTCCCGGATGTCATTGTGGTGTTTTTTTAGATAGACCAGACAGCCTCGACTCTCTCACACAACAAACATCCTCCTCATCTCCCTCGCCCAAGACCAACAAGACCAATACAACCTTTTCACTAAGGTCTTACCATCTTCACAACCCGGTCTATAATATCTAATCAACCAAAATGGCTCGCCGCGCTTCCCTCATCGTGACAGCCCTCCTGGCCGTCTGCGCCTCCGCGGCTCCCGCCCCGATGCCCCAGCGCTCGGCAAAGATCACGGCCGTCAAGAACATCTTCACCGTCAGCAACATGTCCTTCTCCAACCGGCTGTACTGGGACTTCAGCAAGCTCGCCAACGGCGCCAAGGTCCCCGATGGCCTGCGCGTGAGCGGCTATCCCGTCAGCAACACCCACGTCTTTGTCACGCAGAACGCGTATATCAACGGCGGCTACCTCAACCTCAAGGTCAATGGCGGCCAAAAGGCCATGCCCTACAAGTCTGGCGAGGTCGTTACAGTGGCCCAGAACATCAAGTACGCCTCTGTCCGGACCGTCGCCATCTTTTCCGAACCCGCTGGTGTCTGCAATGGTAAGCCTATCCCGACGGATCTACCTCGTCGTCATCATCATCATCATCATCAAAGTTTCTAGAGACTAACACCCCTACCAACAGGTATCTTCTTCTACAAGAACGACAACCAAGAGACGGATATTGAGTGGCTCTCAGACGCAAACTCCCAGAGCAACGCCGGCAAGCGCCAGGTCTGGTTCGCGAACCAGGCCACGAGCAGGACCTCCGCAAAGTCCTGGCTCTCCGCCCTCCCTCCCCTGAACCCGACCTCCACTGAGCACGAGTACCGCATCGACTGGATGCCCGGTGTCGTCCGCTTCTTCGTCGACGGTGTCCAGACCTGGCAGACCACCCAGAGCGTGCCCTCGCAGGCCGGTCCCTGGGTCTTCAACAACTGGGCCAACGGTGACAAGGGCTGGAGCGCCGGCCCCCCGGCCACCGATGCCATCTTCAAGATCAAGGAGATTGACATGTACTACAACACCGCGTAAGAAGCCTACTAGGCCAAGCGACGGATCAAAAACACAAGGGGCAAGCTCTTGCACCACAGTTCGGATTTTCAAACTTCATCGTATATATTTTTGGACAACGACAAGGCAACCAATTCATGAGGGGGAAGATGGTCTTTGGACAAAGGGAATTGAACATAATGAGGAGGAGGAATGGATAACTTCGATGAACAAAATGGAGACAATTAATGAGGGGGGAAAATAATAACGAAGAGGGCTTAATTCATGACCATAATACAATAGTAATGGACATAATAATACCGAAAATCAGAAAACCCCAAATCACGTCATCGTCAAGTGCCACGCAGCATCCGATGCGCAGCATTGCGAGAAATTGCAATGCCGGACATGTCCTACCCTAGGCAATGACACAAGTACCTCCCAGGACGAGTACATTGTCAACAACCCTCATGCATTGCCGTAT